GGGGGCGCAGGGAGTTTCAGCGAGTCCTGCGCCAGCGAAGACGCTCGCTGTTAACTCGTGATATCCAGCCTGATCAGCTGGACGTACCTGCAATTGTGATGTTTGTGAATGTCCTTTTGGTTCCCTCCCTGAACCGCCGTTGCTTCTTTTGTGCCCCTGTTAAACTTGCTAAAGGGGAGCCAAGTGACCTGCCAGCCGAATCTATTACTCGAAGACCCACACAGCACCTTGATGAGTACCCTCCTTCGGGAGTTCAAGTGTGTGTGTGTGTGTGTGTCTGTGTGTCTGTGTGTTTGTGTGTCTGTGTGTCTGTGTGTCTGTGTGTCTGTGTGTCTGTGTGTGTGTGTCTGTGTGTGTGGAGTGGCAGAATACCCTGCCACCACATTTAATTATGATTACATCCGCAGGGGGCGCAGGGAGTTTCAGTGAGTCCTGCGCCAACGAAGACGCTCGCTGTTAACTCGTGATATCCAGCCTGATCAGCTGGACGTACCTGCAATTGTGATGTTTGTGAATGTCCTTTTGGTCCCCTCCCTGAACCGCCGTTGCTTCTTTTGTGCCCCTGTTAAACTTGCTAAAGGGAGCCAAGTGACCTTCCAGCCAAAACTATTACTCGAAGACCCACACAGCACTTTGATGAGTACCCTCCTTCGGGAGTTCAAGTGTGTGTGTGTGTGTCTGTGTGTGTGTCTGTGTGTCTGTGTGCGTGTCTGTGTGTGTGCCTATGTGTCTGTGTGTCTGTGTGTGTGTGTGTGTCTGTGTGTCTGTGTGTCTGCGTGTGCGTGTCTGTGTGTCTGTGTCTGTGTTTGTCTCTGTGTGCGTGTGTGTGTGTGTGTGTGTGTGTGTGTGTGTCTGTGTGTCTGTGTGTCTGTGTGTCTGTGTGTCTGTGTGTGTGTGTGTGTGTGTCTGTGTCTGTGTGTGTGTCTGTGTGTCTGTGTCTGTGTTTGTCTGTGTGTGCGTGTGTGCGTGTGTGTGTGTGTGTGTCTGTGTGTCTGTGTGTCTGTGTGTCTGTGTGTCTGTGTGTCTGTGTGTCTGTGTGTCTGTGTGTGTCTGTGTCTGTGTCTGTGTGTGTGTGTGTGTGCGTGTCTGTGTGTCTGTGTGTCTGTGTGTCTGTGTGTCTGTGTGTCTGTGTGTCTGTGTCGGTGTGTGTGTGTGTGTGTCTGTGTGTCTGTGTGTCTGTGTGTGTGCAGTGTGTGTGTGTGTGTGTGTCTGTGTGTCTGTGTGTGTGTGTCTCTGTGTGTGTGTGTGTCTGTGTGTGTGTCTGCGTGTCTGTGCGTCTGTGCGTCTGTGTGTCTGTGTGTCTGTGTGTCCGTGTGTCCGTGTGTCCGTGTGCCTGTGTGTCTGTGTGTCCGTGTGTCTGCGTGTCTGTGCGTGTGCGTGTGTTTGTTTGTCTGTGTGTCTGTGTCTCTGTGTGTCTGTGTGTCTCTGTGCCTCTGTGCCTGCGTGTGCGTATGTGTGTTTGTGTCTCAGGGCGCAGCGATTCCTTTTTCTGTCCTTAGCAAGCTGGAGCCAGCATGAAACCAAGCATCCGGTTTGATCCAACTTTGGCACACCATATCAAGGAATCAAGCAACACTTCAGCGATTGAAAGGATTTGATTACATAGCATCTCCTGGATGTCTAGTGTTTCAAAGTGCCCCCTTCAACCACAACGGCCGTGGCCTACAACCCTCCCCAAAGAAGGACAAACCTGCTCCAAGAGTTGGGGGCTCAACAAGCCTTATAAAGCCAAAACGATTGTAGGGGGTGGTGTAGGAATCTAATGCGTGACTTTCCTGTCTCCCCATCCCCAGTAAGGGTACCTATATGCTGCGGGATAGCACCAGAGAAAGAGACATGGAGAGAGAGCGCCACAGACGCAGAGACGGCGACGGAGAGACAGACACTAAGACAAGCAGACATTGGTTGGATAGATAGACAATTGGATAGTTAGACGGATAGATGTATAGGTAGAGCTACGTAGCTAGATAACTAGATAGCTAGCTAGATAGCTAGCTAGTTAGATAGAAAGATAGACAGATAGATAGATAGACATATAGATAGATAAGTACGTATCTACACGTATGTAGAAATGAATCAAATGCACCTGCACACGCACGCACGCACGCACGAAGGGACGAGCATGCACGGCCAGACGCACGCGCACACACACACACAAACACACACACACACCAACACACACACACACACACAACACCAGCACATCCACACACGCACCGCCACACAGAATCATCATCACACACACACACACCCACACCCGCACCCACACCCACACCCACACCCACACCCACACCCACACCCACACACACACACACTCACCAACACACAGCACACAACACACACACACACACCCGCAACAACACACAAAACACACGCACAAACAAACCAACACACACACACACACACACACGCACATGCGCACGTACGAACAACACATTATACACACAGACCGGCACACACACACACACGAGCAACACAACACACAACACACACCAATACAACACACGCACACAAACACAATACACACGGAGACAAATGGGTCTGTGTTTTTTTACCTTGTCAGTTCTTCAGTCTTCGTGGGAGGTGGGGCTTGGGCGAGCCATACCCCCGAATCATACCCCCGATTCATACCCCGATTCATACCCCCGAAAAAAATCCAAAAAGGAGTTCAAGAACTGCTGACCTTGCAAGCCTGCTTGAAGGCCTTAGCTAAGGGTATGCAAGTAGGTCCTGTCCTGCGGGCAACGCAATAAACTGTCTGTCCCCGAGCAACTGGCGTTTAGGGTAAAAGCTACAGGTTAGCTCACAGTTCGTCACGCGCCAGCTGACAGTTTGCATGGCGACGCACGCGTAATTGCATTTCAAAAGCGCGCAGGCTCGCACGAGCTGCTTGCTGTTTATCCCAAGTGCGCTTTCGCTGCTGCGTCAAGGGGTGGACTTGCGCGCTTGGCTTTGGTACGTGTACTGCCGCCCCGGCGCGGGTCGAAAAATGACCAAGAAGGCTTGAAAACTCTGTGACGGACATGTCGCCCCTGCTGCTACGTGGTTGAGAGTTTGACCACTAACCAAGCCTTTGCTGACTTTGCGCGGGTTGACACGCTCTGCTTCATAGCTTCACATGGCGCGGGCCTGTTCCAAGTGCAAGGGTGCTGCCGCTTGCAGCAGCCCCGCATGATTGCAAGCTTTCTTAGCCATGCTCGCTTTGTGTCTTTCCGTTAGCACAAATCTTCCCCGCGATTCATACCCCCGATTCATACCCGATTCATACCCCGAGTCATACCCTTTCGCAGCCATCTGCAACAAAGAGCCTCTTGCGACAGGGACCAGATCTGCAGAAGCTGGGCAAACAAAGAAGGAACGACGCCGCCCTTTCCGGAGAGAGGATCGGTCCGGAAGGTTAGGTTTGCAGGTGGCGGGAAGGACAGGTCCATTTGAAGCTCGACTGTGTGAAATAAAAGTGTCGCGGCAACGTGAGCCTACCACACTCTACCACTGTGTCAGTTTTGCGCAGCGGTTCCCCTACGTAGAAATCCACACTCAGGACCGGCAAGCCAGAGACAGGGAAACACGGTACATCACCTGCCCTTACGCTGGCTCGTGACTGGTGCGGGTGGCGGGCCTGACTGGGCAGCGGCGCTTCCCCTTAAGCAACGCTTGCTTGGGTCTGTGAGCAACGCGGGTCGCTTGAACTCCAAGTGCTCAGGCAGTGGCTCTGCGCCTTCCACCTAGCGCAGCAGCTTTCGCTCACCCACTCACGCAGAGTGGCAGCTGTCTAGTTCAGGCCACTCACAAGCACCCCAGGCTGGCTTGTAGCAACTAAGACGGCCACGTCAAGAAAACACATACCCAAATCACACAATTTGCACAAGACACAACGCACAACCCACAACACACAAACTACACACACACACACACCGACACAAACACGTATACATACGAACAACACAGACACACTCGGAGACGCACACACACACACAGGCCCACACACAAACACACACGGCAACACAGACACACAGACACCACACACACACGCCACCAGACACCACACACACACACCAACAACACACACACACAGACAAAGCGCACACACAAAACACACACACACAAACACACAAAGCACACACACACAAAGCACACACACACACACCAACACAAACACACAGACAAACACACAAAGCAAACTTCGACATAGACCTTCATTCGATTGGCTCGGTGTGAGCGCCAGGCCAGCCCCGCAATGCGCTTGAAGCCAGAGGAGGCAAGTTCGCCGGCCTCGCCGGCATCGCCGGCCTCGCCGAGGACTTCTGCCGGGAGCGTTTGGGCGCAGGGTATGGGTCAAAGTTAAACCACCAGACCGCAGGTTGTGGTCCAACGAAACTTGCTGGCTGGATAGGCAGGGAGGAGAACTTGAATGAGCTCGAACAAAAAGTCGATCCCCGATTTGGTTTCCTTTAAGGGAATCCCAAACGGTTCATTCCCAAACCTTGGGTCATCCCCTACTGAGCACCAGCAAGTTTTTCGGCCAGAGAACCAATGGGAGAGACGTCAAAAAGAGGCAATGACAGCCATGGGTGATGGAGTCATCGCAGTCGCTTCTTTTAGACCCCCATTTTTTGATTCGAACATGTGAAATGCAAAAGATCCATTGGACGCCTTTCTCCTTGACCAGTTTTTGTTTCTCCTTCTTTTTAAACCTTAGACAGCTGAATCTCGGAATGAGCCCCGTGTTGCCCCGTTTGGGGCTTTTTATGGCTGGCTCCTTGGGTTGCAAAAAGGCCACTGCGTGTTTGGGACTCCCATGGGTGGTGAATGAGTCTTAGGATGGCCTCCGGTGGCTCTCCACGCCCCTTCTCGGCTGCTCAGCGACAGGCAACTTGGGGCGGGGGGCCGTGGGGGGGGGGCGGCTGGGTGGGCGCCAGATCGCCAGGCTCGTCCGAGCCCAGCCGAAGAGAGGACCGTGTGATGCCTCATCGCTTGGGATGAGCTGATTGGGAGGAGAGAAGCCAAAGCAGCCCTGCTTCAGCTCCTGCATGCATCACAATCTTCTCCGAAAGCCGAAGATGGACTCTTGACAGCTTAGCCTTTGCTATTTGACATGACTGCCAAGTATCTTTGTTTGGTTGCACCTGGCAAGTGCACGGAAAAAGAAGAACAACAAATGACTCGAGGGACCTCAGATGAGCTCACATCCACGGCCTGGGAATTCAACGACCCGCACGTCACACCTCAGACAGCGCGGGAAAGGCGGGCGCGTGCACTGCAGCTGCAACGCTGTCCAGCTGAGCCCCTTGCGACGGGCTCTTGGGAGCGATTGATGCTTCATTTTTTTTCAGAATATGTTGCCCTCCCTCCAATCACAAACTGGAAGCTGATGTTCGGGTGTCCTGGTTTGGACCATTTTTGCTTTGGGTGAAAAGGGTGGCAGTGCAGTCATGCCAGGCGCTCTCCAAGCCGGGGAGTCTCAGAAAAGGTAAGTCAGGCGGGCACGGGAGGGTGTGGCTCAAAACTAAAAGTGGGTCCAGAATGGGTTGCCCTGGTAGATGGAAAGGACGAAACCCCGCGGTTTGCCCCAGCTGTTTCTTTTTTTGACCCACCGCCATGTGGGAAAGAACCAGCGTGGCTGGCGGCTTCGCGGCCTCGCGGCTTTCCGCGGCTTTCCGCGAGGCGGCCTCGTCGACAACAAGTTGCACCGAGAGGCTCCGCCGAGGAGGCCTTCGCGGAGGAGGCCTGCGCCGGGTCGCTGGGAATCCACCTGGCCTCAGGCTGGGCCCGTGTCATAACGGACTGAGCGGCGTGAAGACGCGAAGCTTGCGGCCCAAAAAGGAGCCCGGGCATCCGCCTGGCCACTATAGGTCGCCAAAGTAAAGCATTGGACAGAGATAAAACACGCCGCCATGGGGACCTATAGTGGCTTTGCATGAATCCAAAGGGTTGGTTTCGACCAAATTTGGCTTGCAGAGTGCCGAGGGGTGATGTCTTGCTGCCTTGGGCGCCTGATTTGCTCAGGTTTCAGGATCCTGGGTGCAACATCCGAATCCTGCGTTCCCCCTGACATGAGAGCATAACTTACCTATAACTCTTTAACGCAATGCTGAGCTTGACGCAACCAGGTAGCGCTATCAATGTGCCAGCAAGGTTGCAAGCATGTGAACCAAACCCCGGCTACGAAGTCGCCCTATTGAACACCGCCCGTGCTCGCCATGACTACGGTCTCCAAGCTGGGAATTCAAGGCATCCGAAGCTTCAACCATGAGAGGATGGAGATCATCGAGTTTGAGAAGCCGGTGACCTTGATCGTTGGCCCCAACGGCTCCGGCAAGACCACGATCATCGAATGCCTGAAAATGGCCTCCGCCGGCATCCTGCCGCCCAACGCGCGCAACGGGCACGGCTTTGTGCATGATCCGCAGGTGGCCCGGCTGCCCGAGGTGAAGGGGCAGATCCGCATGCTCTTCAAGGCCGGCTCGGACACCAGCCGGGAGATCTGCGCCATCCGCTCCTTTCAGCTGGCGAACCGCCGGGTGGCCGGCCGCATCAAGCCCACCTTCAAGGCCCTGGAGAGCGTCCTGCGGACGGCGGCGGATGATGGCAGCAAGGCGAGCCTTAGCCACCGATGCGCCGATATGGACACCCAAGTGCCCGAGCTCATGGGCGTATCCCGGGCCGTCCTGGAAAACGTGATTTTCTGCCACCAGGAGGAGTCGTCCTGGCCTTTGATGGACGCCGCCAGCGTGAAGAAACGCTTCGACGACATTTTTGGCTCCACCAGGTACACAAAAGCGCTGCAGAACATCAAGGAGGTGCAGCGAGATTGGGCCAACACCACTCGCAAACGCAAAGCGGATGCCGACCTGTCTCAGGCGCACTTGGATCAAGCCCGGAAATTGGCAGGTGGGGGGTGCCAAAACTGCGAATCGGCCGAACATGTCGTGGACAACTCGCATGGCCGTCAAGAACAACCCTTGCAGTCTTAAAAAATGCGGAGAGCGCCTGAGTGACCTTTCCATGGTGCTTTAAGGAGCCCCTGTACCTGGGGTCTCAGCTATCCTTTATGTCCTGGCCCTAGAAAGACAGGTATCATGCCCAAGTTTGGGGCGGGGGGGGGGGGAAGGGGTGGGGTGGGGGTGCATGACAGTGCCGTGTTTGTTTGCTTGTTTGTTTGGTTTGGTTTGGTCTGGTCTGGTTTGGTTTGGTTGGTTGGTTGGTTTCCTGTTTGCTTGTTTCAGCTTATTGGTTGAGCCTTGACGTTAGTACCTTCGTCAGGCCAGCGAGAGGACCGGGAGCGGAGTGCCAAGGAGCTGTCAGCGGAGCTGGAAGGGCTGGATGGCAAGCTGGGCGCCGTGGGCGAGGAGCCGAAAGCGAGTCGAAATGACTTCGAACTGAAGAGGAAACCATCATATGTATATCTATATATGCATATTATAGTCTGTCTGTACACGCGCACACACACACATATATATATATATATAATAACTATATATACATACAATGTATCTATGTCTATATGTACATATACGTTTACGTTACATTTGCGAGAGGTCAAACTCTCTGGTTCAGAGATATTTCTTCGGTGACTGAGAGAAACCCCAAAAGACAAGTGTCAGAAACCTTCAGGAACGACAACGACATAGTGAAACCCCAAATGCGAAACGCTCCATTCGAAATCGCCAAAAGTCTCAGGTTTTGCTGATATATATATATATACAGGAATGTATAATATATATATATTTATACACATGTCATCATCTTACAAAAGGGGAATCACCCTTGATTAGAATGGCAGGTAGTCTTTGGTCCATTTGGGAGAGACATGGCGAAGTAAGTTTCCAAAAGCATCAGGGACCCACGAAATTTCATGTGCGTTGGAGTTATCGGGTCTTCCATTTGGTCGCCTTTTTGGGGCCTTTGGCTCGTTTTTTGAGCTTGAGCGGAAAAAAGACATGAGCGGAAACCTGGATTGCTATGTTTTGGAGTTATTGCTTGGTCTTTTTTTGTTGTTGTTCGCTTCAGCTAAACTTCGCCCCCGATGGCCTCAGGAGCTCCAGAAGGCGGAGATGGATTTGGCCCAGTACGAGAGCTGCGGCATCCGGGTGGCCGAGCTGAAGAGTTTGATCGGCAGGCGGGCCGGTTTCGAGGTGAGCCCTTTTCGGCACGTGCCCAGAATGGGAGCTAGATTTTGGGTGTCCCTTTGGGGCTTTCTTTGGGGTTCCCTTTAAAAATTAAGAAAGGTACCTGCAAAAAGACACCACAAGGCCTGCATAATTCTTCTTGGCGTCAACCCCCCCCCCCCCCGGCCCCGCAGAACCGGTGCTATGCCACACATCCAAGAGCTGCACAAAAGTTCCCAAACCAAAGCCTTAGACGAGGATCGACGCCGAATTAAATATGCTTAAGGGGGCATACTTGGAAGACCCCCGGAAGTGCCAGCAGCACCAGCATCATCAGTGCTAATATCATGCCCTGTATCGCTACAAGCTAGCAGCGCTAACCAGTATCACGAGCATCGCTGAGGGAATTGGGTACAGCCTTGCACGAATATTATGCTCACAAAGCTCGGCAAATCTCTGGTGGGGGACCCCCCCTCGAATTTAATGAATCCACCATCTATCGACCCCAGGACGCTTTCCGTCGTGGCTTCGCCCATGCCTGTCTTTGAGTCTGTGTGGCTGTTGAGTAGGGGTGTGCCCGCCTCTGATGAGATCGGGACGGTCCATCAATAATCACTTCTCATGGTTCACCGGGGGGGAACAACTCAAGAAAGCGAGATAGAAGCTTGGGGTTGCATGGCTTGCTCGCGGTTTGCGTTGTGAACGGGCCCGGGAAGCGGGTCATGGCAGTTGAAAACCCTGCAGGTGCCAGAGGGATAGACAAGAAACGGCAGACGCCATGAGACAGAAGGGCCAGGACATCTTCCGCGAGTCGCTCGCGGAGCTTGAAGAGCAGTCCAGGCAGTTCAATGAGCGCGCCATAGTGCAGAGCCTCGGTTCGGAGCTGACTTTTGCGGCTTTTGGCGTAGGCTTGGACCCTGTTAAGCCGTGGTAACCCACAAGGCGAGCAACCTTTGATGTCCAACTTGTGGATGGCAAGGGGTTTGATGGGTTTCAACAGGCCTACATCTCGACAAGTGAGGAGTGATCAGCAGGTGAAGCAGGCCAGATCCGACCTGGCCAAGGGCGAGTCGGAGTACCATTCCTGCATCAATGCCGCCCGCCAGCTCCGCGAGGCTCCTCGGTTCCTGTTTTTTGTTTTTGTAATCTTCTGGTTGCTTCACCTCTTGAGCGCCTGTTTCAGTCTTGAGTGGCGACAAAAGCCACAAGTCAAGGCCTAAGTCAGAGTCTTTCGCTCCGAGCTCATGGAGTTTTTTTTCCCCCCTTCGGGAGAGCTCCAAATGGTGGTTGTCAAACATAGGCGTTCAAAATGGACCTTGGCAAAAATGGAGCCAACAAACTAAAAGACCTGGTGGTTGATTTTTGACGCATACCCAAGTTTCTCAGGACGTCATGTGCCGGTCCGGGTGGTGACTCATTTTTGTTTTGACCGTGGAACCAAGGACAAAACATGACCATGGAACCGACAAACCCAAAAACCCGCGGTCCATATCCTTTTGGCGACTCGAACTTCTTTTTGGGAACCTGGCCCATCCCCAAACACTTCTCAGGACATGGGTCCTGGTGGTGACTCAAACTTTTGTGTTTTTCGTTTTGCGACCTCTTGGCCCCAAGCAACAAACCCAAAGACCTGCGGTCCATATCCTGGTGACTCACGCTTCTTTTCTTTTTCTTTTTTTTTGGGAGCCAAGGAAAAGTTGTTCTGAGGACCTTTGGGACCTTTGGGACCTTTTGGACCTTTTGGACCTTTTGGACCTGTTGGACCTGTTAAACCTGTTGGCCGTCTTGGACCCAGCCCACCGGTTTTTGCTGGAGGACATGGGGGAGACCGTGGCGGCGGCGGAGCTGCTGAGCTCCCGGAAGGCGGAGCTGAAGAAGCGGCTGCAGCAGGCGGACGAGCCCTCGGTGGAGGCGCTGCGCGCCAAGTTGGACTCGGAGTCCGCCAAGTTCGCTCAGGTGGGCTTGAAGTGGGGGAAGTGTGGGGGGTGGTGGGTGGGTGGGCCCCAGAACTGGACTACAGGGGCTTGGTTGAAGAATGTTTCAGATTGGTGGCCCAACTTTGCCTGGCAGGGCGCTTGGTGCTTGGCTGTTGTTCTGTTGTTCCTTGACAGGTGGTGTGACATGCCCAGAAGAACTTGTGCCCACCCGGACGCGGTGAGTCAACTGCAGGGTTCTGGTTGTTGGGTGTGGGCGTGTGTTTTGTCAGGCTCCGCTTTGGCTTAAAGGAAAGCTGGAAGGAAAGCCGGCAATTGGGGGTGGGTCTAAGGGCTTGTCTCAAAATGGGGAATCCCTAAAATGGGCGGCTTCCTTTTCGTCCCCTTGGTTTTTTTTTTTCTCCGGGTTTAGTGAGGGGTTTCCATCTAAGTCAAACTTGAAGCAGGGGATCAGTTTGCGCAGCCCAGTCTTGGTTCGCTATAGGGGTTAAACCATTTCCGGGGGCTCAGGCGGAGCGGGAACAGAGGCAGCGGGACTCCCACGCGGAGGAGTGTGTGGCTGCCACCGAGCGGGCCTTGCAGGCCCAAGTGGTGGCGATGGGGTGGCGATGGGGTTTCCATTTCAGGGATGTGTCTCTCTTTTTAGGGACCCCTCCCAAAAAGCAAAATTGTGGTTTTGCTGCTGGTTACCGGTTACCCTTTAAAGCCACCAAAAAAACCGGGGTACCATGAAAGAAGACACACCCAGATTTCCTGGGAGGTGAGAGCAAACATGCCAAAGGAACCCAGCGTTTCTTTTCCCCAACATTGAATTTTGAGAGTCGCCGGGTGATGTCTGCATGAATTCCCACCGACTTCTGACCCAATGACAAATCATGGAACGTGTCTTTTCGGAGGGATTTGGACCCGCTATGGCAAAGGTTTCCTTTTGGTTTTTCCCTTGCCAACCCCAAAAACGACTGCACACACCGTGACGAGAGCCAAATGTTGGGAGCTGGATTGTTCTGGAAGACTTGCAACCATGGATTTGGGACAAACTGCAACCACCCCCTCAGGTGATAGGCGAACTGTTTCCGGTGCACCAGCAGTTTCCCGCCAGGTTGAAACCATAATTGCCGGAAACCTAATCAAGGTTCAGGATTTGCAACGCCACCAGCACTGTTTGACGGCGTGGTTTTCTTTGCCCTATCGGAGAAGGAATCACAAGGAGTTGGGTTAATGCAGCCAGAGGTAAGGCCCTGATCAAATCAACATGGAGCTTAGACAGCTCAAAGGTTCACTTCTTCCTCCACTTTCTCTTTTTCAACATTTCCCCTATACAAAACACGCCAGAGGCCAAAAACCCCGGGGCGCGCGTTTCTCGCCTCACCGCGATGCGCCGAGTGCTCCGAGCTCAGGAGGCCTCCCTGGACGCCTCAAAGCACGAGGCCCGGATCGCGGACGCCAGCAAGGCCATCGCGCGCCTGGAGGAGGAGGCCAAGACCTTGGCCCGGGCCGGGCCGGACCTGGACGCCCTGGCGCCTCGGAACGGGGGGGGTCTGGGGCTTCGGGGGTGGGGGGGGGGGGGGCGCTGGGGTCTTCGGGGGCCGAGTTTCCCCGAGAAAGCGCCCCAGCACAAAGAAAAACGCTGTAAAGGTGGTGCGATAGGTCGGGGACGTGGTTACGTACGAACGAACCCAGACGTTGGTCCCAGAATGCAGGAACGCCTCGGAATCTTGGGGTCTTGAGGGGGGCTTTGTGGGGCTTCGGGGTTTTCGGGGGCCGAATTTCCCGGACGGAGAGCAAAGATCGCGCGTGGAGGTGGGTCCTTTGAGGATTCGCTGGAGGGATCCTTTTGGACTTTTGCTTGCAGGATGGCGGTGTGTTTTTGGCCCGCAAGTGTTCAATGTCACTAACATGACATTGCCAACCTGTTGGCACACGGCAAGATCTTCCATTGCGAAGCCTGGCCCCCCCCAAAAAACAAACACAAACAAAAAACGCAACACAACGTAACAACATGGGTTCAATTTCACCAACATGGCTTGCCATCAACATCTTCCACATGCGTAGCCAGCCCCAAACAAAAACAAAAGCAAAACAACAAAACGACCACCGGGACCCCTCGTCGAGTCTGACTTTTGGGGTGAACCGAGGTGCGGGGCCTGCGGGAGAACGAGGCGGCTCTGGGGGCGGAGGGCAACGACACGCGGCTGCGGCGCCTGGAGAGCCGCCAGGAGGACATCGGCCGGAGGCGCCACGACCTTCAGTACTCCCTGCAGCGGAAGAGCGGCTTGGGCCATTTTTCTTTTTTTTATTGGCCCTTCGGTGAACGGATCCTTGGAACTGTTTAGCTTTTTTTTGGGCTGAAACAGGGGTTTCTCCGGAAATTGGACCCGCAGCAAGTTGCATTTTTTTTTTGGGGGGGGCAGAGGGGTCAACAGCAGCCAAGTTTTGGGCCCAGTTCATAGCTTCTGATTGGGACAATGGTTGTTTTTTCAAGCCTGATGCCCGTTTTTTTCTTCGCTTCCTCTCGTGGTCAGTGTTTAGCCTGGCCCGCGCCCCGGGACGGCCAACATGTCTGGCCACCCGCAGCTAACCACACTCATTGAGGCGGGCAAGGCCCAAGTCTTCCGAGGGGTGAGATGTTGAGGGGATGAAGGCAGGGTCTAGAAATGGAATTATTTTGGTTTGCTCCCTGCAACCACCCAAATAGATGAACGATATCTGAAAAGAAGCATGTAGAACTCTCTGGTAAGAATAGGGAGCCATCTTAAGATTCCAGGTCTAAAGGTTGGAGGAAGAATTGAACTTGTAATTTTGACCCCCTGAGTAATCTCAGCGAAATTTGGATTTGGTGACGGTTTGTTCCCCAAAAAACTATTGCACACAGCTACGGGGATGATTGCACATTCAAAGAGCATGTCTAAGCCATCCCTGTGATGAAGCCTGCATGATGGGGAGCAGGAATGACTCGTTTGTTGGGCTCAAAGTTGTAGCACGTCTTCCCGGTCCTGTTGTAGCCTTTTATTAAACACGTGACCAAACACGCTCGTGACGCAACCGACCCTGAGCTGGGGATTTTTTCGGCGTTCCAGAAGTAACGCAGTCGGGCCAGTCGGGTGCGCGAGTGCTTTCAAGGCAGCAGCTGGGGAACCAATACATGGGGACAAGTGCCAACTCAACCCGCAATCTCTACACAGCTTGACCTATCGAACAGTGCCGCCACCCCGACCATGAGGTAGACGCATGTCTTTTGCGCGAAGGGGAGAAGAACTTCAGAGAATCGAGAGCAAGTTGGGAGTCCAAGCTGGTCCACATACCCAAACATCTTAAAGCCAGGGAAGCTCGGAGAACCCAAATCAAGAAAGCCCAAAGAAAACAAGCCAAACACTCAAAGCAACAAGGACAGCTATCATGACATGGCAAATGATGCACCAAGCCAAAGCCAAGACACTTGCGGGCAGGCAAGCGAGCGAGCAAGCAAGCACACAAGCAGCCATTAAGAATCAACACGAACAACGACAAGGCAAACAACAAACCCACCAAGCCACAACACAAGCACAAACATCTGCACACACACACCAACCGTACCAAAACCCCAAACCACCGCAAAACCAAACACCGAGCAAACACCAGGCACCATCAAATGGCCATGGTTCAAAACAAATTGTACCATTTTGGGATAGGTAGGTTAGTCTATCTTAGTGGGGATTGGGATGTTCACTGGGGGTACGATTTGGATTTTGACCCATAGCCAAATCCAAGAAAACCCCCTGCCCAGACCGAGACCCGAGACGGAGGGGGGGGCTGAAGGCTCGGAGGTGGCGCAGTTGGAGGCCCAGAGCTCGGTGCACGCGGAGGTGGACGCGCTGCGGGGCAGGCTGCGGGAGGCGGAGGCGGAGCTGGGGAAGAAGTTGGGGGACCTGAGGCCGGGCGGGGGGGGGAGGAGGGGGGAGATAAAAGGAGGGCCAGTTTTTTTAAGATTTGTTTTTGTTTTGTTTTGGGTTTTTGTTCACAATAAAGCAACAAGTTCCCAAATTAAATCTCGGCCTGGGGACCAAAAAGGCGTTTGGGACAGGCCAACAACCAGGTTTAGAGGTCTTTTGGTGGAAGCCTGTAAGATATGCACCCAAGCAAGGCAACCCTCAAAAAGTACCCCAAGAGCAGTTGGGACCTGAACGAAGCAACGCATTTTTTGGGGGGTTGGGGCACCCCACAAGGGTTGGTGTATGCAACAAATCGTGTTGTGCCTTTGTTGAGGGTACCACTTTTCGGGTGGGTTGAAAGGAAGGGCACCAAGAAGGAGGGGGGGATTGCGTTGGAAGGTGTCTTCATCAGTTCAGTCAAGGAAAAACCTGAAGATGAAGCCCTGGTATCACCTGAAAAGGACCACAACAACAGGCACATCTTTGGCTGAGCAAGGAAAATTCGAGAAACGGGGCAGGGAACGCAATTGGCTTTGGTTCTAACGGTTGGATCGAAATGGTTGGACAGAATTCCAACGATGCAAATGACGCCCAGCGCAGGGTCCCCAATTGAACAGAAACTGGAAAAATACCAAAACATGTATGTGCCAAAGTGAGGTCTGTGTGCCAGGTGTGCCCTCAAAACGGTGTTTTCCCTTTAAACCTACCCCAAAAGGGTAGGGCGACCGCATTTTGGGCCAAGCCGAGCCGAGGGCGGGCCTGGTGCCGCTGCTGGGCCAGATGCCGGAGGCTGCGGAGGCGGAGGCCAAGGTGGTGTCCAGCCTGCAGGAGGCCCAACAGGCGCTGCAGCAGCAGGCCAAGAAGTGCCAGGACCGACGGGGGTTCAGGGGTTCAGGGGTTTAGGGGTTTAGGGGGTTTGAGCGAGCCGCCGACTGCGTGACAAGGGCAGCGGGCTCTGAAGGGGACTTTGAGAGAAACGCCGACTGTGTGAAACAAAAGGCAGAGGAGCGGTGAAAAAACAGGGGCGTCCGGTCGAAAAAAAAGAAGGAAAGCGGTCACCGAAAGGTGGACAAGAGAGTGATCCCCACCCCCTACCCCCCTACCTCCCACCCCTTGCCACCCACTACCACCCGCATTTTGGGCCAAGCGGCCGCGCGGGTGTCTCGCGCGCGGCCGTGCGGCCGCGCGCGCGGGCGCTTGAAGGACCTGCAGAGCCGCGCCAACGTGGCCGCCTCCAAGAAGGCCTCGGCGGAGGCGGAGCTGCACCGCCTGCAGCAGGCGGGGCGAAGTGTTTCAGGGGGCCGGGGGGGGCCGGGCGGGGGGGGGGGGGGTGGCACGTTTCGGAAAGCGGAGGGAGGAAAAGGAGGGAGGGCAGGGAGGGCAGGGAGGGCAGGGGAGGGGGGGAGGGGGTGGAGGGTGGGTGTGGGTGGGTGTGGGGGTGTGTGGGGTGGGGGTGTGGTGGGGGTGTGGTGGGGCAGGGACACGCCGAGTTTGAAATTGGAGGGAAACCAAGAAGCCAACCGCCTGGGACAAGCTGAATGAGCACTCAAAACCGAACCCGGCAATGTTGGTAGGTGGTTCACTTCCTGCCTGGTCTCATGTTGGTTAGTTAGGGCTATTAACACCTTACAGCCATTTTAATTTCTGGTAGTAAGTCATTGGGTTGTGGTACCCAATGGCAACAGTCAATCTAACCATCATTTTTTGAGGATGTCGTTTAGGGTTTCGGGGTTCTCTTGAAGTTTTACGGGGAAACCAAAGGACACCGTGCTTCGATTGGAGGACCATTTGGAAAAAAAGGTGGGGGGATTGACACCTCTAGCGAGGGCCCCACCAAGGCGTTTTGAGCAAAATCCCTTTTGTTTATCATAGCATTGGTACGCGAACTTGAAGAAAAATATGGGTTCTTCCTTTTTCTTTTCGGGATTGCTTAAAGCTTTTAAGGCTTAAAGGCTTTTGCTCCCCCCCCTCACCCAACTAGAGCAAACCTCTATTAGGCTCGGTCAACATTTCCCGTCTATTGCTCGTTTGGGCAATCACCGAAGCTGCCGGGCACTCACCCAATGGGGTAAAGCGCGATATTTTTTTCTGCCATGGTCTACAAACCCTTCAACTTGGGGTTGGTGATGATCAAGTGGTCTTTTCTTCAAGCTTTTGGATTGGCGGCTTTGCCACTGAGGGTCAACCCCCCGCAAAGGGATTCCCTTTTTCACGCGGGTCGTTCAACGTATGGATGTTCAACCGGGGCATATCCCCACCGTCTCATACCATGTTCAACCCCGATTAACATAATGGTGACCCAACTTAGATGATGCAACCCAATAGGTAAACAATGGCATTTGATAGGAGGAGCATGATAACTGTACATCATTCCCTAGGAGCCCCAAAAATGGTTTTGGAAGTACCCAAGCCTTTTCCAACTATTTAGGCGTCCCATGGTTTGAACGGTAGGCGCTCACATTAACCCCCCGGCCCCCTCCCAAGGGCAGAGCCGGGGCTCCACTTTTTGAGAGGTGGTTCATACCCCCAAAAGCGGAATCGTTTGGGTTGAAGTCTATGGCGAAGTCAAATGTTCACGGTCGGGACAGGAGGACGCCCGCCTCGCTGCGGAGCTTGGGGTGCAGTCAAGCTCCGGCGCCGCTGAGTTCAAGGCAAAGCCGGCCGGTCGACCCGCTGAATGAGAAGCCCTGGATAGCCCTCTGAGGGGTTTACCTACGTTTCATCTAAGTTGGGCCTGGGATATACGAACAAACATGTGGCGAATGCGAGCATCACCCACTTCAAAACCATTTTTAAGGGATCAACCTTTATGGGCGTTTGGTCAAGGACGTCAGCAAGCCAGTTGCTTTATGGCTATTTGGTAGCGGATGCTTTCTCTTTAACAACTTGTTGGTTGACACTCTGTGGGTTTTCCGAACCAGGCCTATAATAGATTATTCACTTTTTGCAGAGGGGTCGTTGCAGCAGCCAAGTGGGTCAATGAGTTTAGGGGTGAGTTTAGGGGTTGCACCTGTGGGCAAACCCGGAACAATGGGAGCACGCTTTTTCTTCCAATTAGCCACATGAGCAAACTGAACCGAAAAGGGGCGCGCCTCTTTCTTTCGGTGTGTCGCTGTTTTGGGCATGAAACTGGTGTCGCACCGACTTGGCTGGTTGGCCTTTCTCACCCCAGGAAGGCTCAAGGGCATTCTTCGCTGAAGTGATGTCTGTCGTGTGCCACCATTTTTTCCGGCTGGTTTCTGCGATCCAGGGCGCCAACCTGGAGCATGAGGAGCAGGGATCAGGTTTCGACTAGCCTCTCTAGGCATCAGAGCCGTCCCATTCTCAAAGTCATACCCAGCCCTGAAGCAAGCAGACCGCTGGGCCCAGTTTGGTGGCTGGAAGGTTTTTGGGGTCTGCCAATCCGCGCTCGCAAGCCCAACACGCCTCATGGACTCGGTGGGGCCTCCAAACCTTTTCTCGCGGCATGGGAGGGGACCGCCCAGAGAGTATCAGCGAGAGCCGGGCGAAGCCCTGAAGCCCTGTGAGGCGCGGCTTCACGAGGTCAAGCAGCAGATTGAGCTCGCGCGCAAGGACGTGTCCATGACCGAGAGTGCCAAGCATATGTACGAGAAGTTCCGAGAGAACCTCGCGCGAATTCTTCCCAAGCCAAGGGCTGAACCCCCCAAAATGGAATGGTCCATGGCCGTTCCCAAAGCTGCCTTTTTGTTGGTGGCTCCCAGCCATCCCCTTAGCTTTTTGGCTTTTTAGTTGGTTTCGTGGGGTTTCCATTTAACTCACTAGAAGTTAGTCACTTTTAGCAGGGGATCTGAAAACGGACAGCCCAGTTGGGTCATTCTTTTGGGTCTGTTCCTTTTTGTACGTTCCTTTCATGGCTCTTTTCGGTCCCAAAAAGCCTAAACAATGATCCCAAATCGATCCCAAAGTTTTCCCTGTTCCAAATGGACGGGATCCATTTTGGGGTAGGTGATTTCACCGCCGCCCATTTTCGAACCTATTTTAGTGGTTGGATTGGTTGACGTTCACTGGGGGCTAACCGATTTGGATGTCGACCCATGGCCACATCAGCCTGACTTTGTCAAAAGGATGCGGGTCAATCATAGGTACCCCAAATGGAAATTCTGGCAAATGGGGCTTTGTTCCCCAACAGCTGAAAGCTTTGGGGTCTCAGCCCAGATAGGGTCCGGGGTGGTCCGGGGCAGCCCTGAGGTAAGGTTCCACGAGGGTTCCACAAGGGTTCCACCAGAGTTCCACCAGGTTCTGCGAGGGCTGCGGGGTGGTCCGGGGTGGTTTGAGGTAAGGTTCCACGAGGGTTCCGCCAGGTTCTGCGAGGGCTGCGGGTCTGGGGTGGTTTGAGGCAAGGTTCCACGAGGGTTCCACCAGGGTTCCACCAGGTTCTGCGAGGGCTGCGGGGTGGTCCGGGGTGGTTTGAGGTGAGGTTCCACGAGACGAGGTTTCCACGAGGGTTCCACCAGGGTTCCACCAGGTTCTGCAAGGGCTGCGGGATGGTCTGGGGTGGTTTGAGGTAAGGTTCCACGAGGGTTCCACCAGCGTTCCACCAGGTTCTGCGAGGGCTTCGGGGTGGTCCGGGGTGGTTTGAGGTAAAGTTCCACGAGGGTTCCACCAGGGTTCCACCAGGTTCTGCGAGGGCTGTGGTTCCACGAAGGTTCTGCCAAGGTTCCACCGGCTTCTTCAAGGGCTGCGGGGTGGTCCGGGGTGGTTTAAACTAAGATTCCACCAGGCTTCCACCAGGTTCTGCGACCAGGGTTCCACCAGGTTCTGCGAGGGCTGCGGGGTGGTCTGGGCTGGTTTGAGGCAAGGTTCCACGAGGGTTCCACCAGGGTTCCACCAGGTTCTGCGAGGGCTGCGGGGTGGTCCGGGGTGGTTTGAGGTAAGGTTCCGCGAGGATTCCACAAGGGTTCCACAAGGCTCCAAAAGGTTCCACAAAGGTTCCGCAAGGTTCCATGGTTTGCCCTAAAGAAAAACAATGTGTCGTGCGCCCGTCGTCTGCTCAGAAGATCGCCTTGCTCATGTGCGGAAGCTCATGGTTCTCAGCACACTTTCAGCGTCTTGTGACTTGCTCACTTCCACGACAGTTCCACCAGGGTTCCACCAGGTTCTGCCATTTCTACTAGGCTTCCACCAGGTTCTGCGAGGGCTACGGGATGGTCCGGGTAATGTTCCACGAGGGTTCCACCAAGGTTCCACCAGGTTCTGCGAGGGCTGCGGGTCTGGGGTGGCTTGAGGCAAGGTTCCACGAGGGTTCCACCAGGGTTCCACCAGGTTCTGCGAGGGCTGCGGGGTGGTGCGGGGTGGTTTGAGGTAAGGTTCCACGATAGTTTCACAAGGGTTTGGCCAGGGCTGCGGGGGGGTCCGGGGTGGTTTGAGGTCAGGTTCACCCACCATGCTTCCACCAAATTCAACGTAAGGTTACACGAGGGTTCGATTAGGTTCCACAAGGGTTTTACGGTAATTCCACAAGGGTTCCACCAAATTCTGCGAGGGCTGCGGGGTGAGGTTCTGCGAGGGCTGCGGGGTGGTCCGGGGTGGTTTGAGAAGGTTCCACAACTGCTCCGCCAAAGTTCGACCAGGGTTCCACCATTGTTGCACCAGGTTCTGCCAGGGCTGCGGGGTGGTCGAGGTTCTGCGAGGGGTGTGGGGTTGTCCGGGGCAAGGTAAGGTTTCAAATGTTGGCTTTGTTGCAAATCAGATCACGTTGCTGCGGGATCATTGTGCAGCAAAGTAAATGCTTGGCGTTGCTGAGTAGTACTTGGGCTTTGGGTTCCAAAAACGCTCCACGAGGTTTCCACCAGGTTCTGCAAAAGCTATGGGGCAGCCCTGAGGAAAGGTTCCAACAAAGTTTCAGAGAAGGTCAGCGGGCAGTCGCGCGAGCTGCTCTACAGCATTCCCACGGCGCTGTGCAGGGAGATCGCGTGGGCAGCAGCGATAGAGCTCGCGAAGCAGACGACCGAGCTTGAAGCGCTCACCTGATTAGAGGTGGAATGATCCGTCTCGGCGCGGAAGATCCGTCTCGGGCCAAGGGAAAATACTTCCCTAGGGAGAGGCGCTCACTTGATTAGAGGTGGAATGATCCGTCTCGGCCCAAGGGAAAATAATTCTCTAAGGAGAGGCGCTCACCGGGCCGGAGGTGGAATGATCCGTCTCGGCCCAAGGGAAAGTTTGCGAGGTTCACCGGGCACAGGTCGGGCGATGCGCCGTGGCCCGATTGCACCGTCGGGGCCCGAGCGGGCCCGATTTGCCGTCGGGCCCCGATCGGGGCCGGACTCAGTCGGGCCGCGTCAACTGTACCAAGCTGGCATGGCCTAGTTTTGCTGGATACAAAAAACCGGCGTTGAGCTATAATATGTGGCTGGGGTTGGTGGGAGCCCGCTTGCACCACGGGACCATCGGGCCCCCGGTCCCCGATCGGGCCCCGATTGGCGCGATTGCGCTGTCACTCTTAGCTTTGCTTTACAAACTTACAACGCGGCATCCTCAGCAAAACCGGTCGCGGGGCGTTCCGCGAGGATTCTGGGAGGGTGTGGTGCTGTTGGGGATATCGCCTGAGCTTATTATTTTTTTTGGGGGGGGCTGGGGGGTCCCACGGGCCCAAAAATGGATCCCGGTGTCCGATCCCAGGAAGTCGCGGTCCAAGAACATCTGCCAGTTCTGCAAGCGGGGCTTCCACGGCGCCGGGGACCTGGCCACCTTCGAGGACGCCATGGAGAAGCTGATCGCCAAGATCCCGGGGTTCTTGGAGCGGCTGGGCCAAAAAGAAGGAGGGGCCTGCTCTTTTTTTTTGGCAGTTGTTTGGGGTCTAGGGTTTAGGGTTTAAAGTTTATTTATATATATGTATATATATTTATAAAAGTAAATCCGCGCCCTTATTGAAAGGAGCGGTCTGTGGTAGCATTAAAGGACTGGTAACCAGTGGGGCTTGTGTTTTGGCATGCCCTAACATCCCCCCAAACCAAACTTGCGATCGGTTCGAGAGATACAGGGAAGGCGAACTGGAAGCACCTCACAAGGAAACCATCCCAGATTTGGGTTCCTTTGAGGGACTCCCAAACGGTTCATTCCCCAAGACCCGGAGGTCATTCCCTGAGCACAAGCAAGAGAAGCGACATCGTGGCAAACGGACTGGAAACCACTGGGCTCAGCGTGGCTGAGCTCCACAAAGTCAAGGCAGATGCTGCCATCCTGCCACAGTACTGGTCCCAATCGCGGTGTGAGCCGCCAGAATTCTTGCAAGGGCAAACGCTTTTAGCCGCTCTCAGCTCAGAAAGTCCAGTGGGAGAGGTCCTGATGTTGGTATGCCCCCAGCTCCGTTGCCCAAATCTCACCTCTGCTTGAAGAGGGAAGACTCTTTCCTCCCTCCCAACCACCTCCCAGCTCCCCCCAGCTCGGTATGAACTGTGGACAAAAAGGTGTGGGGGGGTGTTATGTCCACCAGCCACTCCCCCAACCACCTCTCAGGTCCAGCCACCAGAAGCTGAACGAGGTCCAGTCGCAGGAGGCGTCTCTGGAGGCCCAGCGTCCCCGCTGGGAGCGCCTGGAGATTTTGCGCCGGGAGGAGCTGCCCCGCAGGCTGAAGGAGGTCCAGCCGGCGGCGGAGGAGGAGCGCGCCCTGGACGTCCGATTGGCCCAAGGATGCCGTACCATTTTTGGCTAGGTGAATTCACCACCCATTTTAGAAACCAGTTTAGTGGTTGGTTGGAGACCTCGGTTTCCCTCTTGGGGATCCTTAAAAGGCAGGCTGAAGGCATGCCCAAGATGGCTCATGAATGTGTCTGATGTGTTTGGTAAATATGCGTGTACACGTACTTCTGTGGCCCTGGGCCCTTTGAAGCCACAGAAGTGCCACGTTTTTGATGTCCCCAGACGTTCGCCCTGAGAGGCCCGGATCACACTAGGGCTTGTATCGCCAAGCCACGGGCCGCGGCTCACAAGGAGTTGGAAGGTTCAACATTCGGTGTCCCGGGCCCCCTAAGCGGTTTCATGCCGGCCTCCCTTTGAAACAACAGAAAGGCGTCGTCTTGCTCCAACATAAATTAACCTTGGGCGTTTACTGGCCATACTCTTTGATTACATTTTGCTTGGGGTGGGGATGGCGGCAATCTCCCGCCATAGGGCGGGGTTGTTTATGTTTGATTGTTGGTCGCGCCGTTGCCAACGCATTGACTGAATTGTTTGTCTTTTCTGGGTTTCTCAGATGAAGTATGGATTTCGGACCTCCACCCTCAGTCGAGGAGGCTTGCCCAGTTGTAGGGGGACCCGGGTCAGCTTTCTGTGAAGCTTGGGGTTGCTCCCCTTCCTTCAAATGTGGAAAAACAACTCGTGGAACTGGCAGATTTTCATTTGGGTGTCGTGTCTGTGGGAATGAAGCCAGAAATTCCCTTAAAGGAAGCCACAAGGGATGGTCATTCCCTCCTTCCCTACCCAACCAGCACGCAATTGTGGTGCTGAGGCTCCCTGCGCACTGCCCTGGAACCACAGGAGCGCGAGAGGAAGCGCCTGGAAGAGCAAGAGCCTTGGCTGAAGGCCAAGTCATAGGCACCGTAATCCCAGAGCCATGCTTCAAGAATTCAGAAGGCGGATCTCCGCAGCTATTTCTGGTTGGGATTGTTCCTTGCTAAGCTGAATCTACCTGGGTTTTGATTGTGACGCAAGAAACATCAGCCAAGAGGCTAAGCCCTGGGCCAGGGTGAGCAATGAGGCCATCTGCCCCTGGGGGCTAATGTGCCATAGATAGCATAGGAGGACGCACGCCCTTTGAGTGACTCTAGCTAAGTATGCCATCCCATCCCGTAAAGCGGCGCCTCGAGTCACGTGCTTGCCAGGTCAAGGCTCTGCACGAGCTGCGCCCGGAGGCTTCTGCTTTGCAGTTGCCTGGCTGCACTTGGGGCGGTTCTTTGCTTCGTACCTCTCACGTAAGCCTCGGCTCCCGGATATGTTGGCGGCGTGGGAAAAAAGCCTTTCTTGAGATGCTTCCTCATGTTCCAGCGGGTTTCGCGCTCGCGCCTCATTCCGCCCCTGCTTTTTGCCGATTTTCTGCCAGGCGGCTCTCGCACTCGGTGGAGGAGCTGCGAGTGGCGGTCCGGGGCAAAGAGGCGCGCTTGCTGGGGGCCAACTCCAAAGTCTCGCTGCAGGCGCGGTCTCGGAGTCACCCGAAACGGATTCGAACGAAGGAGTTCCAACGCGCACGTGGCAGCCCATGTGTTCTTACTGCCTTGGACACGGCCACGCACGCCAGGAAGCCGACCCGAGGCCTTTGCCAAGCGTCGCGAAAGCATCGGCTTGGCACAAACATGCATCGGGGCCGGGGGACGTTTCTCCTTTCACTATGGCATTTGTGCCCTGAAGCCCGTAAACTCTTTGCAGCGATGTGTGGGTTTTGTACGGACCCCGGATTCGCAGGCTTAGCCAAAGGGCAAGGAAGGATCTACATCAACACGACACCCCAACAAGAACACAGCAGGCTGGCTTTTCAACTTGGAATTGCCCAAATTTTTCCATTTTGAACATGTATCCTAGCAGTTCCTTGATTCTGGGCTTCATGAACTCCTCTTCAAATGGGGTATTTCGCAGATAGCGAGTTCACCCCAAATGGTGGGTTATGTGGGGAATAGCCCCCCAACCACCTTATTACAGGCTGGTGAAACATTAATGTTAACCCCGGATTAATAAACCCCTGGTTGATGAATAGGGGGATGTCCCCTTTTAGTGGGGATTCAGACCACTTTTGGAGGGAACACCCCCCCCAATAATGGGACGGGTTTGTTAATCCGATCGGGTCAACAGAAAAAATCACCCAGATCGGTTCACGGATTCTGGGCTTCACGGATTCCTCTTCCAAGCGGTGAGGGGCCCCCCACTTGGCGCGAAACGTCAGGCGGAACGGGACCAGCTCAGGGCCCTGCAGGAGCAGCTGGTGGAGCTGGGCAAGGCAGGGGTACCCGCGGAGGGCGGATCACACATCCATGTTTTTGTTTTTTTACACCCATATATATATATAACAATGTACACATTTGTTTGTTTTATTGTTATTGTTTGTTTTTCTTATTTTTTTTAAGGTCCCCTGGTTGGTTTTACAGGGAACCTATCACCACTGGACACATCTTCTTATTTTTCCAGGGTGCTGAAGCAAATGACAAACGGACGATTAGGAATAGGCCCCCCCGGAGATTGAACAACCCAGGCAGTGTCAACGATACAGCGATGCGGGATAAACCCCATTTTCAAAAAGCAAGCCAGGGATGGGATGGATGGGCTGACACCACAGAGCTGAGCCGCATGAAATTCAACACTCAATTTGTCCGCCACCAATTTGCGCCAAGCAGCTTGGAAGTAATTGGATTGTCACGCTAGCAAAGAGTTGTCACCCTTCTCGGGCTTGCGAGTATTTGGGGTTAGTCTAAACTTTAATCCAGTGCTAGGGGTTGGGGGCCCAACATATTTCCCATTTCCCAAGTGGTGCAATTTCAACTCGTGATTTCCATTGGGCGCTTCAAACAGATGGGGACAGACTCCACGAGGCTTGTGAGGTGGTTCGGCCCATCAGCTGAGCGGTCCCCCTGGTTTGGGTGCTTCTCAAAATGCCGTTCACCTAGCATGTGCGGTGACAATTCACATGGATTCAAAGTTGGGAACCCCATTCTATCCAAAAGTTGGTTGGCATTCCATTCCTGGCTTCCCCTCAAATACCAACCAAGGATCCCTCATTCTGAGAGACACCTCTTTGGGCTCATGGCTGAGGAGGAGGACTCGGTGCGCATGCAGCGAGACCTGCTGGCCAAGCAGCAGGAGCAGCTGAGGACTGCGCGGGCGGAAGTTTTTTTTCTCTTTTTTTTGTAGGAAAGCAACCTTTTGCTGTGTCTTCAGGGGAAACCACATTCTGAGGTTCGCTAACTTTTGAGGCAAACCCTTTTTCCAGAGGGGCCCCATACCAAAAGCAAAAAATTCGACAGGGAGTCTCCAAAACCTTGCTCAAGCAAGTTAACACCCACCTATGACTTGCAACGCATTTGTTCGACCAACCAAGCACATCGTACACCTAAGATTGTTTGCGTGACTTTGTGTGTATGCATGCACACACACACATGAAAGGATCAATGGGCAGAAAAGTGCAGTTTTGATGGCTGCATCCCATTTGTTTCCTCATCTTAAGCCATTTTGTTCCTGAAAGGAACCCAGGACGTTCACTTGGAATTTATCTTGACGTCGATAATTCCTGCCTATATTCTGTGCCAGGACATAGACATATCAGATCCATAAACCTTGTGTCCGCTCAGGGGGTTTCAACACCTTTTCCCCCAAGCGAAAGCCAGGTCAACGCGGCAGGTTTCTCATTTTCAAGAGACTCTTGTAAGGCGATGTTTGGCAGCAACAACGGGAAGCTCCAAAAAAGCCGGTTCCATGTCGAAGTCCTTCCACAGAAATCTCATTTCTCCTGGGCCGCGCTCCAAAATGGCGGACTTCATGTCGGTTTCTGGTCAAAAGGCAGCCCTGGACTTTGGGACAAATGCTTTGATTCACGGACATGACGGCTAGGTGCAGGACCCCGGGCATCCAGCGGAGTCTTTCTTGTTCAAAGCATCCCCTTCAGACCTCAGTCTGGGAGCTCAGTGTTCGCAGACACGAAAAAACAGGACAGCAAGAAACAAAAGAGGGCAGCACAAAGCAAGAAACACCGCCGCCGCGGAAACGTGGGATTTTTCTTCAGGGTCGTTGGATGGAATGCGACCGCCGCCGCTCGAGCGAGCGAGGACGCAGATCGCGGAGCAGAAGGGCCGCATGCAGCTGCTGCAGTCCCAGGTGGCCCGGCGCAGCGACGTGGACTCGGAGCTAGCAGTGCGCAAGGCGCGGGAAGCGAAACGAATCGGTCGAGGGGCCGAGGGACCCTGGTGGACGGCAGGGGGTTGGAGCTTCTTTTTGGTTTGTTGCTGTTGTTTTTCTGTTTGTTTTGGGGGAGGGGTGGGGGATCGTTGGATTTTGAGTGACACTTGTGGAGTTTGGATTTCGGGGTACTTTTGGAGGAGAAGCGGGGTTCGTTGCAACTTGTGTTTCAATACCATACCCATTTTGTTCCCCTTGAAGGGATGGCACATTTCCACGTTTGGAGTTTTTTGGGTCATGGCTCCGTGAAGCAAGGGTCCCCCCTGGGGCCTGGGAGTTCGGAGAGCGCGGACATCCGACTTCCACTCGAAGCCTAGCTCGGTCGTGTGGAGCCGGTCTCTTCGGTTTTCGTTGCCACGCCCACTCCGACCCAGGACCAGCCCAAAGCGCAAGTATCACCGTGCCCGCCCTATGTTTTGCTTTTTTTGGTTGGGGTGCACGGTCCCAAGTCCCACGAGCAATGGGTGCAGTTGGAAAGGTGTCACTTCAAACGGTTGGCTTCATGCTGGCGGTCTGGATCTAAACAAATTCCTCTTGGAGGTATGTCAAACCTGGTCAAACAAACAAATCAAAAACCAGGCCTTGTTCACCAAACTCTGTTGACAGGTTTGGATTCTCAAAGAAGCCAACAACGGTTTCGTTGCAAACTTGCCACCACGATACAGCTTTAAACAAGAGCACTATTGGGCATGGTTGTATCCAAAACTCCAAAAAACAAGCAACAGAAATGTTTGCAAGAAAGCCTTGTTTCGGCGTTACTTGGCCAACTTCCGCAAGAATTTCCATATGCCCAGCTATCAAAACGCGGCCCGCCCACTGGGTCCATCAAAGTTGCATCCTCAAATTCATCCTCTAAATGGTTTGAAGGGAAACCAACTCCAATCATTTTGAGCACCGGAAATGCTTGCTGGTGCTCAGTAGGGACTGACCTTCCGATGGGAATGAACCGACCGGGGATTCCCAAAGGATGCCAAATCGGGGATGTTTTTTCTTGGGGGTCCTTCCAATTCTCACTTCCTGCCGATCGAGCCAGCAAGAATGTTTAAGCATTCGGAGTATCCCAAAAAGTGACCCCAACAAGTCTCCGATTTTCAGGTGGTTTCATTCGGATTTCGGCCAAAGAAAAAGGCTCTTCAGGTGGCTTCATTCGGATTTTGTCTCAAAGAAAAGGGCTCTTCAGGTGGTTTCATTCGGATTTCGGCCAAAGAAAAAGGCTTTTCAGGTGGTTTCCTTCGGATTTCGGCCAAAAAAGGACACTATGCTCACCGTGGATCCGGGGAACACCCCGCCCAGAAAAGCGCCGCCGGAGTCGGATTCGGCCGGGTCCACCAAGCGGGCGCCAGGTGGAGCTCCAGGAGAGCACAGAGACGGCGCGGCGGTCGAGGGCGGCGGCGGAGTCCACGGGGGCGCGGGCCAAGGCGCTGCGGGAGGAGCGGCAGCAGGCGGTGGCACGGTTCCGGCACGAGCGGGACATCCAGGAGACGGGGAGGGAGCAGGGGAGCGGGGGAGACGGGGGCGGAGGGAGGGGAGGGGAGGGGAGGGGGGTGGGGGGTGGGGCTGGAGGGGATATGGAGAGGGGGTTGAGGAGGGGTGGGGTCGTGGTTGGGGCTGTGTGTGTGGAGCAAAAGGGGTGGCAGGGAAACAAGGGAGTTGGAGGGTGAGGAGGTGTTTTTGGGGGAGTTGAAGGGAGTTGAAGGGCATATTTTGTTTGGGCTTCTCTGCTTTTCCAAGATGATCACAGGTGCTCTTTTTTTTTTCTTCTAAATGCTGGCGTTGCACACCAATTTGAGGTCCATGCTTCTTGCATGTGCAAAGCGCCTCACAGCCTGCCGCGGCTTTCTTTCGTCCAGGACGCCAAGGTGCGGACGCTGCAGCGGGAGGTGGACGCGCTTACGGAGCTGACCAAGTCCATCGAGGCGACCTGGCCAAGTACTGGAGCAACACATGGCCAGTTGAAGCCAGAGGCGAAAGTACCCAGATGGTATTTGGGTCCATGACACACACACACACGAATCCCGGAGGATTTGGGAGATTTATCTTTTGATTTTTTTTTCTTCGATTTTTGTCGCTTTTGGCTTTTGGGCTTCTTGGCTTTTCGGCTTCTTGGCTTTTCGGCTTCTTAGCTTCTTGGCTTCTTGGTTTTTTGGCTTCTCGGCTTCTTGGCTTTTCGGCTTCTTGTTGGTTTATGCGTCTTTTGGTGGCTTTTTGGCTTTGGCTTTTCGCATCCTCTGCATTCCCAGTTCCTCTTCGGCTGATGCGGGAAGCCAAATCCAAAAAACCAATGAAAGGGTGCAAAAGCCAAAATGCCCGGACAGGAACTGGGAAAGCAGAGGATGCGAAAAGCCAAAGCCGCCAAAAGCCGCATAAACCAGCGAAAAGCCGCAAAAGCCAAAACGCCACACCAGTTTTCTCATCACTTCTTCGAACATCATGGGGGGGTCCCCCCCACCCACCTGCTACTTAGATTGTTTGCAGAGTAATTGCACACCTATTTGAATCAACACTTCTTCAAACATCATGGTGGGGCCACCCCAAGCCCCCCGCTACTTTTTAGATTTCTTGCAGAGATTTAGTTGCACCCCTATTTGAATCATCACTTTTTCAAGCGCCCAATTTCGCGAGAAAATGCTGTAAAATACGACATTTCAGGTAATCTATGTAATCCATGTATGTCTGTATGTATGCACTTCTTCGAACATCATAGGGGAAGCCACCCCCGCCAACCCTCCCGCTGCCTTTTAAATTCTATCGCACCCGTTCTTGAATCATTGCACCCCCACTTGAATCATCACTTCTTCGAACATCATGGGGGCTGCTGCCCCCCCCCCAACCCCCCCCCGCAAAGTTTTAGACTTTCTACAGAGATTTAATTGCTCCCCTATTTGAATCATCACTTCTTTGAACATCATGGGGCAGAGCTATTCGAATAATCACTTCTGCGAACATCATGGGGGGCGGCCCAACCCCCCCCCGCTACTTTTTAATTCTTTTTACAGGGATTGAAATGCCCTCCTATTTGAATCATCATTTTTTTGACCCCGTCAACCCGCCAGCTACTTTTTTGATTCTGTTACTCACGACTTGTTGGTGATGTGGTCGGACATGCGGGGGATGTTGAAAACGATGCTGGGGATGTTGGCGGGCTAGTGTAAAATGCGTGAATTTTGCGAGAACATGCTGTAAATTACGACATTTTACTGGCCCGGACGAAAAACGAAAAAAGTCCCAAAAAATCCGGAAAAAAGAAAACAAACAACAACAACCCCAAAATAAATCCGCACCCTTTTTCTTTCAAGGGTATTTGATTGGAGCTGGAGCAAGTTCCTCAAACACACCCCAATGTTGTGGCTGACGCTTTGTTCGCCCAAAATTCCACGTTTTGTGGGGATCAGTTCTCCCAGAAATTCTTGTGTCCTAAGCTTCGGGTTTTTCCTTGGCTTCCCCTTCGCTTCTCGTTGCCCCCGTTTCAGGTGATGCACGGCCGCGTGGAGAACGCAGAGGCCTTGAAGGCGAAGCTGGCGGCGGCGGACGGCAAGGAGGGGACCCCGTCCGGCATTTATCATTATGAATGTTACTATAATCGTTATACATATACCTACATATTTGTATTTGGTGGGTTATTTTGCACAACTTACCTCTTAAAAACACAACTTTTCAACTTTTTGGGTAACATGGGCTATATGTCTGCAAAAGGTTAACTTCCCCAATCCTTGGAGTTTTAAGGGGTAAGACAAAGGTGCCCCTTTTGAGGGGTAGGTGTGGACTTTGTTTTGGCTTTGCACCCTTTTCTGCGGCACAGGGGCGCGCTCGGTTCCTTGAGCCCGGCTGAGAATGGGTTTTTTCGGGGCCGTGAGACGGTGCATGGGGAGCCGAGACCAGGTGAGGGCTTCGGAGCGTGAGCTCGAGGGCCTTCGCGCGCGCCTCGAGGGGGCGGAGGCTCGAGCCGAGCCGAGCTCGGGGAGTCTGGCGGTTTTCGGTCATGTCTCGAGGCTTCCTTCGGATTTCGTTGATCATGTCTGGTTGTGGCTGTGGTCCTGCTTGGGTTCCCTTAGCCCATCATCCCCAGCCAATGGGAAGTACCTTTTAGCAACCCAAAGGGCGATGGTTGCAATGAACAAATGGTTGCAGAGCAACGTGGTTGCACTCTGAATGAACCCTTCGCACCCAGCAACTTGGGAATTTGCTGCCAAACGGGGTGGTGATTCCTTTCATCATCGGGCAGGGCAAACGTGGATTGGCCTCCAGCTGGTGGTTGGCTTTCCTTGGGATCGCCTTGAAAGCATTACCTTCTTTCAGCAAGCGAGTGTTTGCCATGTTCAGACTCATGTGATTTTTATTTGGTGTTTTGGGCAACACATTTTGTTTGGGAGAGGGCATGTTCACCCAGTGCCTTTTGCCCGACCCATGCAACCTCGGCTTTGCCAATGCCCATCTTTGAGATGGACAGCCCGCTCACCAAGCAACCGACGAACCAAGCAAGCAAGCAACCAAACATGCAAGCAAACCAACGAAGCAACGAAGCAACGAACCAGGCAACAAACGAACGAACGAACCAACCAACCAAGGCAAGCGAGCAACCAAGCAACCAAGCAAGCAAGCGACCAAGCGACCAAGCGACCAAGCAACCAAGCAAGCAAGCAAGCAAGCAAGCAAGCAAGCAAGCAAGCAAGCAAGCAAACAAGCAACAGAGTAAGAAGCCAAGCAAGCACAGGGGGGTCTTTTTGCCAGCCTTCGTGGAAAAATGATCGACTCCCTCGTAGTGAAGGATTCCTTTTTGGGGGGTTCGCCAATTTTCTCACAAAGATGGCAAACAGACCCCCCTGAGCAAGCAAGCAAGCAAGCGAGCGAGCGAGCGACCAACCAATCAACCAACCAACCAACCAATGAGACGGGTTTCCTACAATTACCCCTGCCAAGATGGATAAAGCTGGACGTAGGACAAGAGGAAGAAGAAGGAGGCGGTTCGGGAGGCGCTGCAGGCCAACATCCGGCTGAAGAAGGTGGAGGCAGAGGCCCAGCAGCACCAGCAGGCGCGGATTCAGTCGGCGGGTGAAGGCTTCCCTCGGAAAGGGCGCAGTTTCTGGGGTTGACGGTAACCTGTTTCGGGGATGTCTTCAAGGGAAACCCGGGGGGCGGGTCGAAAGGCTTGAGTACACCCCTTTCCACCAGGAGTTGAGTTTTTCAAATATATTTTTTTGGGGGGAGGGAGCCAAGTGGACGCACGTCCCAGCACAGTGTGCAGGGGTTCTTTTTTCTTCTTTGCCAAGGGCCTCCATAAGTACAATTCGCCATGAGAATCAAAGTGCCGGAATGATTCTCAATAGGGAAGTAGGTGGTTGGTGGACCTGAACCCCAACGTCAATGACGTCCACGGGTCCCTTAAAGTCCATGCCCAGCGTCACAGGAGATCGAGACCTTGCTGAAGGACCTGGGCGGTCGCGATGTAGAGCACCTGCGTCGCCAGGTGGGGAGGTCGGGCTTTCGGCCGGGTTGGTGACTCATGTTGGTCCCTTCTCAGGACTCCGACGCCGGGCTTATGGGCCGTTTGGATCTTTCGGCTTTCTAGTGTCTCCCTATCTGCGCTCGAGGTTCCAGAAGGTTGACCGTTTGCACCCATGGGACTGTGAGGTCTGGCCTGACTTCAACCAAAAGCACCGGTTCGCCAAGAAAAAGGTCCCTCCCGAGGTGATCGCCGTGCGGCAGCGCAGCACGGAGCTCCAAAAGCAGCGGTCCTTCCGTGAGGGCGAGCTGGTGCAGACTCGGGAGGCAGTGAGGGCGCTAGAGCTGGAGCTGGCCTCCCCTTTGTACGCAGGAGCGGGCCATGCATTTCGGGGTGAGGGGACATGCATGCTTTTGTTCGAATCCACCTGGTCGGTTGCCTTCCTGGATACGTGGAGAACCACGTGAGTGGATGCTCATCGAGTGCCTGAGGAGTGGAGCAGCGCCACCGCGAGGCGACCATTCGACATGAATCCGCCGCGCTGGCCGCCAAGGACCGCTTGCGAGGGGGTTTCACGCGAGGACGGGCCGGGGAAAACAGAGCTACTTCTTTGCGAAGGTCACCAAGAGATTACCATTTTTTCCCTTCCCCCCCCCTTTTTCTCGTTTTTGGGGCGGAGCCTATCTTAAGTGAGCTGAGTTGGCGTTGAGCGGCCTTGAGCCCTGAACTTCGGATGTGCTTTAAGGCCTGGGCCGCAAGGACCTTGGCAGATACCATTCAGCACTGGACAAAGCCTTGATGAAGTTCCACACCCTCAAGATGGCTGAAATCAACAAAACGATCAAGGAGCTTTGGCAGAGAGCCTCCTGCTTGCAAGTCGCCTTGCTTCACACTTGGGCAAAAGCGCCTCATATTCCGAGGTGTACCGCGGGAGGGACATTGACTATGTCGCCGTAAGGCCAGGGCTGACTGGGCGAAACCGCCTCTCAAGACGATCGGGAAAGCCGCGTGCCGTGCAGGTCCGACTCCGATGAGGCGGATGGAGAAGGTGGCCCTGTGGACTCGAACGCGGCTGGCCGGCCCTTGCACCGAGCCTAAATCCGCGAAGTGAAAATGTATGTCTCAGAGGTGCGGTTCTCAGGCGCAACTACAACTACCGCGTGGTGATGGTGTGTGGGGATGCCGAGATGGACATGCGCCGGCCCCTCAGCTCGTTTTAGGCTGCCATGTGGGGCATGAGATTCGAGCGAGGTGGGCGTTGCAGTGCCGGACAGCGTGTCCTTTGCTCCCTCATTATTCGCTTGGCGCTGGCCGACTCTTTCTGTGTCAACTGCTCCCTGGCTGGAAAGGGCGGCAAGCAATGGGCTTGGCAAAGAAGATGCATGCCTGTGGGGCGTTGCCTGAAACCCACAGATTTCCACGCCCTTTCACTTGCGGCACTCCTCAAGGCGGGGTGCTTGCCCTCGATGAGCCAACCACAAATCTGGATGCGGCCAACATCCGGGGGCTGGCGGAGGCAAGGGCGTCCAGCTTTGGATGTTGGGGGGGGGGGGGGGGTCTCTTTTGTCGGGACCCCAAAAAGGTGGTTCCCTGACGCCGCCCAAAAAGGGAACCCTCAGCAAACAACCCTCCCCCCTTAAAGAGGTGGTTCTTGAGCCCACGAAAAGGGGTACTCTTCCTCCAACAAGCATAGCACCTGCTTGTTGGGTACCTGGAAGATGAGTTTCCTCTTAAAGGAATCTTTTCTTGGTGGCTCCCAGCCATCTAGCTTTGTAGCTTTGTAGCTTTTTAGTTTTTTAGTGGTAGTTTCCATTTCACCAACTAAAAGTGAGAATCACTTTTAGCCGAGGATCTGAAAACGGGCCCAGTTTTGTCAGGCGCTAGTGGGACGGAGGGGGCCGCCGGCAGCCTCGCCTCAACCAGAAGCCACGCCTCGAGGCTTTGGCCAGCCTCATCGAAGCCCGGCGCTCGCAGTCGAGGTTTCAGCTGGTGCTCATTACCCACGACGAGGCGCGGCGAGGCGAACAGGGCTTCCTTCCTCTTGGTTGCTATGGGGTTGGGCCTTTAGACGTTAGCTTGTTGGGACATCCGGGGTTTTCCATTGAACCCACAATTTCCATTGAACCCACAAAACTTGAAACATTTTTTCTTGCAGAGGGGTCAACAGCCGCCAAGGATCCTGGCAAGTTGCGAAGCTGCGAAACTTGCGACGCTGCTCGCCAGGTCTTTGTCAATCGACTTGCGCAGCTCCAGGTGTGCGAGTGGTTTTACAGGATTCACAAAGACGAGACTTGGCGTGCACATGTTGTTTTTGAGGCCTGGCATGTGTTGGCATACCGGCGATGCGCGGGCCCGGAGGAATCTGGATGTTCGAAGATCGAGAAGCAGCGGATCCAGCTGTTTGGGGATTGACAGGTGGAAACGTTTCACAGCCCGCCAGCGGTCGTTGAGAGCCGCGGCGCGCCACGTTTTTCAGTGCAGTGCACTGGCGCAATGTCGGCAGCTCACATCCTTTCAGCCTGCCGATTGTTGCATCATGTGAGCCCCTGGCAAGCTCTTCAACTTCATCAAGTTATTTTGGGTAATTCGCGCATGATCCTAAGGATGTTGGAACATGTGACCGTCCTTGCTTTACACGACTTTACATGTTGGCTTTGGCAGAGGCTCACGTGTACAAACTTGCTGCTGGCAACTTCCTGGCTTGAAAGGCTTTATTGATCGATTCGTAGTTTTATGCTCGCTGGGTTTGCTTGGTGGGGACAAGCCGCGTAGTTTTGGATGTGGCGCCGTAGGAAAAAGGGATGTCCATTCTGCTCATGGCATCGCCCACATCCAATCTTCAACTTATAGTCGTATGGTTGGGCTGAGATTACTGAAGCGCACATGCCGTGAAGGTATCTCATCAGATCCGGACTGGCCGTACACCCAGCCAAGCGATCGACCCGAGAACACCTATGGTTATAGCCTCGTGCCTCAGGCCGAGGAGGCCGCAATGGGCTTGAACTACAGCATCTTCAACTGGGCTGCCGGGGGCCTTATGGCGTCGCTGGCTTCGCTGGCCTCGCTGGCTTCGCTGGTCTCGTTGGATGCATCCAGGCGGTGCACGGGCCCGGTGAGTTCCATGGGCCCGGGGCCCAGGTATTCCGGAGATTTGGCGAGGCGAGTGGACCCGCCCGCCAGGCCCCACACGCATGTGGGGGAGTACCATGTGGCTGTCTTCTACGCGCAGGCCGTTGACCAGTTGGCCAAGCAGCCGGTGCAGCTCGCCGACATCCGCAGCCGCCAGTTTGTTGTTGAAGCAGGGGCGGGGACGGGCGGCGAGGTTTGCGAGGTTTGCAGGGAAGGGGTCATGAGCGCGCCAAAGTCGAGCGCTGCCATGGCGGCCCCTCTCAGTTTGCAGGCGCAAGCTGTGGCGGAGGCGCCCCGGCTCATCCCAAGGCTCGCACGGCTGCGGGAGCTGCACACGACTGGCGCGTTGTCGCCTCCGGACCTGTGCGTGGCGTACATGGTGGTGACACTGGCCCTGCGCTACGGCGGCCGCGCAGTGGCCGGCCGGCGGAAGAGGCCGGCGGAAGAGGCCAGAGAAGAGGTGCCATCCAGAGCACCGTACGACTCCGCAGGGCTGGCGAGCCAGGAGGTAAGAGAAATTCTGGGGGAAGATCTTCTCAGCGATCAGGCCCTGCGAGTCTGCCACCATCCGGGATCTCGCCTTGAGTGGGAGGTTCCGAAAGATCCCACAGCACGTGCCCACGTGCCTGGGCGCGTTCTATTCCGGCCGCCGGCCTCTGCGGCTCATGTTCCGGATCCCCGAGCCAGCGGAAGTGCTTTCCATGCAGGCGGAGGGGCTGCGCTGCGTAAGCGCGCTGACCTCCCCCCAGCTGTTGTCACAGATCTTCGGGCACCGGGACTGCCTGGAGATGGAGAAGTTTGTGGAGGCCGGGCGCTACTGGCAGCAGGTGGGCTTCTTCCAGTTCCTGCAGGCCACAGCCAAGGAGCAGCTTTCCTGCCTGAACCTGGGCAGGCGCTGGGAACTGTCTTGGAACTACGTGTCTTCGGATATGAACGCAGTGGCGAACCATTTGCTGATGACCCTAAAGTCTCAGCTCATGGTGGCCATGGCGCGCAAGACGCTGGTGGATGCGGGCCAGGTCCTTGCAGATGGGGAGCTTGCGACTGTCAGGTCAGACGTGTACCCGCGCGCAGCATGAAGGATTGGACGCCCGCGCTAACTGAAGCTGGCCTAATGCCCAAGTTCGAGGACTGCTGGGTTTTCGAATTTCCCATCTTTACGTACGTGTCAACATGCGACACCCCAAAAAGGCGGGCTTCCCTTTAAAGCAACCTGAAAAGGTGTATCCTCGAACGACACACCCAGGTTGTTGCATCACCCATCCCACTTCCAACATGCCAGCTCTGCCTAGGAGACTTTCCAGCAAGCGTGGCTGCAACTGATCCTCATGCACGTGGAGCATGTCAAGGAGCACTTCGACGTGTTTTCGCGGTCCAAGGCGGGTGACGCGACTGAACCGCTTGGTAGCATTGAGAAGTATGGGCTGTTGTCCAGCTGTCTTTTGCAAGCCCTTTTCGCAGGTGGAAGTGTGGAGTCTGCAAAGTCCTTTGCAGATTGGCCTCGACCAAGTGTGGATGAGTTCGTGGAAGCGGCAACCGGTACCTGGTCGACTCCTGTGCAAGCGTGAGCTGCTCCTTTCGTCTTTCCAAACTTTGGCATGCATTGTGCCGAGCTCAGTGCTCGATTTCAGCCCAGGCGAGCAGCGCTGCTATCATCGCTCACTTTGACGAGCTTGGCCGGCAGTCGCTCGCAAAATGCATGCCATTGCCATTGCACGCGTCAAGGGCCCTAGGCCTTTGTGCTGCCCTCGCACATGACGCGTCTGAAGCATGATGTCAGCGCATTCAGCGCAGGCCGGTGAAGCTGCTGGAAAGCTTCGGTTTGGTGATCCAAGAGGCCCCCTCTTGGGTGCAGTTGGAAGCCGCACCGCGCGTTTTTCAGGACACAGCCCGCCCTTCGGCCGGTCCTTCTTCCACACGCCGAGGTGACAGACGGCCTGGGCTTAGGGTTTTGGGTGGGCGTTGTGGGCCCAGGTCTGGCGACCTGGTGTTCTTTCCGTGTGCCTCTTGGAGAGCCCATTGTAACACGTGTGTCATGTGTGCATGCGTGCGCGTGCTTTTGAAGAGCTGCCATTTTGTATCAAACAAAACGAGTCGGACCCCTCTCAATGTTCATATTGGGGCCCCTGTGCACAGACCAAAGAGATCAGTCTTTTGTACTTATCCTCCATTTGCTTAAATATATTTTTTGTTCTCCCTTGTTGGCTTTAAAAGGAATTCATCACTACTGGACATATTTTTAGTTTTTCTTGGGGCCTTAACCAAATGGAAGTTATCTCGACCATCTGCTGAGGTCCTGGCTGAGTCACATGGCCACCGTGACCGCGCCGCAGCGCGGGCCTCGCTTGGCCAGCGAGAGGCACTAGCCGCAAGTGTGGAAGCTGCAAGGACCAACCCGGATGCCACAGGGACGCCGCCCTTGCCGGCCTCTCGTGGCTTTCTGCTTCAGCATGTCCATGGGGTTGCCTGCGAGTGTGGCAGGCGCGTGGTCTTCTCCTTCAACATTGGGCCTGTGCAGGGTCCCATGCCGTCCTGTTCTTAGCAAACGGTTCCTTTCTTGGAGATCCAGTTGCAGCCGTTGGTGCACTCGGCGCCTGCTGGTTGAGCCCCAATCCAAGCTCAGCTACTTGGGAGGTAAGGGACAATCCCAGCCCCCCCAAAAAAGTGCGGCCGCCTGTTCAATTCTTTACCTGGGTTCCGGGTTCTTTCGGACCAGGTTTTAATTTACTCGGTGGCTCGCGTTCGCGAAGCGTCCCTTGGCTCCGCGGGAAGCTGCCGGGGCGCTGGAGCGCGCTGGAGCTCTGAGCGCGCTGACTCCGCGCGGCGTGCTCAGCGCCAGGTCGCAGGGGGTGTGAGGGTCACACTTCCCAATTTATGACCGGTTGACCCCATATGAAGCAACCAACCTGTTTGTGAATAGGGGGTGGGGGCCCCTCCAAAAGTGCTAAGCCCAGGGAGAAGCACCCCCTTATGAATAAACTGGGGCTGATTCATAGGGTCAACATTTCTAGGGGGAGGCTCACCAAATGCGAATGTCGTTGCGGGACACAATGAGTACTGACAGCTTACATACCGACATTTCACGGCACGATGAGCTTCAGGATCTTTTTTGGCCACGAAAGGGACCGGCCCAGAGAAACACCTGCTGCCAAATGGCAAGCTGATGCCAAGGCCTCGCCATGGCTTTCAGGGTGCTTCTCTTGCTTCCACTGGTGCAGGCTTACTCCCATTTGCATCGCGAGGTTTTTCTCGATGCACGGGCTTCACATTGGATTCCTTTGTTGCGACAAGTGGGGGGCGAGAGAACGAGCCTAAAAAGAGCCATGCCTTGTGGTTTCCTTGAATCCCTGGGTTCATTCACACATTCCCTACCTATCGCACCGGCAAGTTGTGCGACATGTAGTGCGCTACCATTCTCGTGATGCTGCCCGCAGGGTGTCCTCTCAAGCCCGGCTTGCCATGGCGCCCAAGCTTCCATTTTGCTTGCAAACAGGCCCTTTCTCCGTGAGCAGCTCGACTGGCAAGCGAATCACGGAGGGATCCATGCAAATTGCCATGTGGCTGTGGGTCAGACATATGTACCCAAAATGGAACCCTGGTAAATGGAAACATGGACTGCAACCTGCGGTCCCCTGGTGGTTTAATTTTGACCCACACCCATGTACCATGCGCATTCCGTAAGGCGATGTGCCCTAAGATTGGATGGCAAGCCTGCCTTCGATGGCACTTGCTCGTGGCTTGGCAGCATCGCGGTTTGCCTTTCGAGCTATCGAAGCTTGGCAATGAATCGTACCGTTCGATGAACCGGTCTCTCTTGGAGTCACCGTCCTTGCCGCTTTGCGGGGCTGACAGGTATTCGCATGTGCTCCGCACATCCAGGCGAGGCGATCGCGCCGATCGCGTGATCCAGGCATGCCTTGTGCGAGCTTCCCTGCAGCCCGAGGCGCACAGCCATGTCGAGTTCCATGGATCGATTGCTCCGCTCGGCTCCGAAGCTTGGCAAGATAGAGGTCCAGAGGTCTACAGGTGCAGAGGATGGGGAGAGATGCGTCCCAAGGATAGCTCCGGAGTGACCTCTGATGCTGTCCCGATACTTGGATGAAAGCGAATCGTTGGGCGAGCATGGCCAAGTTGACGACTTGCAGTTGGTGTAACTCTTTGGGCCAAAGGCGGCGCTTCATTTCTGGCTGCTCAAGGGGGTTGGGTGGAATGAAGGGCTTGACATCGCACGCGAATGCGCGGCCAAGGCACCCTTATCACAGGTACACAGCCGAAAGCCTCATGCGGCGAGGAGGACACCTGGTTGTGGTCGCATGGCTTGCTCAACTGTCAATGTAGTTATTGGAGCGGACAAGCTGTGCGAAATGAACTGTGTTGCCATACTGCGGCCGTGTGACTGAGCAGCTTTTCCGCCATGTCCCGCCCAATGGTATAGAAGCTTCTTGTCAACCGGGTGTGGCTGCATATTTGTTTGGAATCGTACCTTTAACTTGTCGCCGATTCTGCCACCTAGCATTTGCTTACAGGAACTATAGATGCTATCAGGCTCTGCAAGCTTGCTGTCATGGCAGCCGTTCTGGGATCACTTGCGGCACCAGTCTCGGTGTGTTTGAGCTGCGGGGCATGCGAGGGGTGGGGGAGCCAGCAGTAAAGCAAGCTCTTGATGTTCGACGTGAGGCTATTTGCATCCCTGGTCAGCCGCTTGCTCTGCACATCGCCTCCTCGCGAGCTTTTGAACCATGCGAGCATCATTCGGTGCCTTTGCTGCTTCGTGTCTTGCTTCGCATTTCCTTTCAGGAAGCGCATCTTCTCCAAGTCGCCCAAGGCGCAACTCGCAAACTCGGGCAAACTCGGCCGCCGCAAACCCGCCGCATGCCTCGAGTTCGCTGGGCCAGGAGAAGCCTTCGGCATCGGCGTACCCCTGGCAAGAGCTGCCGCGCCTCGGCGCCGATCGAGCGAGTGCCGTAAAGCCCTTGGGGCTTGAGAAGGACCAGGAGGGAGCAATCAGCTCATCCTGGGGGTGTTCCCCCCAGTGCCAGGAATCAAACGCCAAAAAGGCGCACCCCCCCCTTTTCATCAATTTGGGCTTAGAAAATGTGAGGGTTCCCATGACCCATCCCAAAGCAACGATGTTTTGGGAGGTTTTCTGTGGAAAGCCCACCCGGCTCGCTCGGCCTCCCCGTGCCGTTTCGACGTTTCGACGTTTCGAGGCCCGCTGAGGCGGTGGCTGCCGCCGGCGCCACCTTTTCAGACTCGGTCGGGGCGATGAGGCACGAGACCGGGAACTTCCCGCGAGCTCGCCGATTCGGGGGGTGGAAACGGAGCTCACCAGGATTTGTTGGACTTATAGTAAAACTGGATGATCTTAATATGTCTTGGTTTCTTTTCCCCTGTTGGTTTTAAGGGGAATCTATCGTCACTGGACGTATTCTCATTTTCTTCCGAAAAAGTAAACGGAGCTTTGGCTGATTGAGAGTGAAGTGCTCATGCAGACCTGAAGGGGACATGCCAAAAAGCCAAGAAGCCAAGAAGCCAAGAAGCAGAAAAGCCAAGAAGCCAAGAAGCAGAAAAGCCAAGAAGCCAAGAAGCCAAGAAGCCAAGAAGCCAAGAAGCCAAAAAAAAAAAACACATCCCAAAATAAATACCCCTCCAAAGGACAGAGAGGAAACCACGCCATGAAGCGCATCCTTCTGCCTTGAGGCTCGTTGCAGCCTGCCTCTCGTAGTTTGTGTTCTGTCGTTTCGAGTCCAGAACCTTGCGAATCAATAGAGTAGTTCCCCCCAAAAAAAACATACAAAAGAAAAGAAAAGCAATTTGAAGGGTGAACTGGCGCCTATGAATCAACCTAAATAAGCGCTCCTTGCGCTTTCCAGGAAGGCTTTGCTGGCGCGGAAGATGCAGCCGAAGAGTCGTGGCTCCGGCAGAGTTTGCCACAGGGTCGCTCGCGAATCTGTGTGTGTGTGTGTGGTGGTGAGTGCTTGCTTGTGGGGAGAGGGTGTGCATTCGTCAAGGGTGCTGGCAGGGTTTTGTTTCGTTTCTATTTTGTTTGTGGACGCGGGGGATGGGTTTTAGCCTTTTCCAGTTTGAAGCTAGGATGCGCTTGGCGGGCTTCTCAAATGGCCACGGACGCCTCTTGCCCCAACTGATAGGTCACGGGCTCTTCGTGTGGTTCGAGTTTTGAGCAATTGCCAAAGGTTTCAGTTTCTTTTTCTGTTTCCTGTTGAGGCATTCCATTCACAACCCAGGACAAGGCTTGCAGGGTACACTCAGAAGCGATTGTTCAGTCGGGTCATCAATCGCCAAATTTGACAAACAAACAACAATACACAGGTTAGCAGTTCTTGATCGTATCCGCAGCTTGTACATCAAGTTGGGACCCAGCTGCGTTTCTTTCGGCGCTGTCTCCATGGCATGATCCCCTGGTTTATTTTCGCGCTAGCAGCAACTTTGCGCACAGAGCACGCTTTCATTGATTTGATCGCCTCTCCTTTCTAAAACCTGGTGTATTGCTGGTTTTGGGATGTGTTGTAGAGGGTGACTGGGGTTTCCTACCCCCAGCCCCAAAACGACCCACCAAGAAGGAGGAAATTTTATACTCGCGCCTGAGAAGCTGAGGCGGCTGAGCCAACTTTGGAACTTGATGCGTGCATCGACATTTTGCCCGACTGCGTCTCCCATCTGTGGGCATCGGGCCAGCATGAGGCGGCTAATCTGGAGGAGCTGAGTTTCAGCCTTCTGGGGTCCTGGATGACACTTGGGTACTCTTTGGTACTTGAACCTTTGCGACTTTTAACCTTTTGGACAATTGCTATAGGCTATCTCCCCACTATCCAGCAAACAGTAGCATTTGGGTCCAGGCCTGCCGTAGGGAGCCCTGCGCGCATTGGCCCATGCCAAGGGTGGCGTAAGGGCCAATCAGTCATGAAGACTCCTTTAGCAGCAACATGTGGGATGTTTTGAGTCGGCGTCAGGTGCGTCGCCAACCTGAGATGGGTGGCGCCGCGCGTGTTTTTGCGGCGTTGTGTTTCATTCAGATGCGTGCAGCTAGGCCGGGTGAGACACTGCCCAGTGACCGTTCTGCCCGAAGCATTTGATCCATGTATATCCAACGCATCTGCGCTGTCCGGCGCCGGCTTATTGTTGTCTACCCCGCGTTCTGCCCTAGTTGCTAATGCGCCGTGCCCATTGCAAGTGTGCAGGGACATGTTAGGGGTGGCCGGCCTCAGCGCTGGGTCCAACACCAGAGGATCGACTCGGCAAATCGCTCGACGCTCTAGGTCTCGCTTTTTTGTATTTGTTTGCGTCTCGCTTGCTTAAGGCGCTTTGAGCCTTTTGCTTGTTTTTCTCTATCTTTGGTTAGATGCTCGTCAGATTGTCTTCGGCCACTATCTCTACCAACCGTAGCGGTGCGGGAGCAAACGATTTGAACGTCTTGCACGGGCGACCAAGGAAAGGTTTGTACACCCGGAAGGAGCAGCCGCTTGCAGAGGACCCTGCGCTGCGGGCCTCAACCTTGGGGAGGTTGCAAGCCTTGGCCTTGCGCAGCTTGGAGTCTAGGCCTGGGTGCAGAGGGAGTCTGTGGGTGAGGTGACAGAGTCTTCTGCTCAGTTTCTCTGTAAGAGTTGAATTCATCCCTAGAGGTTTCTCAAGTCTGGGCTGACGCGAATCTTGTGTGAGGGGCGAAGAGGGGGCGGGGAGTGAAAAAACAAACCCCTCTTCCACATTCTTCGTAAGCTACCCAATTGGCAAAATGCATGGGGCAAAAAGAAGAGGCCTGAGCTGGCCATCGGCGTGGGCCAGATGCTCTTCCTCTACTTCTGGTGGGGGGCTTCCCCGCCGTCTGACGAAGGCGGGGTTTTGCCGCCCGAAACTCAGGAAGGCTCTTGAGAAGAAGACGTGTCAGTAGGGGGCCAGATCGTTTGAAACTCCTGGAGAAAAAAGGCAGAACGTTTGGATAGGAAAAGGCTTGAAGTTGGAAGTTATTTCTCCCGTGTTTCTTTTTGTTTCGGGGGGGGGGGGGGGGAGGAAACGGGTTCTCCGCGCTTCTCGCGGTTCGGCTTTGGCCGCCGGGCGCCCGCGCCCGCGCTCGCAGGCTTCGAGGCGTCCGGCCCCGACGTGGCGGTGGCCCAGTTGGCGGCCCAGCTGCACGCGGCGAGCCTCGGGGCCTGCGACGCGGGGGCCGCGGACTTCGAGGCGCGCCGACTCCGCGCCGCCGACCCGGCGACGCCTTGTTTTTCTTTTTTTCTTCTTTTTGTTTTCTTCTTTTCTTCTTCTTCTTTTTGTTTCCTTCTTTTGTTCTTCTTCTTTTTGTTTCCTTCTTTTCTTCTTCTTTTTGTTTCCTTCTTTTCTTCTTCTTCTCTTTGTTTCCTTCTTTTTTTCTTCTTTTTGTTTCCTTCTTTTCTTCTTCTTCTTTTTGTTTCCTTCTTTTTTTTCTTCTTTTTGTTTTCTTCTTTTCTTCTTCTTCTCTTTGTTTCCTTCTTTTGTTCTTCTTCTTTTTGTTTCCTTCTTTTCTTCTTCTTTTTGTTTCCTTCTTTTCTTCTTCTTCTCTTTGTTCTTCTTTTTGTTTCCTTATTTTCTTCTTCTTTTTGTTTCCTTCTTTTCTTCTTCTTTTTGTTTCCTTCTTTTCTTCTTCTTTTTGTTTTCTTCTTTTCTTCTTCTTTTTGTTTCCTTCTTTTCTTCTTCTTTTTGTTTCCTTCTTTTCTTCTTCTTTTTGTTTCCTTCTTTTCTTCTTCTTTTTGTTTCCTTCTTTTCTTCTTCTTTTTGTTTCTTCTTCTTTTTGTTTCCTTCTTCTTCTTTTTGTTTCCTTCTTTTCTTCTTCTTTTTGTTTTCTTCTTTTCTTCTTCTTTTTGTTTCCTTCTTTTCTTCTTCTTTTTGTTTCCTTCTTTTCTTCTTCTTTTTGTTTCCTTCTTTTCTTCTTCTTTTTGTTTCCTTCTTTTCTTCTTCTTTTTGTTTCCTTCTTTTCTTCTTCTTTTTGTTTCTTCTTCTTTTTTCTTCTTCTTTTTGTTTCCTTCTTTTCTTCTTCTTTTTGTTTCCTTCTTTTCTTCTTCTTTTTGTTTCCTTCTTTTCTTCTTCTTTTTGTTTCCTTCTTTTCTTCTTCTTCTTCTTTTTCTTCTTCTTTTTGTTTCCTTCTTTTCTTCTTCTTTTTGTTTCCTTCTTTTCTTCTTCTTTTTGTTTCCTTCTTTTCTTCTTCTTTTTGTTTCCTTCTTTTCTTCTTCTTTTTGTTTCCTTCTTTTTCTTCTTCTTTTTGTTTCCTTCTTTTCTTCTTCTTTTTGTTTCCTTCTTTTCTTCTTCTTCTCTTTGTTTCCTTCTTTTTTCTTCTTCTTTTTGTTTCCTTCTTTTCTTCTTCTTTTTGTTTCCTTCTTTTCTTCTTCTTTTTGTTTCCTTCTTTTCTTCTTCTTTTTGTTTCCTTCTTTTCTTCTTCTTTTTGTTTCTTCTTTTTCTTCTTCTTTTTGTTTCCTTCTTTTCTTCTTCTTTTTGTTTCCTTATTTTTCTTCCTCTTCTTTTTGTTTCCTTCTTTTTTTCTTCTTGTTTTTGTTTCCTTCTTTTCTTCTTCTCTTTGTTTCCTTCTTTTGTTCTTCTTCTTTTTGTTTCCTTCTTTTCTTCTTCTTTTTTCTTCTTCTTTTTTTCTTTTTTTTGTTTCCTTCTTTTTTTTTTCTTCTTTTTTTTCTTCTTCTTTTCTTCTTCTTCTCTTTGTTTCCTTCTTTTGTTCTTCTTCTTTTTGTTTCCTTCTTTTCTTCTTTTTTTTGTTTCCTTCTTTTCTTCTTCTTCTCTTTGTTTCCTTCTTTTTTTCTTCTTTTTGTGTCCTTCTTTTTTTCTTCTTCTTTTTGTTTCCTTCTTTTCTTCTTCTTTTTGTTTCCTTATTTTCTTCTTCTTTTTGTTTTCTTTTTTTTTTTTCTTTTTGTTTCTTCTTCTTTTCTTCTTCTTCTTTTTGTTTCCTTCTTTTCTTCTTCTTTTTGTTTCCTTCTTTGGTTTTCTTTTCTTTTTGTTTCCTTCTTTTTTTCTTCTTCTTTTTTTTTTCTTCTTTTCTTTCTTCTTCTTTTTGTTTCCTTCTTTTCTTCTTCTTTTTTGTTTCCTTCTTTTTTTCTTCTTCTTCTTTTTGTTTCCTTTTCTTCTTCTTTTTGTTTCCTTCTTTTCTTCTTCTTTTTGTTTCCTTCTTTTTTCTTCTTCTTTTTGTTTCCTTCTTTTCTTCTTCTTTTTGTTTCCTTCTTTTCTTCTTCTTTTTGTTTCCTTCTTTTCTTCTTCTTTTTGTTTCCTTCTTTTCTTCTTCTTTTTGTTTCCTTCTTTTCTTCTTCTTTTTGTTTCCTTCTTTTTCTTCTTCTTTTTGTTTCCTTCTTTTCTTCTTCTTTTTGTTTCCTTCTTTTTCTTCTTCTTCTTTTTGTATCCTTCTTTTTTTCTTCTTGTTTTTGTTTTCTTCTTTTCTTCTTCTCTTTGTTTCCTTCTTTTGTTCTTCTTCTTTTTGTTTCCTTCTTTTCTTCTTCTTTTTGTTTCCTTCTTTTCTTCTTCTTTTTGTTTCCTTCTTTTCTTCTTCTTTTTGTTTCCTTCTTTTCTTCTTCTTTTTGTTTCCTTCTTTTCCTTCTTTTCTTCTTCTTTTTGTGCTTCCTTCTTTTTTCTTCTTCTTTTTGTTTCCTTCTTTTTCTTCTTCTTTTTGTTTCCTTCTTTTCTTCTTCTTTTTGTTTCCTTCTTTTCTTCTTCTTTTTGTTTCCTTCTTTTCTTCTTCTTTTTGTTTCCTTCTTTTTCTTCTTCTTTTTGTTTCCTTCTTCTTCTTCTTTTTGTTTCCTTCTCTTTTGTTTCCTTATTTTTCTTCCTCTTCTTTTTGTTTCCTTCTTTTTCTCCTTCTTCTTTTTGTTTCCTTCTTTTCTTCTTCTTTTTGTTTTCTTCTTTTCTTCTTCTCTTTGTTTCCTTCTTTTCTTCTTCTTTTTTTTTCTTCTTTTTTTCTTTTTTTTGTTTTTTTCTTTTCTTCTTCTTTTTGTTTCCTTCTTTTCTTTTTCTTTTTGTTTCCTTCTTTTTTCTTCTTCTTTTTGTTTCCTTCTTTTCTTCTTCTTTTTGTTTCCTTCTTTTCTTCTTCTTTTTGTTTCCTTCTTTTCTTCTTCTTTTTGTTTCCTTCTTTTCTTCTTCTTTTTGTTTCCTTCTTTTTCTTCTTCTTTTTGTTTCCTTCTTTTCTTCTTCTTTTTGTTTCCTTCTTTTTCTTCCTCTTCTTTTTGTTTCCTTCTTTTTCTTCTTGTTGTTGTTTCCTTCTTTTCTTCTTCTCTTTGTTTCCTTCTTTTGTTCTTCTTCTTTTTGTTTCCTTCTTTTCTTCTTTTTTTTTCTTTCTTTTTCTTTTTTTTTGTCTTCTTCTTTTTGTTTCTTCTTTTCTTCTTCTTTTTGTTTCCTTCTTTTCTTCTTCTTTTTGTTTCCTTCTTTTCTTCTTCTTTTTGTTTCCTTCTTTTCTTCTTCTTTTTGTTTCCTTCTTTTTTCTTCTTGTTGTTGTTTCCTTCTTTTCTTCTTCTCTTTGTTTCCTTCTTTTGTTCTTCTTCTTTTTGTTTCCTTCTTTTTCTTTTCTTTTTGTTTCTTTCTTTTCTTCTTCTTTTGTTTCCTTCTTTTCTTCTTCTTTTTGTTTCCTTCTTTTCTTCTTCTTTTTGTTTCCTTCTTTTCTTCTTCTTTTTGTTTCCTTCTTTTCTTCTTCTTTTTGTTTCCTTCTTTTCTTCTTCTTTTTGTTTCCTTCTTTTCTTCTTCTTTTTGTTTCCTTCTTTTTCTCCTTCTTCTTTTTGTTTCCTTCTTTTCTTCTTCTTTTTGTTTTCTTCTTTTCTTCTTCTCTTTGTTTCCTTATTTTTTTCTTCTTCTTTTTGTTTCCTTCTTTTCTTCTTCTTTTTGTTTCCTTCTTTTCTTCTTCTTTTTGTTTCCTTCGTTTCTTCTTCTTTTTGTTTCCTTCTTTTTTTCTTTTTCTTCTTGTTGTTTCCTTCTTTTTTTATTTTTCTTTTGTTTCCTTCTTTTTTTCTTCTTCTTTTTGTTTCCTTCTTTTCTTATTCTTTTTGTTTCCTTCTTTTTTCTTCTTCTTTTTGTTTCCCCCGTTTTTCTGTTGTTCTTCTATTTTTTCTTTCTTTTCTTCTGAGCCCCGGACCCTTTGCACCTGAAGGATGTTTGGGGATTTCTTGCCCAGCAGCCCACTTATGAGGTGGTGACCTATTGAAGTTCATGGACATGTGTGTGTGTGTGGCGTGTGTTCGGTGTTGGAGTGAATGTAAAGGGCAACTAAAAGGAACACCTCTTTGGGGTTTGGCTCAAGGCGTCCATGCGTCCATGCATCGCTGCATCCATGCATCCATGCATCCATGCATCCATGCATCCATCCATGCATCCGTGCATCCCATCCCATCCCATCCCATCCCATCCCATCCCATCCCATCCCATCCCATCCCATCCCATCCCATCCCATCCCATCCCATCCCATCCCATCCCATCCCATCCCATCCCATCCCATCCCATCCCATCCCATCCCATCCCATCCCATCCCATCCCAGCCAGCCAGCCATCCGTCCGTCCGTCCATCCATCCATCCATCCATCATACGTGAAACTGCTTTCATGCCGTTCGAGAGAAAGGCATCACAGTGTGGTGTCGTTCGGGTTGTTAAATTTGGAAAAGCAAAGAGGCCACCGCCCCCCATTTTGGGCTAAGAGGCTGTCCTCTCCACCTGCAAGAAGCAAACACCGGTCCTTACTCCTAAAGACCACTGCTCCAGTGGTTTTTAGACAGGGTACCCCGCCAGCTTTCAGGGTCCCCTTTTGGAAAGCACTTCTTTGCTTCGACTTCTTAGTTCTTACCCCCCCCCCCCCCCGGCCCTTTGCAGTCGTTGTAGCTCCTGACTTGCACCGGAATGTTTTCCCAGATTCCCACACGACCCCTAAGTCCGAACCCGAAAATTGAGATACATCCCCCCCCAACAGTTTTTGAGTCTTTTTTAGACACCCAGCAATTTTTTGAGTCCTTCTTAGGCGAGGAAGTGCCCCTGGCGCTGGCGCTTCCTGCTTCTCCTCCTGGTGGAGCTGGGTGCGCGCCACGCGCGCGAGCGGGACCTGCTGCAGGCGGCCCAGGCGCTGCGCCAGGCCAGCGACCAGGCGATGGCCATGCGTCGGCTGCCCTTCTTCGGGCGGCACCGGAGCTTACTCCAGGGGCCCTACAGGAGCGCTCGCTTTCCAGCCACCGGTGGCCGGTGGCCGGTGGTGGGGTGGGGGGTCTTTGAGGTGCAAAGTTTGAGTTCTGAGCGAGTTTTCTGAGTTTCTGCATCTGGAGGACTTGTTGCGCATGCCAAGGAAAGGCTTGACATTGCACGGCGGCCCATCGTTTCCCAGCACGAAAGGCCCAAGCTTTTTGGAGCGGTGGTTTTGGCGACACCTTGGAGTGGGTGATTTTTGCGTTTGGGTCAGCACACCCCTCATGAGCAATGGCTGAGGGCACCCGTTTTTGGAAAATCAGGCCTTTGTTTTGACTTGCTTGGGAGCACAGCCGGTCCCAACTTCCTTATCCAATTGCAGGGCCAACCACAACGATGACTTCTTCCCCGAAGCCAAGCACTGGCCGGTCTGGCCGCGGGAGGCATGGCCTCCCTTTGCCGAGTTCCTGGAGGAGCACGTGGACGTCTTCCGGGCGGAGCTGCAGCGCTTGATCGCGGCCGACGCAGAATTCGACGAGATCTTTCGAACGGTGCAGGAGCAGCAAACAGAATTCACCCCTTTGCCCAAGGACTGGGGCTTGTTGGACCTCGTGCGACAAGGGAAGCGCACTGCGGCCTGCCCCTACGCTCCCCAGAGCTGCGCCCTGCTGGAGCAGCGCCCCGAGATCAATTCCCACTGCTTCTCCGAGCGCGTGCCCAACGCAGGCGTTGCCTTCGCGCGGCTCCTGCCTGGTGCAGAGATCAAACCACACTTCGCGACAGAACCTCGGCTGGCAGTGCATTTGGGTCTGGTAACTCCGCCAGGCCCGGAAATGTGGGTGGCCAATGAGACTGTGACTTGGTCGGAGGGACGGGCCGTGGTGTTTGACGACACCTTCTTCCACGGCGTCCGCCACAGGGGCGTGGAGTCCCGCTATATCCTGCTAGCATGGACGTGTCATCCATGTGACCTGGAGTGGCGGGTCAGTTCTGGAGAGTCAGATGGCAACTTGCCGCCACATTGCATGGAGCAAGCCATGCTGCAGGAAAAGATGCGAACTGCAGTGCAAGATTGTTCAAGGGGGAGGTGGCAACTGGTCATTCGCGAATTCCTTGAACCAACAGTCTTTCTACCATCGCTTTGTGTTGTCCGTGCTTTGCCGCATGGTGCTTAGACGTGCTTCCACAAGATGATTGAGCATGCCAGGGCTCACTGGGAAGCATAGTCATGAATCTATAAGTTACGAGCGTCTAAATACATGTCATTCTAATTCTATATCGGAAGTAAGTAAGAAAAGTATTTATTACATTCAAACGCTGTACATTATTTGTTGCATACGTCAACTATTTGTTTGTTTGTACCAATAGTTATGTAAAACGTATGATGATGATGATGATGATGATGATGATGATGATGATGATGATGATGATGATGATGATGATGATGATGATGATGATGATGATGATGATGATGATGATGATGATGATGATTGATGATGATGATGATGATGATGATGATGATGATGATGATGATGATGATGATGCTGATGATGATGATGATGATGATGATGATGATGATGATGATGATGATGATGATGATGATGCTGATGGCCGCTTGGTAAAGGGTGAGCTCTGAAATTGCAGAAGGAGAGGCCAGACTGATCTCACCCACGTGCCAGGTGGCTCCGTGCTGATTGGCGGTGGTGAGCAAGCCAGTGAGGCACTGTGACTTGTCTGCAAGAGGGCACCTTTGAGAGTGCCTCCTTCAGTGCCCTTTTCAAGCGGCGCGCATGCTGCTGTTGAGCTGAAGTCAACCTTGCGGCTCCTTCCGGGAAGCAGCTTGGAAACAGCTTGCCATCCGAAAATCTCGAGGATAGTGCAGCGGGTGCAGGGCAACTTGGCTTGGCTTGGAGCGTGCCGCTTCCCTTGCCAATGCCGGGCCAAGGTGCCAGGCGCCCTTTTGCAGCGCAGCTGCGAAAGATCGGCATGCAGGTGCGGCGCCGAGCCACGAGAGCTGAGCTGCGGCGTTTGCCAATGTGAGGACCTGGCGCCGGTGACTCTGCAGAAAGCCTCGGAGTTGCGCCGCGGCCTTGGTTCCGCTGAGGGGTAGAGTAGGCGTTTGCCCGACTCTTTGGAACCGCGTTTGGGGATCGCTTCATGCGACACGCAGAGTCGAGTTCCCTGCGCTGCCAGATTCTTGAGGCAAGGCCCTGGGCAGCAGCAGCAGGCGTCGGATTGCCTCGAGAGAAGCGCCGGTGTCCGGTTCATGGAAGTGGGTGCTCGGGTTTCGGAACCCACCATCCTTAGGGCGATTCCATGGGTTTGTGCACAGACCCTCTGTAGAAAGACGACTTTCCTCTTGGAAAGGGCCTTTTTGCACAAGCCCATATTAGTTGGTGCAAGGCGAGGAAACTCGGCCAGGTCCGGCGACTTTGCGGGCACCTGGCTCCTGTCACTTGGCTGGATGATCTTTTTGGATGAGCAAAAGTTTAAAGGCACAAAAGGCACAGAAGGCACCCGGAGTTCATTGGTTGGACCCTTTCATGCCACCACCAAAATTGAGCGTGTTATCATTATATAAGACTGGGATTTGGGAGTCCCCTGACAGGCACAGCTTGGGCTCCTAGGTTTTTCCCCGAGATTGAGTCCAAGCGCGCGTGTGTGTCTGTGTCTGTGTGTGTGTGTGGTGTCAAAGTGATGGGTGACTCGAGGAAGCACACGCTTGCAGCCGGGGATGTAGATGGCGTCACTTGCTTCAAGGCTCCTGCACTTCTTCAACCCCCACAACTACCTTTTTTTCATTCTTGCGAAGGGAGCACTTAGCCAGCCCGGAAAGCCAGACTGATTAACGAACAAACCACAGAACACCATTTGATGTTGGAATGAGCAGCAGGCATTGTTGTTTGCCAATGTCAGACAGTGGTTGCAATTCATATTCCCTGCGAGGGGGCTGATGAGTTGCTGGAATTCTGGGAGTCGATGCCGAAGTCAACCCGCTGCAGTGTCCAGACTGCAAAGCTTCTCGGGGTGGGACGTCGGCCTGTGCTTTGGCACATGGGACACGTGTCGGGATACCGCTTTTCTAGCGTAGTGACCGTAATGACAGAAATTATGCGATGCCAGCACGTGCCAGGATGCACTTGATTTTAGGGTGCAAACCCAAGAATCTTGCCAGGTTACTTTGCGCAAGCGGATATTCAGCATCCTCTGGTCTCCAACGGGTTCCACATCAAGGCCTTCCGAACAGAACACCCATGCGATCATGTTCGATTTGAACCGTGTAGCGTTGCCCTGCTTGGATTTTGTAACGTCCGTGTGTGGAGGCGCAAGCCTTTGCATCCTGCCTGCAATTGAGATGCAACGTGCTTGTCCAAGTTGAATTTTGACCTGCCCTCGAAGACCACATGCAAGGTGCTGGTTTTGGATACCGGGCGGTGGTTTCTCCATCGCGAGCAGCTGGTGTTGAACACCACCCCGCTGCTCGGCGGCTTGCAACTTTGCACAACCCCGTGCAGCTTAATGTATTTGGCCGTGACTGGATTGCAGGTATGATGCAGCAAACCCTAGGCCGCGCTTTGCTCAGAGAGTTGGTTGAGAGAAAAAAACAAAACAGTAAATATGGCATGGCAGAGATCAGCTGACAATTGCCCTTTGGGTTCACAGACGCGCACATTTCTCGCAAAGCGCTGACAACTTGCCATTGAACCCGCTGACAGGCAGAAGCCCCGAGTATCTGCAGCACGTGGTACAGCATCCGCCCATTATGTTGAGGCCAGCTTGCATTGTTGAACTTACAAATCCTTGATTTGCTTCAGGTGTGGCCGCGCTTGCAGAAAGCCTTGTCCACAGCCGCGCAGCACAAATCTTTCGGCACCTTTGCTGCAGCACAAGCTGTTTGTTGGAGTACGAAGTGTGCCCTTCCTCCAACTAACATGGGACCTGTGGGGAGGTACCTGCAAGATTCATTTCCTTTTTGAAGGGACCCCCTGTCAGTTGCCATGTTAGTGGGTGGGTGGGTAATTGCCGCATTTGTCGGTGCTACATGAGAGTGTCATCCTTCCTTTGCCCGTGCAAGAAGTGCTGCTGGCGAGTGGGGGTGAAATGCAAGGCCGAAGATGGCTCGGCGAGCCCAAGCCTCAGTGCGGTGCATTGCCAAAGAACCTCCCTCGCACGAACATCGACATGGCACCTGACAGAGGGTCCCTTGAAGAGACATTTTTTTGATCTTCCAGGTGAGGAGGGGTAAGTCGTATGGATGTCGTCAGGGCATGTGAGTCAGCCATTTTCTCAGAGGTGGGGGGGGAGAGGCTTGCTGGCCAGGAAGCAGCCAGGCATGGGCTACCAGCTCTTCGTGGTCGACATGGCCATTGATCAGGATAAGAAGCCTTGGCGCCTTGTCACATTGCGAAAGATCTGCTTGATTGGCGAGCTCAATTGGGGGTAGGTTGGAGCTCACCATGATGTAGGTCCTTTCCTAAGAATCCCTCGCTTCAGGTTTTGGAAGCCTTCTAGAAACTCGAATTTGCGGAAAGATGGGCTGTCACCTTGGTGTTTGCTGGAGCTCGCCGGAAGGCTGTTGGACATGTTCCCAATGCCAGAGGTGCCGTGCAAGGCAGGTTGGGGTCTCCAGCATACGAAGCCACTGTTCGCTTTCCAGGGACGCAGGGCACAAAGCTGGGGCGTTTGTGCTGCCTGGAAAGGCGTCTGCCAGCTCCGTGTGGGAGGAGGTCATGGAGGAACCTCCATCATGCGCGCAAGGGCGGTCTTGTCAAACTAGGGGGATCCAACTTAAATGACGCTTGTCCTTTTGGCTTCCCGACCTCAAATTTTGGGTACCCTGAAAATTTGGCAAAACATCCCCGACGTCCAGCGAGTTCCCACAACTCCAGACCTCGAGTTTCCTCGATTTCGCGGGGGCGAGTTGCGGCCCTCGCTCAGGACACCTGCGAGCTTCTGGTGACTCCGCTGCTGTGGCAGCTGCGGCCTCGTGCCGAGGCCGGCGGCTGAGTTTGAGTCGCCACATGTGCGTTTGAGGTGCCCTCCCGCTCTTTTCACCTGGAACCTGACGCTCGATATGGACCCGGTCCCTTTAAAAGGAAAATGGTCCAAGCCAGGACCCCCGCAACGTCACGTTCCATGTGAATTGGTGGGAGGGTTGATTCGAATCGGCCAAGCGGAAATGTCGTTCAGCGTGCTTCGGAGGATCGAGGCTTTCCTTCGGACATGGAGGAAGTTGCCTGTTTGCTGGCTCGTTTGTTGGCTTGTTTGCATTCATTACATGTTGCCTTGTTTGCTAGATTGTTTGTTTGCTTGCTCGCTTGCTAGCTTGCTTGTCCGTTGTTTGTTTGTGTGCTTTTTGTGCATTTGTGTGTGTGTGTGAGCATGTTTTTGTGTGTGTGTGTGTGGTGTCGATGTGCGCGCGTGCGTGCGTGCGTCCGTCCGTCCGTCCGTCTGTGCCGTGAGCGTCTATGCTAGTGACTGCTAGTGTGTCCGTGTGTCAGTCCGTCCGTCCGTGCGTCTGTGCGTCCGCCCGTCCGTGTGCGTGCATGTTTGCGTTCGGCCGTTGTCCGTCCGTCTGTGCGTTCGTACATGCGTGCGTTCGCGGTCCGTATGTCAGCCCGGCCGTGCATCTGTATGCGCATGCGCGCGCGTTCGTCCGTCCGTGCGTGCGTCCGTGCTTCCGTTTTCCTGTGTGTCCGTGCGTCCGTCCCTCTCTCTGGCCGTCTGTCTGTAGGTTTGTGCGTTCGTGCTTGTGTGCGAGCGTGTGCGTGCGTGCGTGCGTGCGTGCGTGCGTGCGTGCGTGCGTGCGTGCGTGCGTGCGTGCGTGCGTGCGTGCGTGCGTGGTGTGCGTGTGTGCGTGTGTGTGTGTGTGTGTGTGTGTGTGTGTGTGTGTGTGTGTGTGTGTGTGTGTGTGTGTGTGTGTGTGTGTGTGTGTGTGTGTGTGTGTGTGTGTGTGTTTGTGTGTGTTTGTGTTTGTTTGTGTGTGTGTGTGTGTGTGTGTGTGTGTGTGTGTGTGTGTGTGTGTGTGTGTGTGTTTGTGTTTGTGTTTGTGTTTGTTTGTGTGTGTGTAGTTGTTTTGTCTGCGTTCCTTGCTGGCATTGAGCACAACCCAGGTTGGCAAGGCACCAGACTCTGGCCGCTGGGCTTGTGCAGGGGGGTTGTTAAATGGGCGAAGTCACGCCGGGTGACTTGGCAGAAGCTTCGTGCTGAGGCAAAACTGGACTCGGGTCGGAGACGTCTGGCTTCGTGGAGATCTCTGAGCCGCATTGAAAGGGATGGCCGTTGTCGAAGCAAGGAAAGAAAACCGCCGCCGAGTGCTGCTGATACTCGTTGCCTTCTTCTCTGTGCAACATTACTGCATGTCCGTTCCACGTGTTGCACGTGTTGCATGTGCGGCAGGCAACGAAGCTCCTCAGGGGCGACACCCCCGAGTGCCCTTGTGCACAGCGGCTTGGCTGAGCTTTTGGCCCTTGGCCATCTCCGGGCAAAGCAACGCCGAGGAATGCAGATGTTGTCAGGAGCTCGGCTACTGACAACAGATGGCTTGCGCATTTCGTGGACGCTTTAGGGTCTCAAAATCGTCCAGTTGTCCCGTGGCACCCAAGAGAACGTCGGATGCTTGTTCGAGGTCCCCGCCCACCAACTAACATGGAAGTGGAAACAGGCCCTCTCCAAGAGGAAAGCAGTCTTTCTACCGGCACTTCCAATCTTAGCTGGTGGGAAGGTAGGTTTTTCCAACTTCAGAGAGGCGAGGGGCGTGCGGCTTTCGGCCTGAAATGCGGAGGCCAGCGTTTCCCTGACGCAAGGCAGCGCAGTGCAGGCCCCGCAGGCCTGCGAATTTAATTCCCATTTGGGGCTATGAATCGCTTTCTGCAGATAGCGGATGGATAGCAGTTAGGTGTACGAGCAGTTCCAGTTCCAAAAACCCATATTTCTCTTGGTTTTGGGGACGCTGCCACTTCACTTGGTGACGTGTGTTTTGTCATTGTACGGCCTTAAATCAACTGCAGGGCTTCAGCTGAGAGTCGGTCATCAATTTGCAGGCCGCATTCGGGCTCGCCGCCTTCACGCCGCCACCTTTGCCTAAATTTGAGGCTGGGAGTTGGCAGTCAGGAGTGCCTACAACGTATTTCCCGCGTTTGGTGGCTTTGAGCTTTGAGCATCAGCTTTTTGGCCTATTCAAGTGAGGTTCCCTTGATGCTTTAAGGGAAGTCTTCGGGCAAGCCAGGTGCCGCCCGCCGTGCCACCTCCACCAATGGGCCCGCGCCAAAGCCAGGGATGTGCCTCGAGGCTTTTTGTGTTCTCCGAAATGTGCCACGTGTTTTTTCGTTTGTTTTTTGGGAGACACATTTTATTTTAGTAAAAAAGAGAGGGAAGCTTTCGTGGTTTTAGTGGGTTCTCTTTGAGACACCTCCTTTTTCGAGGGAAGCTCAGGAACATATCTCAAAGGGAAGCTATTGTTAACCCCGGATTAATAAACCCCTGGTTGATGAATAGGGGGGTGAATCCCCCTGTTAGTGGGGATTCAGACCAGGAACACCCCCCCCTGAATAGGACGGGTTTGTGAATCCTGGGTCAACATCAATGGATGCCGAGGCCCCCCGTTGCCGCCGCTGCCGCCCGCCATCCCGTCGCTGCCGCCGGTGCCGAATGTGGACCCGGAGGACCGGGGGGGGGGAGCATCGCTCGCAGGTGAAGAGACTCAAGACATATGGCCATGGGTCAAAACCAATGGGATCCCATTTTGGGATAGGTGAATTCACCACCCATTTTAGAACCTATTTTAGTGGGGATTGGGATGTTCACTGGGGGTACGGTTTGGATTTTGACCCGTGGCCATATGGATGAATAGGTGTCCTTTTTGGTTGTTTTGGTCGAAGAATAGAGGGCCTGGTTTTTCCCTGGTGGTTCAATCAACTACCAGGGCCATCTATTTTCCCAAGAAGGGCACCTATGTATGGATGTGTTTGTGTTTATGGTGGGGCCCTAAAATGTGTGTGGGACTTTCTTTCGTTTGAAGGCAGGGTGATGTGAAAACTCCGCAGCCTGCAGGACATCCCGCTGCAGAGCATGGAAGGCGCAGGGGCTGCCTCAAATCCATCGCGCCCCGGAAAAACGCCCCGCGCGCGCTTGCGCGCGTTTCTTTTGGGGCGGGCAGGGGAGAACATGGCGTCCTGGTACACCGTGCCGCCTAGCGTGGCCGAGTTGGCGAACCAGACGCAGCCCAGATCTCAGCGGGAGGCATCACCATGGATGCCTCCAGCACGAGCTCACAGCTGCCTCAGGCGGCCGCACCCACTGCCAACCACACCTCCAGTGACAGCGCCTCCGGTGGGGGCCCCCACAACCCTGGGTTCCTCCAAATTGGATTGATGACCGTTTTGGGTGATTCTCAAGTTCTCACTTCAGTCGATTCTCGGCTTTTGCGGGGTGGGGGCCATGCCTGGGTTGAGCAGTTGTCCAAGCAGAAATGACAAAGACTCCGCTTTCATGGGCTTGTGTAAAGATTGCTGGGCTTACCAATTGTTAGAACCTGTTGGTTGATACCTGGCCCAATGCCTGAGGCCCTGCCCAATGTGAACAATTTGATGCCAAGGCGGGGGCGTTTTGCTCTTGGGGCAACGCAAAGAAGCGGATGGCAGGTTCCTGCCGGTTCCCCAAGAGGCCCAGGCGCGGTAGGTTTTGAGAAGAGCACGGCCCGCCTTGAGGGAACAGCCGCAAGGAAATGCCCGACTGGGTGAAGGAGGACTACATGCCGGACCACGTGAAGGCGGAGGCGAGCGGGAGAGGGAGGGGGCCGGGAGGCGGGCATGCTTCTGATGCCGATGCACCAAGATTTTTCCCTCATCTACCCAAGCGTCTTTGTATTCGACTGCATCGTGGCCAACGCCCTTTGTCTGCTTGAGGCGTGGAGGCACACTATGGCCAGCGGTGGCCTCATTTTAGCTACGCGTGGAGTGCTCCAAAGCGCCGTGCCACTTTGCGCTGGACAAAATCACCTCGCCGCAAGCCGGCATTGCAGAAAGAAACCGACTCCAAGGGCCACCCCCTGCCCCGTGTTTGGTGTGTTGGTCCTTCCCCTATCGGCCCTATCGGCCCGGCGGGAAGCCGAGCCGCTGGCTGCTGAGATTGGCCGACGCCCCCGGTGGGGGCTCCTGCACCGGCTCCTGCCCCAGCCACAGCAGGCGGGGGACTTCTTGGCGAGGGTCTTGGGACTTCGCGTTTGGCTGTGGGTCAAAACCAATGGGATCCCATTTTGGGATAGGTGAATTCAGACCTATTTTTGGGGATTGGGATGTTCACTGGGGGTACGGTCTGGATTTTGACCCATGGCCATTTGTTGCCTGTCCATGTGCCAGGCTTCTTGCAGACGAACGGCGACAGCGTGCCTTGGCCGGCGAGCGCAAGCTAGGGTTAGGGAAGTCATGCTGCAAGCTGACAAGACGATCGCCCAGGTGCGAAAGCGTGGGCGAGGCACGCGTTTTTTTCTTGTGGGGAAGCTTTTGTCAATCCCTGCTATTACGGCTGCCTGCCTAACTGCCACAGATTCAGCAGTAACTTTGCTTGAAGCGCGGTCAGGTACCAGCTGCCCATGCAAGTGAGATGACAGGCATTTGTGAGGAGACGTGCAAGAAGCCAAACACGTGCATCAAAAAGGTGCCATGTGGGGTTTCGCTGCGGCATGTCAGTTTCCCGTTTCACGTTTTGTCCGAAGCGGAACTCAGCCTCCAGAGCTCAGGTGTCACGTGTGGTGGAGTGACCCGACGGGCGATATGCGGTTCAGGTGCTTCCGATCGAGTCGGCTGCAGGTTTCCAGGCGACGACTTCCCTGCAAGCCGTTTAGCCATTTTGAGCACACTCAAACCCGGGCAAGAGGGAAGTAAGGGACAGCTTTTAGCCATAAATGGGTCGGCTGTTTGAATTCTTTACGTAAACCATTTGAATACCAAGGTGCTGCCCCGTTTGAGAAGCCCTTAAGCCTTTGAAAGGCTTAGAGAAATCGAGCACTCCCTGACCAAACACCTATGCAAGCGAGGGCCGTATTTCGTGGTTCTTTTGGTAACGTGGCCCTTGCCGAGAGCTCGGAAAAGGTTTCTTGATACGGAAGTATGTGTGTTTGGCTCTTTTTTTTTGAGCCTACAGTCTGAGGGGTAGGCTTCGAAAGGAAAACCAACTATCTTGCGGGGGGGGGGTCCCTATGTTGACTCATACCCTTGCCAGGAGAAGGCTTTCTTTACACTGAATAGGAGACATCGCACCAGCACCACCGGCACCTTGTGTGCGTGGCGCAGCATTCCTTAGACTTTGGAGGGGCGAGATTGGGCAAGACATTATTCATGTTGTCACTAACAACATGATTCATGTTGTCACTGACCGAAGCCATCGTGTTTGGCGGCGTTTCGGTTCAACCCGCGCGCCTGGTAGCTGTTCGATTCAAGCAGGCAGGGATGCAGCTGCCTCCTTGTGCAGTTTGGAGTCGTGGCTGGGAGTTCTTCGAACGCAGGTGGGATGACTCGGTGGTTCTGGCCTCTTTTCGCAGTGCGGCTCGCGCAAGCGGCGCCATGGACGGAGGACGCCTTGGAGGGCCCTTATGGGGTTGGTGCCCTTTTTTTCTTCCTCCACAACAGCTGAAAGTTTTGGGGTCTCAGCCCAGATAGGCTCCGGGGTGGTCCGAAACGGCCCTGAGGTAAGGTTCCACCAGGGTCCCACCAGGGTCCCACCAGGGTTCTACGAGCGAGGAGAATGGCCCGTGGAACCTGAACTTCGAGACCAAGCATGAGCCACACCTGTACTACGGCCAGTGGCCGGGTCACACATACAATCCCTCGCCCTCCGATTGGAGGAGCCTGGTCATCTACCAGCTGCTTGGACCGAAGAAAACGGAGCGACTGCGAACACTGCCCCAAGAGCCCATTCCAAGGCTCCTCACGGATCGCTTCGCCGATGGTAACCCGCTGAACAACGAGCTCTACGCTGCAGGCTTTGATGTGCGAGACGCTTGGCCGCCCTCCGCCGTCCGCCGTTTGTTGGTCGCGCGAGTTTCACCGTTGGCAGCGGAGCGCATGGCGTATGCCGAAGGCAGCGCCTCAAGCCGAAGGCAGCGCCAGACTTTCAAGCCCTGGGCGCTGAGCAAGTTTTGAAGCGGCAGGGATGGGCTTTCCAGGGCGCTAAGCTCGCTAAGGACATGACCTTCCGGCATGGAGGCGATTTTGAGGGCCTGCGGCAGAAGTTGCACTACATCAAGGGCTTGGGCTGCAATGGGGTATGGATATCGCCCATTTTCCAGAGCTTGGGCGGCAAGAGGGGGCCTGTGGATTGGCTTGCAGAAAGTCTTCGAACAGGAGGTTTCATCTCCACGGATTTACCACAGCCAAGGTACAGTTTCTGGTATCCCGGGAAACCCTTTAGCAGGCCGGGAATGAAACGTTTGGGAGTCCCTCAAAGGACACCGCAGTTTTTTTTTTTGGGGGTCATTCCAATTCTCATTCCCTGCCTATCAAACCAACAGGTTTGAGCCGGTGGTTTGCCGATTGTTTTCGGGTGCTATATTATTTAGGGAATTTTTCTCCCGCTGGATTGGGAATTTTTTTCCAGTCCCTTGGCAAGCAAGCAAGCAAGCAAGCAAGCAAGCAAGCAAGCAAGCAAGCAAGCAAGCAAGCAAGCAAGCAAGCAAGCAAGCAAGCAAGCAAGCAAGCAAGCAATCAAGGCAAGCAAGCAAGCAAGCAAGCAAGCAAGCAAGCAAGCAAGCAAGCAAGCAAGCAAGCAAGCAAGCAAGCAAGCAAGCAAGCAAGCAAGCAAGCAAGCAAGCAAGCAAGCAAGCAAGCAAGCAAGCAAGCAGCAAGCAAGCAAGCAAGCAAGCAAGCAAGCAAGCAAGCAAGCAAGCAAGCAAGCAAGCAAGCAAGCAAGCAAGCAAGCAAGCAAGCAAGCAAGCAAGCAAGCAAGCAAGCAAGCAAGCAAGCAAGCAAGCAAGCAAGCAAGCAAGCAAGCAAGCAAGCAAGCAAGCAAGCAAGCAAGCAAGCAAGCAAGCAAGCAAGCAAGCAAGCAAGCAAGCAAGCAAGCAAGCAAGCAAGCAAGCAAGCAAGCAAGCAAGCAAGCAAGCAAGCAAGCAAGCAAGCAAGCAAGCAAGCAAGCAAGCAAGCAAGCAAGCAAGCAAGCAAGCAAGCAAGCAAGCAAGCAAGCAAGCACAGCCAGCCAGCCAGCCAGCCAGCCAGCCAGCCAGCCAGCCAGCCAGCCCAAGCAAGCAAGCAAGCAAGCAAGCAAGCAAGCAAGCAAGCAAGCAAGCAAGCAAGCAAGCAAGCAAGCAAGCAAGCAAGCAAGCAAGCAAGCACAAGACAGCCAGCCAGCCAGCCAGCCAGCCAGCCAGCCAGCCAGCCAGCCAGCCAGCCAGCCAGCCAGCCAGCCAGCCAGCAAGCAAGCAAGCAAGCAAGCAAGCACGCACAAGACAGCCAGCCAGCCAGCCAGCCATGCAAGCAAGCAAGCAAGCTAGCTAGCTAGCTAGCTAGCTAGCAAGCAAGCAAGCAAGAAGCAAGCAATGAAGCAAACCCACCCTGAACCACCCTAAACGTACCAAACATGCCTTGCACCCGCACACCTAAACACCCGATCCGAAGCCTCACAAAACCCGCCTTTTTCCCCAACTCAACCAACCCAACCAAATTAAACTCCATCTGAACCCACCCTAGACCAATCCTAAACCGACCCACCTAAAGCAACCACAAACACACCCTACACAAGCCTACCTCCCTGCATCCTGGGACGCGAGAACAAGCCTTTTTTTGGTGCAAAATCAGTTTGAGCAGGGGGTTGGGCAAACCAATATCAAACCCCAAGCCCAAACGGGTTGGGCGGTCAAACGTGTTTCTGAGGGGGTCCTCGAGAAAACAACATCGACACATCCTCGATTGGCCGGCGTTGGGGCTCCTCTCTCTGGGCGGGGTCCGGTGAGACAGCTTCGGGCTGGGGAAGTCCAGACAGTCTACAGACACCAGCTTCAATCAGCTTCGGGCTGGGGGTTGTTGCCAAACGACGGCGGTTCATGCATCAAGGGCTTCCTGGATGAGAGTAACCCCGAACACACCCAACCTACCCTAAACCCATCCTGCCCTAGACCAAAAACCTGCCCACCCCAAACTCATGCTAAACCCAACTAAACCCAACCTAAACCTACCCGAAGCCTACCCTAAGCCTAGGACCTTGAACCGACCTTGAACCCCGTAAGCCCTAAACCCAACCAGGGGGTCACCCCGAACTACCAGAACCACATTACACCCACCTTAAACCCACCTTAACCCAACCAGACCAACCTTCCACCAACCCCAGCTCCATCTAACACCACCTACCCTACACCTGCCCCGACCTATCACAAGCACCCTAAACCTACCCTTAACCCGCCCTGAACCACCCTAAACATACCAAACATGCCTTGAACCCGCACACCCTAAACACCCGATCCGAAACCTCACAAAACCCGCCTTTTTCCTCAACTCAACCAACCCAACCAAATTAAACTCCATCTGAACCCACCCTAGACGAATCCTAAACCGACCCACCTAAAGCAACCACAAACACACCCTACACAAGCCTCAAACCAATCTAATAACCCTTAACCCCTAAGCCCACCCTAAACCACCCTACACCCACCCCGAACCTAACTTAAACCAACCCTGAACAGACCCCTGAGCCCAACCTAAACCAACCCCCCCAATGCGCCCTGAACCTGAACCCACCCAAAAAACCAAAACTAACACCCGCCCTAAACCAACCCTGAACACCCTAAACCGCCCTACAAGAGCCTAGGTGCCTGTCACTCAGCTTGCTTTCATTCTCCTGTCCTGTTTCACTAAGGCACAGGTGGCGGTTCATGCACCAAAGACTTCCTGGATGAGAGCAACCCCGAACACACCCAACCTACCCTAAACCCATCCTGCCCTAGACCAAAGACTTGCCCGCCCCGCCCTTAACCTACGTGCCTTGAACCCCTAAACCGATCCGAAGCCTCACTACACCCGCCTTTTTCCTGAACTCAACCAACCCAATTACACAACCGCAAACACACCCTAGACCAGCCTCAAGCCAACCCTGAACCTACCCGTGGATGCCTGTCACTCAGCTGGCTTTCATTCTCCTGTCCTGTTTCACTTAGGCGCCCGCCAAGTATCCTCGTGAAGGTGGCGGTTCATGCACCAAGGACGTCCTGGATGAGAGGAACCCCGAACGCAGCCAACCCACCCCAAACCCATCCTACCCTAAACCAACAGCCTGCCACCTCAAACCCATGCTAAACCCAACTAAACCCCATGCCTACCAGAACTAAACCCACCTTAAACCCACCTGAGCCCTTGACTAAACCAACCTTGCGCCAACCCAAGCTCCATCTCACCCTCTACCCAAGACCCCAACCAAACCCGCGCCGAACCCACCCTTAACCAGGCCCACCCCGAACCCCCAGCCACCCTAAACCCTAATCGCGCCCTAGACCCACCTTACACCACTCCAAAGGTGAGAGGAAAATGGAACGGATAAAAATTCCAAAAAGCGCTGGGAAAAATTCCCGGAAAAAAAGGTCGGCCTCCCGGGTGCTATATTATTTAGGGAGTTTTTCAGCCCCTAAGCCCACCCTAAACCACCCTACACCCACCCCGAACCTAACTTAAACCAACCCTGAACAGACCCCTGAGCCCAACCTAAACCAACCCCCCCCAATGCGCCCTGAACCTGAACCCACCCCAAAAACCAAAACTAACACCCGCCCTAAACCAACCCTGAACACCCTAAACCGCCCTACAAGAGCCTAGGTGCCTGTCACTCAGCTTGCTTTCATTCTCCTTTCCTGTTTCACTAAGGCACAGGTGGCGGTTCATGCACCAAGGACTTCCTGGATGAACCCCGAACACACCCAACCTACCCTAAACCCATCCTGCCCTAGACCAAAGACCTGCCCACCCCAAACCCATGCTAAACCCAACTAAACCCAACCTAAACCTACCCGAAGCAGGCTTAGGGCCTTGAACCGACCTCCACCCCGTAAGCCCTAAACCCAACCAGGGGGTCACCCTAAACTACCAGAACCACACTAAACCCACCTTAAACCCACCTTAACCCAACTAGACCAACCTTGCACCAACCCCAGCTCCATCTAACCCGCCTGCCCCGACCCACATTAGACCCCAAACGCACCCCCAACCCGCCCTTAACCTACGTGCCTTGAACCCCTAAACCGATCCGAAGCCTCACTACACCCGCCTTTTTCCTGAACTCAACCAACCCAATTACACAACCGCAAACACACCCTAGACCAGCCTCAAGCCAACCCTGAACCTACCCGTGGATGCCTGTCACTCAGCTGGCTTTCATTCTCCTGTCCTGTTTCACTTAGGCGCCCGCCAAGTATCCTCGTGAAGGTGGCGGTTCATGCACCAAGGACGTCCTGGATGAGAGGAACCCCGAACGCAGCCAACCCACCCCAAACCCATCCTACCCTAAACCAACAGCCTGCCACCTCAAACCCATGCTAAACCCAACTAAACCCCATGCCTACCAGAACTAAACCCACCTTAAACCCACCTGAGCCCTTGACTAAACCAACCTTGCGCCAACCCAAGCTCCATCTCACCCTCTACCCAAGACCCCAACCAAACCCGCGCCGAACCCACCCTTAACCAGGCCCACCCCGAACCCCCAGCCACCCTAAACCCTAATCGCGCCCTAGACCCACCTTAAACCACTCCAAAGGTGAGAGGAAAATGGAACGGATAAAAATTCCTAAAAGCGCTGGAAAAAATTCCCGGAAAAAAAGGTCGGCCTTTGTTTTCCCGGCATTTCAGGAAGGGCATTCTGCGAGGAACCGCCCGGGGTTCTCCGACTTCGTCTCTTGAGTTCGGCACGTTCTGGGGGAACAAACTCCCGGCCGTAGGAACATTGCTGCTTCGATAGGCGGGGAATGAGAATTAGAATGACCCCCCCCCCCAAAAAAACAAACAAACAAACAACAACAACCATCCTCTATGGTTTTCTTTTTTTCGGGAATGCCGAAGGGTTCATGGCCAACACCCGTCACTCCCTATCGCACCAAGGAATGGGGAGAACTTCTACCACCAGTACGCTCAGTTGGACTTTACGGTGCTCGACCGCCGTCTCGGCACTTTGGAGGATCTGCGGAATCTGGTGCAGGAGGCCCACAGCTTGAACATGCGCCTTGGATCTTTCGGAAACCCTGTGCCAACCATGTGTGTGTGTGTGTGTTTGCGCATGTTTCTCTGAATTCCGATTTTTCTATGAATTTTAATAGGGGCCACCTCGACATTGGCTGGTGGACCATGACTCCCCACCACCTGAGTGTCTACCAAAGGGCCCCCTCAGTTTCCCCCCCATTTCACCTGCACCTTGTTCGAACGGAACGCCAAACAGCAATCTGCCACTTTTGGGGTTGCTCTATTCGGCACATGCCCAATGAGTACTGGCCGCGCCTTTGGTGTTCAAGGGATGCAATACTCGCAGCTGTGTTTACAACGGCCATTGAGTTTTGATGGCAATGAAGGCCCGAAGCTAGTGTCCATTGGCACCGTATTGCGCTTGGAGGAGAATCCCGCCAACAATGACCTTACTTAACCCAGCAACGCACATGCCAAAACTTGCCCCCCTGCCTTGAACTTGACAGTCTGTCTTCCTTGGTGGCTGTTTCAGTTTGCAAACTTCATACCTTCCCTGGTAAGTGTCGCGCCATGATTCAGTAGAATTAGCCCCGCGGATTGTACGCATCTTTGGTTCAGGTGTCTTTTGGAGTCGTGCACGCGCGCAGTTGATTGTTGATTCCCAAAACAGCTGAGCTGTCGGGGTTGTCCTCCCAGTCACGAGATGTGTTGCCACTGGTAGTTGTGCTGCCTCCCCACTTGTTGCCTTACTTGTCTCTTTGCTTGTGCTTGCTGACTTGGACTTGGTCTCTTCATTTGTCTCCCCACCTGTCTCCCTGCTCAAGCTTGCTTCCTCAAACGTTGTCACGGCTTGCCTCCCTTGTCTCCTTTCTTGTGCTTGCTGGCTCGGACCGTCTTGCGCTCGTCTCCTCGCTGTCTTCCACTTGCCTATGGTGTGCGCTTTCTGTTCTCCATGCCTTAGTTGCATGTGTCGTGCTGCATGACATGGTGCGACGAGACTTGACGACCACAGTTGGTTACCCATTTGATTGTTCCTTGTTCTTTACAACTCATTTATGAGAGGCAACGCCTCGTCATTGGCTTGGCGGCTTGATTGGGCCGCCCAGGCGTGGTTTGCGGTTGTTGGCAATCTGTTGTTCGGTTGAAACGAGCTGACTGTAAAAGCGCCAAAGCCAGGCATGCAAGCAAGTTTCGCATTTGCACCTTTGACTTTTGTCTTGAAATTTTCAATGTGCTGGCCAGGAAGCAATAGGAAACAATAGCTTTCTTTTGCCCATGGATCCAGCTTCCTGAGGTATGTCATTGTGGACATCGTCCCTTGGGTGGCAAGGATCGGATCCGTTCATTGCGTTGGGCACTGCCAGTGTCAGAAAGGCTGCGCAAGCCAAGGTAATGAACCATATGGCAGCTTGGAACGCATCGCAGTTGCTGCCTGCCGGGATTTTTTTCGGCGCGAGGGATCTTTCATTTTGCCGGTGACAGCCCAGGCAAATGAGTTCTACTTCGAAGGCCACGCGAAGAGCCAGGCGCCGTGGAGATTTCATGAGGACGAAGGCAAGCGCGAGTACCAGCTGAAGGTGAGGACGACGCAGGTGCGGGTAAGCGAAACCCCCCTTTGCTGGGGTTTTCCTTGTTTCCGGTGTGGGAATTTTAGAAACTTGTCCAAACTTAGAGGTCACAAGGCCCAGAGTGTTGTGTTTTAACGGGCTTACTGATGGCATCTGATGGCTTTCCAACTTTATCCTGGCCCATTCCTGCCTTCAGCCCTCCCTCAACTTTCATCATGGTAGCTTGATTATGCTTCGGTAGGCGACGTTCTTCAATTCAAGCATTTGGTGTGGCGGGGAGCCACTCTGGCAAGAATTTGGAAACGAGCCTACGGGACTTCTACAAAGCAGCGATGTTTGTGAAGCCAACTGTACTGCGGACCCAGATTGCTATTACTTCCTATGGAAGAATGACCCTGGGTCGCTGAGCACATACCATTGTGCCGGCTTCAAGTACTGCGACCAGCCCACCCCCTACACAGACGGCAAGGGCAGCATCTTCAAAACCTGGCAGTGGGCTGTGAAGGCAGAAGAGGTGGCAGTGGGTGTTTGGTGCGGCGGATCCGGCCTGTTCCAGCAATTCGGCAGCGAGGCCACCGGCCTCTTGGCCAGCCGTGACGTCTGCGAGGCCGAGTGCGCGGCCGACGCGGCGTGCGAGTCTTGACTGCTATTGGGCAACGGATCTTTAGACTTTAACTTTGCAGGAAATCAAGTTGGGTTTTCAAAACTAAATCCACAAGTGGAAAACTTTCTGCAGAGGGATCAGCAACCAAGGAGTTCTACCTCTGGAAGGACGACACCGCGGCGGACACCCGGTTCCACTGCGCGGGCTTCGCCAGCTGCGCCGAGGCGGATCGCTCGGCCTTCGGCGACGGATTCGTGAAGATCTTCAAGAAGAGGACCACGCAGCTTCCCCAGAATTAGCTTCTCCTTCTTCTTTTTTTTCTTGTTTGGGGTCCCCTTGTTTTCCACGAACCAGGCAAACAAAAGATGTGTTTTTCTTGTTTTTTGCTGGGGTCCTAAGCCTAGGCAGGAGAGGAGCCTGGATGGCCTGTACGACACGCCAGCCGGCCGGCAGCCGTACGCGGACTTCTGGTACAACAACACGTGGGTCCCGGATGCCCAGTACAACGGCACACTCTACGGCCAGTGGGGGGAGTCTGTGGTCGACCCAGGGTTTGGAACATACATCGGCTCCGATTTCCACCACAATGGCGACCTCATCAATTATTACGACCCCTGGGAAATCAATATGGGTAAGATTTATGGCGTGATGGATGACTTACGCCTGGAGAACGAGAGGGTGCAGCAGAAGTACATTGCCATGACGAAACTTCTCATCGATAGCACGGACATTGATGGCTATCGCGTAGACACCCCGATGCAGGCAAGCGGTTTGAGCAAGCTTTTTTTTTTTTTTTTTTTTGGAAAAATGGCCTCGTTGTGGCATGTACTAAAATGCCACTTTGGCAAATGGAACCAAAGACCACAATCGTAATTTGCCCTAGCTCTTAAATTTGGAGCCACACCGTGTTCTTGATGTTGTTTTTTGGCCGAAATTTAGGGCCACGATGGGCGAGTCGCCAGGTGCCCCTGAACTTTTACAAGGTTTGGGCGCCAGCGATCCGCGCTCACGCCAAGACCTTGGGCAAGGAGCCAGAATCATCCACCAAAACGGCTTCCCTGCTTCAGCTGTGGCTCAAAAAAGGGGTGCCAAAATGACGCCTTGGTAAATGGAACCAAAGACGAAAACCTGCGGTTTGCCCTAGCTCTCTAATTTGAACGGAGGGCCATTTTTTAAGGTTTTTTTGTTTTTGTTTTTCATTTACGTGGGTTTTTGTGGCGTTTCATTTCGCATCCTCTGCATTCACAGGTCCTCTCTGTTTGTGTTTTCGCATCCTCTGCATTGCCAGTTTCGCTGCGGCAGGTGGCTTTTTGGCTTTTGTGGCTTTTGGCGGCTTTCTGGCTTTGGCTTTTCGCATCATCTGCTTTCCCAGTTGGTTTTTGGCCTTGGCTTCCTGCATCCTCAGCATCGCAAGTTCCTCTCTGGTGCCCCCCGCCACCCCCCTTTCGATTAAAATGCACGCCTACTTGAATCATCACTTTTTTCGATCATCATGCGACAGCTACTTTTTAGATTCTTTGCCCCTAATTGAATCATTGAATCATCACTTTTTCGATCATCATGGGGGGCCTGCCGCCTCCCCAACTCCCCCGCTGCTTTGTATATATTTTTGGCCCTGATTGAATCATCACTTTTTCGATCATCATGGGGGGCTTCCGCCCCCCAACCCCCGCGCCTTTAATTGAATCATCACTTTTTCAATCATCACGGGGGGGCTGCTTCCCCCCCCCCCCCAACCCCCCTACGGTTTTTTTTTTTTTGCCCCCAATTGAATCACCACTTATGTATGCATGTTAAAAAAGAGGGGTCCCCCTCATGATGGTAAACCTGAGGATTCAAATACGGGCAAACTGATCCCTGTAAAACACCTAAAAAGTAGCGGGGAGCCCCCCCCATCATAATTGAAAAAGTGATGATTCAATTGGGGGTGCATGTTGCCAAAAATCCATCAAGTAGCGGGGGGGTTTGGGGGGGGGGGGGGGCGGCAGCCTTTCATGGTGATCAATGGCTACCTACCTTGCTGCAGAGGAACATGATGCCGAAGATGCAGGAAGCCAAGACCCTCGATTTGCTGGTGATGCTGGGGATGTTGGCTGGACACGCGGGGGATGTTGAAAACGATGCTAATGATATTGACGTACTAGCGTAAAATACGTACATTTCGCAAAATCATGCTTTAAATTACAGCATTTTTTGTATTCATTACTGAAAGCAACCAAAAACACAAAATAAAGCCAGAAAAAGTTCCCACAATCAAATCTCGACCCAATTGGAACCCCCCAGATTTCGCTCCCTCCAGGCCACCAGTTCGTTCCCAGACGTCCCTCAAGCCCAGCGGGTCCGCTTGAGGCCTGGTTCAAAGGGAAAGGTAAACCACCCAGGGTTTCTAGGGGTTGATTCCCTTTCCACTCTTTGCAAGCATCCTTCTTCTCTTCTTTTTTTGTGTGAAAAAAACGGATCTGTTGCCTCTGTTTTTTTTTTGGGGGGGGGATGGTTTCCTGAAAAGATTCGGATCCCTGGAAAGAACGGGGAAGGTGCCCCTAGAAACTCGATTCGGACGCGTTTTCTCCGGGTGGAGGACCGCTTTGGCATCTTCGGGGAGTTCTTTGTGAGCCCGCAGCGGTACGGCACCATGACGGGCCGGGGCCGTGACAACACCATGTACAACCAGGAGGGTTTTGTTGTCCTGTGTGGGCCGGGGACGCCTTTTTTGCCGGGCGTTATAAAGAAGATGCTTGCAAGGAAGGCAGAAGAAAATGGACTGCATCATGTCTTGTCTTTTTTCCAGGCTCTGCAAACCACCCGGTTGTGTTTCAGGGAACACTGCCATACGTCGGCGAGTTCTTTCACACATTCTTAACCATCGCGGGCAACCACAAGTGCCCCAACCCGCCACTGTACAGTGCATTCGTGCAGAAAGCCGGCAGACAGCAGCCAGTATGCACCCGCGCCCGAGTCATAGATTGTAGCATTCAGTTGCTTGGCGCCACGCAACCCATCTCCACTTATTAGATGTCAACATAAAACAATCGCTCATATGGCCAGTCAACTGTTGGAAACTCAAGCATTGAACAAGAGCTGAAATAGTCTATTTTTCAGGGCTAAGATTGGCTTTTATGGGGGTGCCGAACAAACTCCCTTCAGGAGATTTACATTGATGACATTGCAACACTCAAGGGAGGTATCGTGTATCCATACTACTGGTACATCTTCACGGCGATGATCTACAAGTTGCCGGAGTATGCCGACGGCCTGCCGCTCGCATACCGGGAGGAGAACAAGATCATTGATACCTATGATCCGACCACTGGTCGCCACGAGTATGCCATGTGGACCTTCTGCAACAACCACGACAACTGGCGGCTCCAGTCCATGACGGGGTTCCCGGAATTTCGGATGTGCCTGGCCGTGATCACCTTCTGGCCCGGGGTGCCCTTGCACTACGCGGGCGACGAGCAAGACTTCGACACCCCCGGGAGCGCCTTGGACGGCTGGGCCCGGGAGGAGCTCAGCCCGTCCTTGGCCTGGCGGGCGGTGCGCACGCAGCCAGGGGGAAACCCGGCGGACAAGGACAGCTTCGACATGACCAGCGCCACGTACCAATACATCCGGAGGCTCAACGCCCTGCGTACGGCATACCTCGGAGGTTTCGGGGAGGAGGAGTGTGATCAGATTCAGACGCCCAGCTATGCGACTCCAGATGTGCTGGTGTTCATCCGGGGATGCACGTCTGAAAAGGTGCTCATGTTTGCAAACTTCCACACTTCAGAGCAGCGTACCGCATCAATTGATGCTGTCCCCTGGGCGGATGCGACGGTGCTCACTGACTGCATCTCTAAAACGGCACCTGCGCAGGTCACCGTCAACTCGGGCAGCGTCTCGTTTGTGCTCAGCCCTCTGCAGGCGGTCGCCTTCGCCGCAGCGGTGGCCAAGGTGCCGCCCGCCGTGGTGGAAGTGTGGCCCGCGCATGGCGCGGCAATTCCGATCGGCAGCTCCCAGCTCACCTTGAAGATCAAGTTCGATCGGCCCATGGCGTCGTCGATTTCGGCGCAGGTGCTCTTCGACCAGAGCTCCTCCGGCTTTCAGTGCGCTGGAAACGAATGCACGAAGCAGGTGGATGCCTCTGCTCTGAGCGATGGCCATCACTTCTTGGAAGTGGCCGAGGGGGCTGTTGCAGAGGATGGGACAGCAACGCATGCCACCTTCCGTTCGACCTTCATTTTCGACAGGCAAGGAGGTGTCATCGCAGATCCAACCATCAACGAGCTGCCGGGCTTAATCTGCAGTGGTGGCTCCAAACTGTGCCACAAAGCCAGCGGGGCCACGTGGTTCCGTGTGCAGAATGTGGGTGGGAACTGGTCAGAGTGGATGCCGTATAATGGAAGCTCTACAACTTGGAGTTCTCTGTTTGATGTGCCAGTGCTTGTGCAGTATTTCTCGGATCTGAGTGCCAGCTTCATCGTTGGGGATTGTCTTACAGAAGCTGGCAAGAGGTGTTATGTCAGCTGGCACAAGCAGATGTTTGTCAGAGGGGAGTTCAACAACTGGGGCAATGACGATGAGGGCACCATGAGCTTGATAGGTGCATACACATGGGCGACCAATGTCACGCTGGATGGATTTGTCCGCGCGCGCTTTACGCCTGTCACGGATTGGTCAAAGTCTTATGGCATGCATCCGGTCCGTGAATTGTTATACAACGTGCCCACCTTCGACCCAAGACACACGACTCTCCACTGTCGTTGAGTCTTTGGCTTTTGAAAATTGTTTCTTCCTTTTTGCGAAGCATCCAACATTTTTCTAGGGGTTGATTCACCATTCTTTTCAGCCATCGTTATTGTCAAAAAGGAGTCATTTCCCCCAGGATTTCTAGAAGGAAACTACCCCTAGAATCCTGAGTGCGCTGGCCCCTTTGCTCTCGGTGCAGGAACTTCGACGTGGTGCCGACGCTCTCCGGTTCCGAGCCCTGCCGCCAGTGGATGGTGGACCGGGACCACTGGTCTGAGCACCACACCGTGGCGTCCGGGGCGGAGTTTGCCGTTGACCTGTGGCTGAGCCATGAGTGCACCGTTGCATCGCCCACCTGTGTTCCAGATGCAGATGCAGATTGGCAGTGCCATGGCTACAAGGATGGCCAGGACGGGGGAGCTTAAGCGTTCTGGCCATTCCTGAGCTGATGTAGCAGATACCGTTTTGAGATCCCCATTTGTTTGTGGGCTAGGATTGGTTTGGGGATTCGAGTTCCTGGTTTTTGCAGAGGGTACTCCCTAGCCTCCAGACCATTTGGGGAGCCGAAAAAATCGCAGGATGGACCATGGTGCGCGTCGGTGGGGACTGAGAACTGCTACGACTACGCGGTGAACGACCAGACCGAGGCGATGAGTGGCTGCGGGGGGTGCTACTGCTGCCGCAGGAAGGTGACCACAGCGGCCACGGGCCCAGAGACTCGGCATCATTTTTTGCCGCGTGGAGGGCGGCGACTTGTGGAAGTAGGGGCAGAGGGCTGCGGAGGTCAAAGCCGTTTTGGGATCCCATTTTGGGGGATTGGTGAATTCACCACCCAGTTTAGGTTACCTATTTGAGTGGTTGGATTGGTGGATGTTCACAGGGGGTACGATTTGGATGTTGACCCACAGCCAAACTGCTAGCTGTTGGTTGGAAGGGAGCCAAGGAACTGGGGGTGTCCAAACCTTGCTTCTAAACAGGGGTCTAAGGAGCTACCAGGAGGTCTGTAAGGACATGGGTAGACATGGTAGACTGTCTAGGGCATTGGTCTTGAGTTGTATTTGAAAAAGGGTCAAGCAGCCAACGCGCAAGGCGGCTACGTGCTGCGTCAAGTTCAACGACCTGTTTCTGAATTACACGGTGACCTCAGATTTGTCGCAGTGCGCGCCACATCCTGGAACAAGCCACGCGTCCTTTACCATGAGCATCCAGGTGGCCGATGCTTCGGATTTGCAAGCGGTGTCCGCAAGCTTTGCCGCGGCAGTGGCCGCTTCCCTGAGCGTGACGGCAGATGTCACTGCCGCTCGGACTTGGGGAGTTGTTCGACGCCTCCGGAGCTCGGAGCCCCCCCCCCTCCCCCCCGCCGAGGGTTTCAATTTTTTTCCCCAGCCGGTGAGGTGAGTGTCTCGTACATCGTGGCGGCCAACTACGTGCTCTCCGACGTCTCCGACCTCGAGGCAGCCAAGACGGAGATTTGCAATGCCTTCTCGGACGCGGATGCGTGTGTCGCGGAGCTCGGAAGCAGGCGATTGCAAGGCTGGGTTAAATTGTTAAAGGAGCTTGGGTTACGCAGGTTTTGGTCTTTCTTTCCACTTGCCAACTTGCCAAGGGCCATTTTGGGTACCATGTTTACCATGTTTTGAGCCGCAGCCATTTGTTTTTGGGTTTCAGCAGGGCAAAAAAAAAAGCGCGCTGTCTGCTTTCCGTGGTTGGGCTGCCAGGTTCGGAGTCGGCTACGCTGCATGTGGAGGCCTAGGGCTTGTCTCACCCTTTTTGTTGCCTTTTTTTTTACGCACTTTTGTTGGCATCTTGCAGTTCCCAAGTGTAAGTTTTTTTTTGGTGTGTGTGTTACACCCTGGAAATACATTCGGGGTATTGACCCCATTTAGGCCCATGAGGGTCATTCCCAAGGGTGTAATCCCAGGGTGTATTACAAAGACCCTCAGACGAAACAAGTGGCCAGGTGGCCGGTCGGCTCTTCGCTTTGGTGAACAAACATGCTTTTGCTCAACAGTAGGTGACCACCCTGGACGCCAGTCGCTTCGCAACGACGCTGGCACTGGCGAACGATGGCGCCGCCATGCAATCCGCGCTGCGCAGCTCGCAGGTTGGAAGTGTCTTGCCAGGAAGTTGCGTGCTCAACAGGAAAGAAGACTCAGGTAGCTGAACCATGCCCATGTCATCCAGCCTCAAGGGATCCCGAGCCTTCTTTCAGATTTGGGCAAAGGGATAATGAAGGGCCAACTGGCCCGAGCCAGCTCCGTTTCGCTTGAAACCAGGTGTCATGAGTCGGAACCGAGTTGGGCATTTCACCCGCAGTGATCTAAGGCAATACCGTGCTCAATATGCCATCTTCCGCATCTTCAGAAATGCGAGTGCTCACGGATGTGACCTCCGGCAGTATTGTGGCTCCCTCAAACCTGGTTCCTGAGACTGCCCGCTTAGAAAGCGAGCTCTCTAGCATTCATGGCGCCAATGTTGAGTTTCTTTCCGTTGCCCAAGTGACGACGACAACACCTACACAGGCCACAACCACCACGCAAGCAGGTTCCACGGCGGCCGCTACACAAGCCACAACCACTGCGCAAGCAGGTTCTACGGCAGCCGCCACGACGTCAGGGTCAGCATCAGGGCCGGTGACCCTCAGGCATGCCACGGGCCTTGGAACCAAAAAACCATGTGGGCTCTATATCTTGATATATCTTGATTGCTTTTGGCTTGGATCTGCAGGCTTTCACTGTAAACGCTTCGAGTTGCCCGCCCCGGCCAGCATGCTTTTGGCTGGCTTTGAGGGTTGTATTTGTTTGAGTGTGCGTGTTAGCTGGTTCCCAAGATACATGGTGGGCTGGGCGGGCAATTCTGTTGGGGCCCTTTGACCGATTTCGAAGGGTTTGATTGGTTTCTGGGAAATTTGACCGGAATTTGACTGGTTTTTGACCAACATTTGACTGGTTTGTGGGTGTGGGCTTGGGCCGCGGAAGGGTCTGGCCTCGGGGGCCTGGAGGCACCTGGGGCACGAGTTTATGGGTTGGGGGGGTGGGCGTTGGGGCGAGGCGATTTTTTGGTGGTCCAAGGAACCCGCAAAAAGTTAAACGTTTCGCAGCGGGGTGAACAGCAACCAAGATATGAACTCGTGTTTTTTCTAGTTGAGGGGGTGTTGGAATCATTCGAGTTTTCCCTAGGCCATCTGGTTGGTTTGGACCTGTCCAACCCTCAGGGTCCGCAGTGCAGGGTCGGATGATGGCAACTTCGCGGAGTTTTACTTGAATGGCGTGAAGGTTGACTTGGAGTCCGGGAGGGGAATCAGCGTGGTAGTCCTGGACGGTGGTTCCGTTTCAGAGAAGCACGTCTATGACACCGGTTACCAGGCCTTAGGTGCAGGCCCCTTGTCCGCGTTGCTGAACGGTCTGCCGCTCGGCACCGTAGTGCTGGTCGCCTCTATGGACGACGCCTCCGACGGATTGACCACGGAGGCCAAGGCGGCGATCGCTGGTTTGGGCGCCACACAGGTGGGTGCGGGCCAAAATCGCGGGACCTCCAAGAAGGTGGTTCTCCTTTTCGCTTTGAAACCGCGAAAACAAAAGAAGGAAAACAAAAACAAGAACTAACAAACCAAGGCTCGAAACGAACCCCGCACACGCAGAGAGTTGGAGGTGGAGAGCATATCCTACCGGGGCTCCTATGCCCTCATCGGCGTCAAGGGAGGCGATGCGATAGCAGAGGCGGTTGCAGTCACTGGCCTGGGCCCTGTGACCTTGGAGGAGACTGTGGTGTTCCCACTAGGCCTGACTCCCAACCTCGGTTCAAACAGCCGTCCGAGGGCTTTTTGTTCTTGAGTGTGTGCGTTTTTTTTTTTTTTCTTTGGGGGGGGTCCCAGTAAACCACTAAAGGTTAAAGTTTTAGCAGGGGGGTTGAGGACAAGAAACCCCGGTGCCATGAAAGTGGAGAAGCAGTTGCCTTTGCGTGCGGGATGCGACCGAAAGATGCCCAGATTCGCGCTGTTGGCTTGTGCAGGCTTTGTGTCTTCAAGCAGTTCGCAAAGCACAGAGGGTGCGAGCAGTTCGCAAAGCACAACCGGTCATGGACTCAGCTCACTTCAGCCCAGCCCATGGCTCGATCATTTTTTCGGCGGCCAGGTTTCACCAACCCCGTCTCGACCTCTGTGCCTGCATCTACATCTTCTGGAGCAGCCAGGCCTGCATTGGATCCAAAGAATTTCCAGGCCATCTAAGAAGAGGCACTGAGACACTCCTATGCCTCGTAGCATGCCAAGGAAAACTCGCAGCCGCCCTTCTGGACCTTCGCAGCTGAAACCGCACACTAAGTTGCCCCCATGGCGCCTGCCGTTTTTGGTTTGGCAAAAAGCTCTGGGTGCCACCCGCCTAGGAATTCGCAGATGGCAGTGTTGGACTTCAGTCCCTCTTTGCTCTTCTGATCCCTTGCCCCTTGGCACATGCATGGCTTCCTGCTTCGCATCGGTCGTTCGGGGATGTTCGTGCTAGAAAACATGGCAACCATATCTGGTCTGTGCCAACCATTTGTTGGCTCCAAAACAAACCGTCCGTGTCTTTTTCTCTTAAACCTTGTGTCATTTTTGGCCGCAATATTTTTCTAGACAATCATCCTTCAGGTAAGCCTCGTTCGTGCTTTGGGTTGGTTTGGGGAGTAAGTGGGAAACCACCTTTGGATTTGGAGCACCTCCAAACCTCCTAGCTTTTAAACCATTAGAGGGAAGATTGCAGACTTGCAATATGTATTTCACAAAATGTGTTTTAACAAGATGCGTTTCACAAGGCAGGTCCTTTTTTGGTGTTTCTGCGCAGGCATGGCGATGCTCTGAAGTCGCACTGGGTAACCCATGCGGCCGGAGTGGGTTTTTGGCGCTGGACAACACCTCTTTGCCCTACAGGCGCATGGCGGGCTGTGTGTCGATCACCGGCATGGGAAGTTTATTTGTTTGCTTGTTTGGTTGGTTGCTTGGTTTGTGTGTTTGCGTGTTTGTTTGTTTGTTTGTTTGTTTGTTTGTTTGTTTGTTTGTCTGTCTTCGGTTTGCCTTTTGGTTTGCCTTTTGTTTTGCCTTTTTGTGTGCTGGTGGGCCCAAATTTCCCGCAATGGTGGCCCACTGGGTCCCAGTTAACATTCACACCTGGATTCCTTCATCATTTGGGGAGACATGTGGATGCCTCAGGTTTGGCAAGTTTCGTGCGGCTCCAGTACATTCGATCCATACGGACCGAGTGCTTCGAGTGCAAAGAAGCTCCTCCCCAGATCCGGGGAAACCTCCGATCCTGGGAGGGCCGGCTTCGGCACTCAACTCGTTTTTTTTCCTCCGGCCAAAGCTGCCGATCGGAGCGAGCTACAAAGGCTCTGCCCCAAAACCTATAGCACAAAACCCCAAAGCTCTAGCACCAAAAAGCGCGGGAAAGGCGGGGCGGTTGTATGCCAGCATGCCAATTCGCATTCCAAAGAATTGAGCTCCCTGAGCCCAAGGCCGATATTGCTGAGCAAAATTTGCTGGGACATTGGCAAAGCGCGCTTTGGATGCCACTTTTGGATGTTTGGAGTGCTTATTTCTCCTGGTCGGTGCATCTCGTTCCTCGGATTGCCTGACTTCCTTGTGGGATGGCCCCAAGAAGGCCTCTGCGGGGCCTCTCACGGGCTTAATCTCTCGACTTGAGCGCGGCATTGGCCAAGCTTCTCTTCCAGCCGGAAGCAGGCAGCCCATGGAACATCCCACACAACGGGCCCATTCCCCAAGACGCAGGTCCCTTGGGATCAGGAAGAGCCAGGCTACTCGTAAAAATAGAACTCGACCCGTAGTTGTTGAATGTCCATACTGCGGGTCGTTTTACTGTGACGAGTGTATGCTCCCCCATGCCCCCCGCATGTTGGCTTGTCGTGTTTAGTGAGGTTTTCCCGGAGCACCTCAGGACGATTTCCTACGACGCACAATTCAACTGCCTCATCTGCAGAAACAGCTTTCCCTAACATGCCCTGCGCCCATTGCCACGCACAGTCGAAAGCTGCCCTTCGATCCGAAGAAGCCACGGGCCAAGTTTCATCAGAGACGCGCCGCACATGGCATGTGTGAGAGAGAGAGAGAGGGAGTTTTTTTTTTTGTGTGTGTGTGTGTGTGTGTGCGTGTGTGTGTGTGTGTGTGTGTGTGTGTGTGTGTGTGTGTGTGTGTGTGTGTGTGTGTGTGTGTGTGTGTGTGTGTGTGTGTGTGTGTGTGTGTGTGTGTGTGTGTGTGTGTGTGTGTGTGTGTGTGTGTGTTTGTGCGTTTCATTGTCAAGGCCGGCCTAGAAATCAACAACATGTTCTTGCGTGAAAATCCCGATGCCACTGCTTAAAAGACAGGCGGAATAATGAACAATCTAGGTTTGCCGGCGCTTTTAGGGGGCTGACATGATTCTATTTGGGTGTGTCTTTCTTTAGCGGACCCCCCCAAACAATATATATATATATATACATATATATGTGGCTTCGCTTTAAGCCACCAAATTAGGGGTACCAACTCCAAAAGAAGGCACCCAGGGCAGGCTTGCTATAGGGTTCGCATCTCCAAACCTGGAACCAGAGTCGCGCGCCTCAACTTCAACCGCTGTTAGAATAATGGTTGCCCCATTTTGTCCACCACCTCAGGTAAACAAATGTGGTTGCATCCACCCCCCCCCCCCCCTAATTGAAATCGCTCTGCGATCCGCCGACGCCATTTGTGGTGCGACGACTGCTGTGACGAACTGCTTATCTCTCCCATATGCTGAGAATGCGGAGGATGCAGCCAGACTTTTCGAATTTTAGCAGCTCCGTAGATCGTCGCCACACTTGCCCCCGCCAAAACCTCAAACATCCACCAAGACAGCCCTGATAATTTTTGGGAATGCAGATTCCTCCCACCGTTGCCAAACCTCCCACCCCCCGGGAGACCCAAACGCGTGTTTTAGGCGCCGTCAAATTTTGCTCAAAAATGCCTTCGACGAGAAAGGACAATTCCGAAGGAAGAGCAAGTTGCGGATTGCCATGACTGGCATCGGCGGCTCTTAAGTATGGTTGCTATGCAAGCGCACAGGTTACTCGGCTCACTCAAGACTGCAGGCTCGGCGTGTGAGACGGCTTCGTTCCGCGCGCATCTTGGCGCGCCTGGTTCCCGTGGGCAGGGTGCGGCTAACGCGATCCTGTGCCAGCAAAAGAGTTGGGCACCGTATGGATCACAGTGGATACCGTATCCGTTGAGGCCAGGAAGAAATCAGCAAGCCAGTTGAAGGGAATGCAGCTAGAAGGTTTTTGACACATTGCCAATTTGCATCTGCCATGCCGTCCGGTACCATGTCGCAGACGCAAACCACACAACCCGCAGCGCTGGTGCTCACAGCAGCAGGTGGGGGGGGTAGCTTCCAAGGTCAGAGCATTCGCAGGTTTGCAATGGGAAAAGCACGTCTACAGGACAAAACTCTTCAACGTTGGAAGCTTCGGCTTGCGTACCCACAGTCACTTTGGGAGCAAGGCAGAGTGCACAACAGATGTCATGTAGAGTGGTGCGCCAGCCTTCTTCAAGGCCATTCCCGCCTTTGCCTGCTTTGTGAAATGTGCATCTGTTTTTGCAGATGCCGTGCTGGAAGTGGGCGTGTCTTGGTTTTGGAGACCCACACAATTATTGTTTTCCTTTTGGTCTTCCCTTTAACACCACCCAAAAGGGGTACCTTCAAAAAAAAGACAGAGCCACATGTAGTTCGTGATGGTCCTCAACCCAAGCGTCTTCGCCGGCGCTCGGCTCAAGTCCACAGCGCCAAGGGGACAAGAAGGACTTGGGTCAGTCTTTCCTTGGGTTCCCAGCCATCAGTCTTTGATCCGTTTAGTTTTTGCTGGGATTTCCACACCCACCAGAAGTTAGTCACTTTGAGCGGGGGATCTGAGGACAGCCCAGACATTTTTGAGGGGACCCAGTTTGATTGCTTTGCAGGGGGTTGAGCATGATTTGACCAGATCACTTTGGGAATTGGAAGCGGCTCACTAGAAACCATTGGTTTTGGCTGTGACTTTGGGCAAGATCCAGAGGTCCCTTTCAGGAATTTACGATCCCAAAAAAAAGAGACAGCAACAAAACAAACGGAAACAAACAAAGAAAACATGAAAACACGAGAAAAAAGGAAGACAAAAAAAAAAAAAAAAAACGAGAAAGCCACCCACAAAAAAAAACAACTCCCCGATTTGGGGAGTTCACCGCTTGGAGAGCTCCATCTCTCGATGGGCGATCGAAGCTTCATCTCGGGCCTGCCGGCGCGCGGGGATGCCGCCTGCTTACGAGTTTTCAGTGAACCACGTGTTGGAACGCCCGCCCCCTTGTAAATGGAATTGGGGGAGGGGGGTGACCCCTGAAATTCCATTCATGGTTCCTTTTTTTTTTTGGGGGGGGGGGGGTGGGGAAGAGTAGATAAATGGAATTGAGGGACCCCCCACCCCTCCCCCTTTGGGTACAGGGGGATATGTCGTGGAGCGCCCGCATGCTTTTGGGGCACGGAAAAGGCAACTGGTGGACATCTAAGGTCTTCACTGCTATTGGGTTGGATCTTTAAACTTTAACTTTTTGTTTTTTAAAGGGGTTTTCCACTAAACCCCCCCCAACAAGTTAAACTTTTTGCAGGGGGGTCAACAGCAACCACGAGGTATCCCGGGTACAGTTTCGCTTGGCGCTTGTATTTCCGGCACCTTGTCGGCCTTTACATGGGAACTGGCTTGCAGCGGAGTGGTCTCTGATTTTTGTTCGTCGCTGTTTGGGAGCGGCCACGCGCTGAGCTATGGCCTCGGAGTCAAAGACGCATTGCCCAACTGCAGCTCCGTCACGGCCAAGTGGCGATGTTCACACCTGTGCCGTGCATTCTTCAAGCCCCACTTGCGCCAAATGAAAACACACACACACACACACCTGCATGTCGAGCAGAGTCTCTGTGAAGCAATTGGGTCGTGAGAGGAGGCAAGCTTAGATAGTGGTCATGTGAATGTCGCACACGTTAGAACGTGTGCAGAAGCATTGCCGTGCTGTGTCCTGCATCTCCCAACATTTCACCATTTCAGAAGCGGAGGTCTCCCAAACCAACGGCGCGCGCGCGCGTTCTTCGCCGCACGCTGCTCGCCGCGCGCAGTCTGCACGCGTCTGAGGCGGCGTTCAAAGATGACCCCTCGAGGGCCCAGGTCTTCTGCGAAAAGATGAGGCAGGCCTTGGACGCCCATCCCGTGGCTCGGCAGAAGGGTGGGACGGTCTTTTTTGGAGTTGGCGCCCCTTTTTTGGGGTCAGGGGCAACGAAAAGGGAAACAAGACCCGGCCAGGTGTCACAAAGGGGAAGCATGTGTTTGTCTGGAAATAAGGAAGCCATGGAAGCCCCCAAAATGAGTGGTGTCTCTGTTTCTGTTGGTTTCCATTTTGAACCCCAGAAACACATGCAGACTGTATAGCCACAAACCTTATGGAAGCGTCCTGGAGCAAAGTGAGGCACAGCAAGAATGCCCCAGATTCACCCCATGCAAGCGGATTGCGTATCCCAGCCCCGTAGCTGTTGGGGAGCTAGACCCAAGGAGACATGAAGGTGTCAAGAGTGGAGAGAAGGGGCTCGACTGCTTCAGGCAGGCACTGCGGCCTTCAACCAGCTGGACATGTCCAAGGCCTTCATGCACGCACCTCAGGAAGAGAGGCAGAGAGAGTGTGTGTGGGTGCGTGTGTATGTGTGTGATGACGCCAGGCTCCTTGGTTGATCAATTGGAATGGATTCCTCTTAGCCTGTCAGGAACAAATCCCCTTGACCATCCCCTGGTAGCCATGACCCTGTTGGGCGGGTTACGCCACTGTGAGGGTTTTTTTGGGTCGTCCCAATGGCAGCGGTTCTTTTTTGGCTTTCCCTTAGCCAACTAAACGGGGGGGTTATGTCACTGGAGCCACAATCAAAACGCGGGTAGATGAAGGTTAGTAAGGGACGATCCCAACCATCAACAGCTGCGGATATCCGCCTTCTTATGTCTTGAAGCATGGTTCTGGGTCGACCATTTTTGCCCCGGGTTTTGATTGCGACTCGGCTGGAAGTCGTCCCAATGGTTCATGGAAAACCCGAGGCCGCCTGCTTGTGTGGAGACCTGGCCTTTGGGTGAGGGGAACTTCGAAGGGGACGCCCGCGAATCGGAGTCGACCTTGGCTTTCTCTGTTTAATTGTGACTGCCTTTGAGAGATGTCGACTCTTTTTTGGCCATTTTATTTTGGCCACAGGGGGACATCCAAGCATTTGGAGATGAAGAGGTCCAGACTCTGTTGTAGGTTGCAAGTTGCGTGCCAGTCCCGGCTTCAGAAATTCCGTGTTTGGGGCTCGAGGACTACTTGTTCCGGATCCTGCGGGAGAAGTCTGTCCGGGTTGAGCGTCTGAAGGCTTTTGACTGTGGCCTTGACGACTCTGCGCTGACCCGAGGCCTGCGTTTCAGTATGTTTCGTTTGGCCTTTGTCCTCATGGTGCATTTTGGCACCAGGCCAGTGCAGCTTGCAGTGGAGCCTCAAGTAAGCCACCGGTGCTTTGGCTGAGTCCCTGGGCTTCTGTATGTCTTGCACCTGAGGAAATCCATTGCAGAGTGGATTCAGTCGTTGCCGCCCGAGCACCTTCCGAGCGAGCTCCACTTGTCACACAACAAAATCGCCCACAGCGGGTTTGGCGTGCTTGTAGATGCCATTGACGCTCGGCAGGCATCACAACAGGGCGACCTGCCGTGGCAAGTCCAAGCATTGCCAAGTGCCCAAAGTCTTATCATAGGATTGACCCCGCCCCATGCACGTGGATCGCCAGATTGACCTTCTGGGGTGCAGGGTTCGATTCTCGGCCTGTCCGGGCTGGACTGTTCTGCCAGATGCTTCCATTACACATTGCCCGGCAGCATGCTTTGCCGTTTGTGTAGACTTGCTATTCGATGCCTGGGCACAAGGCACCCGCTCCCAACTCAATCAGGCTGTCGACAGCGTACCCTTTGTCACCCGGTTCAAGTTCATGGGCGGCAGGGATGGCCCCAGGAAGATGTTCAGGTGGCGAAGTGTTGCGGCTCTTTGCAGGGCTTCGACTAAATTCGGTGGCGCCGGGTCATACTCTGGGGGGTTGAAGGTGGCTTGTTTTGTTCACCGTCACTCGAAGGCCAGCCCCTGTCGAATCAATAGCAATGAGGTTTGCCCTTTTCCTTGTCCATAGGAATCATCGCTTTGCCAAACCGTGCCACCATTGCAGGAGTAGTGGCCGAGAATGATAGGCCACAGGTTTTTGTACCCTACATGTTCAACAAAAGGGCCCCTGGCAATCAGGCGTTCGTTGATCATACCCAGAATGGTCCTGAGCTACAAGCATGCTGGGGCCAAGTCTTGTGCATGCTGACCTAGGAAGCTAAATGGCTGAGATTGCGCATGAAGAGGCCTCCTGTTTGGCTACGTGTCGAGGGCAACGTGGTCGACGATTCGGCCATTTGCGCATCTTTGCCCGGCAATCTGTTCAGAACTGGAGTGGGTGTGACCCTCCATTTTGCATGTCACGGTTGACCCGTTTTCCTTGCTTGAGCTTGAGGCTGTGCTTTTAAAAGAGCCCCCATCCCAGCTTTTGAAAAGAGCCCCTGGTAGATCCCGCGTGGTGCGTGGTGGTGTGCCCCAGGTGCTCTCAGACCCTACTGAGAGGAACCCTTGTGCAGGGGGAGGCAACCCTGGGCACGGCAAGCTGAAGCGCTACATGGTCACACACACAATGATACAAAAACAAGTATTCACAGTTCTTCAACTTCCAGCTGGTTGGAAGGGAGCGGAGCCAAGGAGCTGGCGGGGGCTCCCTCCCCACGCCCCTCCCTCCCCCCAGCCCCCATCCCAGGCACTGGTCACCGCCGGCCGCGCCGTGCTGGCGCCCAGCCTGAGGGCCCCCGAGCGCCAGAATGGGAAGGCACGCTGGATGGGACGCCAGAAATTCGCTGGATGGCCAATGTAGCCGGCTCTTGCGAGTTGCGGCGCCAAATGTAGGTCTTTTGCAGTCTGTTTTGTATGACTTGTATGTACGTAGTTTGTGGGTTTGTAGGTTTTTGTTTGGCATGCGTAATGGGAGCGGACCTGTCAGTTGAAGTGGGACGAAGCCAATGCTTTGGTCCACGGCACCCTTTAGTGGCAAGTCTTAGGGTGCCGCTCGCCATTTTTGACGGTGAGGTTAGGTGGCTTTGTGCGTTTTTTTTTTTTTTTTTTTTTTTTTTTTTTGTGTGGGCCTTGACAGGTGCTTCGCATCTGTGAGGTTTAGGCGTTTTGCCTTGTTTGCGCGCCCCTCGAGCGCAGAAGTGCAGGTGGGACTTTCCCATGCTGGCACGGGATATGTTGCGTATCCCACACGCCCAAAATCGGAGTAAGAGCTGCGATACTGAGACGATGCATTCTCCACCCCTCGTTTTCAATCGGAATCTCTGAGGCCGAATTGGCCAGCGAGCTGGTTTTGACCGGTTTGCAAAGTGGTTTGTCATGCTCCGGTATAGCCTATTTGCCTGCGTTCACGCCCGCTCCCGAGGAAGTTCATGCCTCATGAGATGTTTTGTTCGCAGGGAACTTGGACCCAGTTCCGTGTGGGTGATCTTGCGGGCAGTTTGGAACGCCCCGCGCTGGCAAGCTCGGCTCTTGCCTGAGGCGCCGCTGTCCTTTCCTTCGTTTCACGGGAAGAGCATGCCGTCGCCTCAGCAGATGCTTAGAACAGCACATGCACACGGCAAGGTGTGCGGGGTAAAGCCCTAAAGTCTGGAAACGGACACATGTGCAGGTTAGTGGGTGCGGGTCAAAATTAAACAACCAGGGGACCCCAGGTTTCAATCCTGGGTTCCATTTACCAGGGTTCCACCTTGGGTACCCGTTTTTGACCCACAGCCAGTTGTTTGCACAGGACAGCATGTACTGGCGCGGAGGCTGGTGATGCAGACTGCTTGCCCTGCCAAGGCTCCACGATTCGTTCCAGCTGAAGCCCTTTCAGCGCAAGAGCGAATTCGGGGCCCGGCCGCCGCCCGTGCCGCCCAGCTCGAGCGAGAGTGCCACCGCTGGCAACGAGGTTCGTCAGCATGCCTTTCCTCCCCTGCCGCCGGTTCCGCCGGCTCCACCGGTTCCAACGCAGATGGGCCAGGAGCACATGCCGATGCAGTTGCCCATGCAAAGCTGGCCGTCAGATGGCCAAGGTGTTGGTTTTGGGCCGGGCGCCCACCCGAACCCCATGAAGCAGGTGCACCAGCTACAGATGCAGCCGGGTCAACCACAACACACTGACCAATTGCAGCCAATGAGTCAGATGAATCAGATGAATCAGATGAACCAGATGAATCAGATGCATGAGATGAACCAGATGAATCAGATGCATCAGATGCATCAGGTGAACCAGGTGAACCAGCTGAACCAGATGAGCACGGGGAACCAGATGAGCCAGATGAGCCAGATGAGCCACATCAGCCAGATGAACCAGATGAACCAGATGAACCAGATGAGCCAGACAAACCAGATGAACCAGATGAACCAGATGAACCAGCACCACATGAACCCAGCACACCAAATGCAGCAAATGACCCAACCGCAACAGATGCACCAAATGCAAGCACACCCCTCGCACCAAGCACAATGGCCCATGCCAGTGCAGCTGCAGCCACTGCAGGCGATGCCACTGCAGGCGATGCAGGCGATGCAGGGTGCTCAGCCTGCCCAAGCCCAGGCAACACAAATCCCCGCGCACGCGCAGCGACCCTCTGCCACTTTGCGCCAGCTGCTGCGAGAGCGGACCCGCTCGAGATCTCGGAGCCCGCATGCTCAGTCGAGAAGCGCGCCTCAGTCGGGCAATGTGTGAAAAAGGCGCCAGGCGATCTTTGCATAGGTTCCCGGGATATCCGGGAATCCGGGGATGATGGTTGTGTGAGTGTTTGGAGTGTGCTTGTGCGTGCTGATTCGCTGCAGCTGGCTCGTCTCCGTGTCCGCGCCATGCCTTTCAACCGATGCTGCTGGGCTCTTTTGCTGTGAGCCTGCCCAGCGGCAACGTCAACCCAGCCTTGCCATAGTCAGGCGTCGGTTGTTGCATGCGAACACGCCAGTCGCTGTTGCCAGTAGGTCTTGACATGTTTCGCAGCCAAATGGCTGTGGCTCAAAATTAAAGAGCTGGGGTTACGCGGGGTTTAGTCTTTGGTTCCATTTGCCAAGGTGCCATTTTGGTACCACTTTTTGAGCCACAACCAAATGTGTTGCCTTGCGACTCTCAGTGGCATCGTGTCCTCAGGATATAGCATCACCATGACGAAGAGGCCAATATCGGAGGACACGCTCTGCGAGAACATTCACAACCTCTCTGCCTCTTGACTGCTATTGGGTTGGATCTTTAGACTTTAACTTTTTGGGGAAATAACGGTGTTTTCCACAACCCCCCCCCCCAAAAAAAAAAAAGAGTTAAACTTTTTGCAGGGGGGTCAACAGCAACCAAGGTCTCTGAGGGCTACCAGGCATGCCAGGGGCAGAGCTCTCGAGACACGAAGAGTTCTCAAGGCAATCGCTTGGGGTGGTGCCACGGCTGCTTTGGACAGGTAGGCCAAAGAGGCCCGAGATGGGTTGGTCAGAAATGTCCTCAGCCCCTCCGACAGTGTATGTACAATTTACGTGCTCAAGCTTCCTAGCATGGTCTTAGAGTGACCGTGCACTCAGCCGCCATAACATGTTGTGTTTTCAGCATGTTTTGCTTGAAACCTAGCTTCCCCTCTCAGAAGACCTGTTTGTTTGGAAGCGTCCCCTCTCACGCGCGCACGCTCAGCACTGAACCCCCCCCCCTGCCAGCTAAGTAGCACATCGCTCATGCACACGCCCAGCACTGATGAAGACTTGGCCGATCTCACCATGTTTTGGTTTTTCTCCTGAAGCTCCGGTTTGGCTGTGGGTGGCGCAGGTGGTGCTGGCGTGAGTTTGGGCCATGCTGAGGTATGACCAGCTCTTGCAGCATGCTCCGTGCTGCGAGGCCAACTGCTTGGAGTGGAAGGCTCGCTCGGCGCTTTTCATCTCGTGGAGGGGTGGTTGCGCATTCCCTCCAATCGGTTAATCGCTTTTGTGCGGCCACGCCCCGTGTGGCCAAGACAAAAGCGGCAGCTGATGACCGTTGTTCGCTATTAAGTTGGCCATAGCAGGCCAAGCTCCACATGCATTCGCTCGGCGCTTGCCATTGTGATGAAATTCGGTCTGCCGCTTCTCGGTCCGCCGCATCCAGCTACCCAATTTTCGCGGTCCATCGGGGCTCCCGAAGGCTTGGGCCAATTGCGGGGCGTGCCTCTACCAGCTCGGCGAGAAGCCCCTGGTCTTGATTAGGCGACAAGCCATGGTTGCCTGGCTCACCGATTCGGATTCGGTACGAGCGAAAGCCCAGGGGTCTTTTACTTGGGTCCATCTCAGGTTTTGGAACTGCAGATTTTGCAGGTGCTTGCAATGGTGGAAGGTAACTCGCTGAGAGTTTGGTTTACTCCAACACCCGGGAAAGATAGGGCCGGATGTTTGCCGCGCTGCCAAAAAACCCGACGCTTCACCCGAGAAACGCCTCTGATAGCTCCCAGGTGCCCAGTCAGCCTTCCAACTCGAGGCATCCCTTGCATTTTTTTGGGGTGTAGCAAGAGCCCTGCTCTGGCCGAGGAAAGCCAGTTGGGCTACTTGGCCGGGAGGGGTTCAGTGAGGCCCTGTCAAAGTATCCAAGCCTTGGTCAATTGGGGAGGACATTGGGTGATTCATTAAGTTACTAATATCCGAAGAAGCAGGCGGACTCGTTTGACCACGGCTCTGGAACCTCCTGAAAGCTCATGCCGCATGCAATTCTGATGCAGATGTGTGGAGGATGCCTACGTGCAAGCTGCCCATGCTCTTCGGGGATTTCGAACCCAGCTTACTGACGATGAACTGCTCACAGATGCGACAGCTCCTTGTTTGCGACCATGGGCTTTGCATGTGGTGTGGCTTTCGCTGTGTTGGGGTCTTTGCAGCTTGCTTGCGCCAGTCATCATAGTGCTTCGCAGTGGAAGCATGAAAAAACCACCCAAAGACTTGCATTTGGTAATAAGCCACGCTGACAAATGCATAGAGAAGTGCAAACAGGTACAGGGTCCAGCTTCCATGTGCGGTTTTGATGGGCGCGCACATGTTCGCATATACATGCATACACACATACGTACAAACATAGAAGCATGCAAACAAGCATGCATACATACGAACATACATCTGAACATACATGCATGCATGCATGCATGCATACATACAGTGCATACAGTGCATACAGTACATACATACATACGTGCGAGCATGAGGGCCGTCCTAAAACCCCAGTCTTCGGTTTTAATTATCGCCGAACGGGGACAAGTAAAAGTTGTCCAAAACTGTGCGCGCGCAAGGAGCGCGCAAGTGCGGCCCAAGGGACGCGCAAGGTCGCAGTTTTGAAGGTTCATGTACTGATGTTGCCCAGCTTTATGAAAGGAGGTGATATCTTTTCACTGTACTTGTGCTTTTGGAATGTTGCTTGGGTCATAAGAAGGCCACAAGCTTGTTTGCAAAGGTGCGGCGTGTTTTTCAGTCACAAACGAAGCCAAAGCTTCTGCGGTCATGACTTCAACAGTCAGCAGCTGACGCGACAAAATCCGCGCAAGCCGCGTGCACGCCGCGCGCAAGTTGCGCGCAAGCGCGAGAAGCCCCAGCAAGACATCAAGCCATTTGCTGTCTCGCATGTCCTTAGCAGCGCGGTTCAACCAATGGATAGGCAGCCGCAACATGCAATTTGCGTCTTTCAGTTTGTGTCCAAGCTGTGTGGTGTTCTTCTGTTGGTCAAGAGTATGTTGCTCGCCGAGAATTGCTAGGAGCGACCTCGGCGGGAAGAGCGTTTGTGGGTTGCTGTGTGAACGACAAACGCACTGCTTAGAAAAGCTTGCGAGCTTGCGCGCAATCCACACGAAAACTTCGCAAACCGAGGTTGACGAAACCCAGTTTCTGCGTCACTGTGCGCGCACAAGTCCGCGCAAGTGCCGCGCAAGTGCGGCCCAAGGACCCAACCCTGGGCAAAGGAATGTAGGACAATGACAACCCCAACATACATACACAATGACGTACATGACATTACATACATTCATCCATCCACCCACCCATACATACATACATACATACATTTTGCACATTACATACATTACATACATTGCATACGTTGTATACATTGCATGCATTACATACGCGACATACATCGCATACGTGGCATACATTACGTACATCACAGGCTGTACAGACATTACGTACACTACATACATTACAGACATTACGCACGTTACATAAGTTACAGACATTATGCACGTTATATACGTTACACACATTGCACACATTAAACACACATTGCACACATTACACACGTTAAGCACATTACTCTCATTGCACATTACACACAGTATGTACATTACATACAGCACGTACAAGTACATACATTATATACATTAGATACATTAGATACATTAGACACATTCCATACGGTACATACAGTGCATACATTACATACATTGTGCACATTGCATACATTACATGCAGTACGTACATACATACATTTGAACATACATACATACATACATGTATGCATGCATGCATGCATGCATACATACAGTGCATACATTACACACATACATACGTGCGTACATACATACACACGGACGTACATGACATTACATCCATGCATCCATCCACCCACCCATACATAAATACATACATGCATGACATAGATTTCGTACATTACATACACTACATACATTGCATAATGTTGGACCTTGTTTACTGTGGGCCCCCCCCCCTGGAACAGTCAAAGCAGTCCTGGGGAACATGAATACGGATTTGGTGGGGGGCTTGGGTGACTTGAGTATTGCTTTGGTATTGCCACTACTTAGTTTTTGCCAGCACTTCCTTTTGGGTTGCCACCCTAAGACTGGACATTAAACATGGTACCCAAACAGTGCCCCTTAAAGAGGACCAACTGCCCTTGTGGGCAACCCCCTTTGCAGGACTGTTTGGGGCTTGTTTTTGGATGGATTTAAGTAAAGAATTTTGATGGTTGGGGCTTGGGATCAAATCAGGAATTCTTAGGCTCAGGTCTTGGCCTGGTCCCTTGCTAAGCTTTTAGATTTGGAGCTCCTTTTAAAAGCAAGAGGCTAAGATGTGACCTGGAGATTCCCAACCCACCCACGCCAAAGACTGGAGGAAGCTGAGATGAGAAATCAGTTGCCCATATTGCGAATTTGGAGTCATATTTTTTTCAACGGGGATTTTTGGGGTTCGAACTTGACATAAATCATGGTACCGAAGCAGTGGGGGGGGGGGTCGTGTTTAAGCCGGGGAAGCTTGACATACTTCAGACTACCGATATTAAACCAGGTGCAACATTACATTGTATACATTGCATGCATTACATACACGTCATACATCGCATACGTGGCATACATCACATACAGTACAGACATTCCGTACACTACATACATTACAGACATTACAGACATTACAGACATTACAGACATTACAGACATTACGCACGTTACAGACATTGACATTGTGCACGTTGCATACGTGGTACACATTACACACATCCAGCACATTACAATCATTACACATTACATGCAGTACGTACATTACATACAGTACGTACAAGTACATACATTATATGCATTCGATACATTAGATACATTAGACACATTCCATACGTTACATACAGTGCATACATTACATACATTGCGCACAGTGCGTACATTACATGCAGTACGTACATGCATACATCCGAACATACATACATACATACATGAATGCATGCATGCATGCATGCATACATACAGTGCATACATTACATACGTGCGTGCGTACATACATACACACGGACGTACATGACATTACATCCATGCATCCATCCACCCACCCATACATAACTACATACATGCATGCATGCATGCATCTACAAACGCATACATAGATTTCGTACATTACATACATTACATACATTGCATACATTGTATACATTGCATGCATTACATACACGACATACATCGCATACGTGGCATACATTACGTACATCACAGACAGTACAGACATTACGTACACTACATTCATCACAGACATTACGCACGTTACATACATTACAGACATTATGCACGTTACATACGTGACACACATTACACACATTAAGCACACATTGCACACATTACACACATTACGCACATTACACTCATTGCACATTGCATACAGTACATACAGTACATACATGACATACAGCACGTACAAGTACATACATTATATACATCAGATACATTAGATACATTAGACACATTCCATGCGTAAAGTACAGTGCATACATTCCATACATTGCGCACATTGCATACATTACATGCAGTACGTACATACATACGTACGTACATCTTTACATACGTACATGCATACATACATGCGTATGTACGTACATACATATTTACATACGTACGCCCATACATATTTGTGTATACATATATATATATATGTACGTAGAACTATGTATTTCTTAAGGCACACGCATGAAAACACCAAACAAAACCACCCGCCCGCCCATCCACCCACCCACCCCTCCATTTGTCCGTTGGCCCGTGCACGCATGCATGCATGCAGACAGACAGACGGAGGGAGAGAGAGAGAGAGAGAGAGAGAGAGAGAGAGAGAGAGAGAGAGGGATGTGAGAGAGAGAGAGAGATAGAGATGGAGAGAGAGATGGAGAAAGTTAGAGAGAGATAGAGAGAGATAGAGAGAGACAGAGAGAGATAGAGAGAGATAGAGAGAGATAGAGAGATAGAGAGAGATAGAGAGAGATGCAGACAAAGACACAGACAGGAAGAGAGACAGAGACGAGACACAGACAGAGACGCACAGACAGAGACAGACAGAAACACACATAGACAGACAGAGACAGGCGCAGACAAGCACAGCCAGGTAGGCGCACATACTAGACATAAATTCCATACATACGCAGATGCCCACCTACATATATGCGTGTATGTGTGTGTGTGTGTGTATGCACGTGCAGTGGCTTGCCTACGCATGAACCTGCAGCATAAGCATGGTTGAAGTGTTCGCGCCAAAGTAAGCATAAGAACCAAGGCGTACATGCATGTTGCATTCCAGCGTTGGGTATTGCCTGCCGCAACTCGTTTAGATGTCAACAACACAACATATATCTGTGCAGATGCATTTGAATGTGCCCAGCAACATAGGTGCGGGATGCACGCATTGAGCAGTGCGTGGGTGGCTTTAGGTCGCTGCGAGTTACAAGCTGTTGTGGCGACGCTTCATCTGTGCGTATTGTCCATACGATTCGGCTGCTCGATCCCTTGGAAACATGTCAACGTTTGGTACGCATCCAGATGTTTGGATTTGGCTGGCCTTGGAAGCCTGGAAAAGGCCCATGGTCAGCAGTGGTTCAGAGCCGCTGTCAAGGTGGGCAAGTACTTGCGCACTCTGGATCGAGAATTCAAGGCGGATGCCTGGGCAGAGGCCGGGGCTAGTGTAGCTCCAAAACCCCAAAACCGAGACGCCCTTGAGTTAATCAACGGTTGTTGGCCTGCTTGCTGGCTGAAAAACAGAGCATTTGATAAGCCTCCCCTTTTGACTTCTGGGACCGGTGCTCCGGGGGGCTGGATGCAGGCCGACGACCTGGCGCTCTTTGCACAGCTGGTTCAGTGCGGGCGCGCCAGCGAGCTGTGCACCGAGCGCTGGCATGAGCGCGGGAGACCGAGCGGCTGAGGTCTGCCGAATCAGTACTTCGCAGTAACGCAGGCGTGGGTTAAGAGTCCGGGCACCCGACAATTGCTTCCAATGTTTGTTCCTGAGCCCCTGCATGTCTGAGTGTAGTGGCGATGGTGGCAGGCTTTCTGCAGACAGCTGACCACGCCCTCCCGCCCTTTGCAAGAGGTATGCCCGGATGATTCGCGCAGACTGACCAGTGGAGTTTGTCATTTTCATTTTTGTTGTTGCCGCCGGGTCCCACTGCGCGGTCACGCGCGCGCGGCCCGGCGGACCAAGGCACGGAGCTTTGTCGCGGCAACGTCCTGGCGCTTTTGGCGGCGCCGGAGCGCCTCTTTGCAGAGACCGATGGCAAGCGTGCCCGGCTCCATGAGCGGGTGGTGGACACTCGGTTGTAAACCGCCATGCGGTGAAGGAACACCTTTAGAGGTATGAGAGAGAGAGAGAGAGAGAGGTGCAGCATTCTAGGACAGGAAAGTGCCGTGGAAACCAGACAAAATGGCACATGTTTCATGTGGTTTCCAGCTGCGCACTCAGGACTTATTTGTGATTTGCGAGGCCGCTCTGGAAGATGGCCTGCCTAACTTTGTCGTGCGAGAAGTGCCCGAACAGTCCGTTGGATAGCCAACTCGCAGCCCTGCGGTCGGCGAGGATCGGGGGAAGCGTCTTCGCGCAGTCTCTCGCGCTCGGGGAGTTTGCGAAGCCCGGGAGAGCAGGGAGGCGTTGAATGCGAGAAGCGGGCTGAAGGATGTTCTCCCCATGCTCCGACCTTTGGTTCCACATGTGCGGAACCTCGAGGTCAAAGTTCTGCTGCAAGCCGAGGAGTTTTTGGCAGTCTCCACACTTGCTTGCGACTGCCTTTGGGCTGGATATGGCATCCAGGAAAGGCATGGGGCCTTTGGCTTATCGCTCATCTCGACTCAGATCTGTGCAGCAAGAGATGGCATTGTAGAGCGGAGAAAATGGCCTCAGACACCCAACACGCTCGAGCAGTCTTTGTTGAAGTGCCAAGCGGTTGCCTGTGAAAGTGATAATAGGTGGTCGTGCCTCTTCTACCGCGCAGGCGGTCTCTATAGCTGATGTCCGGATGGCTCTTCTCAAGGCACGCGCGAGATGTCGCTTCCATTGGCCTTTTATTGGGGGGGATGCCCTAGGTGGCCTCGCGAAACGGGCATTGGAGAACTGGAAGGGAAGTGATGAAGAGTCTCCCGCCCATGGCGCCTGACTTGCGTTTTTTTTCCAAGAGGAAATTGATCTAGGTGCCCTCCCACAAGCTTCACATCCGGAGAAACACCCTCCCACCGAATGGTTTGGTGCACAGACCCCTGGTAGAAAGACGGCTTGCCTCTTGGAAGGGGGGGTTGTGCACAAACCCATGTTGGTGGGAGGGTAAGTCAAGATGTGCACTGCAACGTCTCGGCCGTTTCACTGGCGATAAACCGATTTGCTCCTGGCACTCGGCTCAAGACCCATTTCCGGGGCGTGCTTGTGGCCTTGTCCGCCTGGCGTGGCCTGTCTGTTCGGGCGAGGCATACAGGCGGGACCCATCGATGTGCACCGCTTCACGCATGGGGCTGCCCAGTTCCGCGGTTTCCCGGCGCGAGGCACCTGTCATGGAGCAACCCGCCATGAGCTCGCATGACCAGCACCTCGGTCGGCGAAGCGAGCTATGGGGGTTTGGCATGTGCACCTGACACCTTTCACCTAGGCAAAACTTGGCGGCTATGATGGCGTCCTTGTCTCAGCATGTGGTTTCGTCTCAAAAGAGGGGACATGCCCCCCCCCCCCAACAAAAAAACAAACACAGAGAGACACACACACACACACACAAACACAAAAAAACACAAGCTGTTCTCTTTTGGCATCCCTTTAGAATGCACCAATCCGCAAACGCAGATTCCGCACTCACCTGTTCAACGCTGGTCAGGTGGCAGATGTCCATGGGATCTCCCATGCCACCGGTGCCTGGCATGCCCAACATGCCAATGCCGCCCCTGGGCAAAGGGAAGCGAGCTGCGCCCAAAACAAAATCATTGGCAATTGCAAGCAGGTACCCTCCCACCAACTAACATGGCACCTGACAGAGGGTCCCTTTAAAAGGAGAATTGTCTTCCGAGACCCCCCTATTAGGCTGTCCCCCTGTCAGGTTCCATGTCAATTGGTGGAACATGGAAGTGCACAATCCCCCCTTTCCAAGAGGAAAGTCGTGTTTCTGGAGCGGTCTTGTTAGTCGGTTCAGTGCGGTAGGGATTGACCTCTATAACCATGCTAGCGCCAAAGGTCAATGGGTTTCGGGCGCTGCTCAAGTGGGGCATTTGTCAATTCCTCGACGGTTTATGTGTCGCTGTGTCGAGGAAACACGTCGAGGGTCCAAGAGGTCTTGACACATACCCATCAGGTTACTGGTGTTTTTTTGCTTGCGTGCTTGCGTGCTTTCAATCAGAAGCCAAGGTGGGCGAGCCCCCCACCGATGGTTTCTTCGTGGCTGAACTTTGGATGCATCCAATAGTGCCTGATACGTGCCAGCACTGCTTGTTATTTGGAGAAGCTTGGCGGGTCACCAGGTCAGTTAGCCATGGGGTGTGTCTTTCTTGAGGGCCCTTTTTGTTGGTTGGCTCAAAGGGAAACCAACAGCAAATGGGGGTAGGGGGTTCGCATCCCTATCTTGACACAAGGGCACCCATGGTTCTTGTAGAGGGTAAATGGGAAACCCGAAACCCGGAAACCCCGTAGTTCACCTCAGTCCAAAGGACCAAAAAGCTGAAACCCCCGTAGTTCACCTCAATCCCCCCCCCCCCAAAAAGAAGAAGAAGCAAAAAACAAAAAACAAATGACCAACAAGCTGAAACTCAGGGCGAAAACACCACCAGGACAGTGCGCGTGGATGGCCTCAAGTTCGAGTACCAGCTGACAGAGGATGACGTGCGGAAGGCCGCCCAGCCCGAATCCACGTGTCTTTTTGGGGTTTTGGGCAAACAAAAGGTGTCGAAGTTGAGATTTGTTGAGCCTCCTCAAAAAATGGATGGTGTGTCGAAGTCGGTTGTTCATGTGTCAACGTGACCCAAGAAGTGGGATGTTTCTTGTTTGGCGGTTTTCCCCCAAAGAGTGATGTCAGGGTGCCCTAGCACACCCCCACAGCTTTGCGCCCGGCGGCGCGCAGCAGGTTTTCTCCCGCTATGGTGATGTTGTCGCTGTGAAAATGGACCGGGAGGGCACCACGTCGCAGGCAGGGTAAGGGCGGCAGTGACGAATTCCTGGGTTTGAACCGCAGCCCTGGGCGCCGACGATGTCCAGACAAGACGTCGTGATGTCCTCTTTGGCTTTTGGAGCCACGACAAAGCCAAAGCAGCAGTCAGCAAATGTTTCAAGTGCCTGCTAAGGGCCCTGAGCCAATTTCTGCTCGACTCGTCCCAAAAAAATGCGCTTTGCTCGGACAGGTGCAGTTTGCGCAGCCTCACCAAGCGATGGCGGCGCAGCATGATTTGGACAAGAAGCAGCTCGCAGGCGCGGGGGCTCGGTGACGCTGGGCTCTCTTTCTGCTGCCTTGAGCCTCAGACTGGATCTTGGCTTCGGGCCACGCGCCGTGAAGCGAATGCATGCGGAAACGTGGAAACGCGGCCACAAAGCTGCGAGGCATGTCTGGTGCGTTCTTGACCGTCGAGTTCTCCTATTCTCAAGGAGAGGCTCAGAGTCGCGAACTCTCAAAAGCTCAGAGTCCCAGCCATGCGGTTCCTGAAAGGCTACAGCTTAGCTTTTAGTAAGTGAGGTACTTTTCGCCAGGTCTGGGGACGGCCAATTTCAGGTAACCCTTCACTGGTGGTTCGGATTGGTGGTTTGGGGATTTGAACTTCTGGTTCTTGCAGAGGGTAGATGACAAACCACCCGTTAACCACCAAACCACCAATCGAAACCACCAATTGGAGGGATGCTGACAATTGATTCGCAGGATATGGAGTACCTCCGGCTGCCCCAGACCCCGGCTTGCTGCAGCACATGGCGGCAGCTTCGCGCCTGGGCATAAAACGTGGGGCCTTGCCGCGAAGTGAAATCAGACTCTTGGTTTGCAGCTTCCCTTTGGAACCAACTAATGTTATCTAATGTTGACCCAGGATTAAAAAAGAAGAGTCCCATTATTAGGGGGGTGTTCCCACTAAAAGGGGGATTCACCCCTATGAATCAACCAGGGTTTTTTTCATCCGGGTTAACATGACAAAGGTTGGGTAGAAAAATCGGCAGGCCCATCTTGCCTTCGCCTCGCCATCTCTTGCGAGCTTCGCGCCTGCCTGATCTAGTTTCGGCCACGTTTCGCCCAGGAACCCCTTCATGAACCCGATGATGCCTGGGGGCTCGGGCCCCAGGGCCCCAGGGCCGCAGAGCAAGGGTCCGGTTGCGAGAGCGGAGGTCCGCCGATGTGTTGAAGCAATTGGGTGAAAGTGGATGGCACAGTTTCCCACATCTTGGTGTAGTCATCTGCTTTTGGAACCCACGCAAGGGAATTCTGCCATCTACTTGTACCCTGGTGTAGACCTGGATGTTCAGCTACTTTGGTCGTAATGTCGGAGAACGATTAGCTTATCCGGTCTGAACCGTTTTCCCTGGTGTGAAACATGCGGCTGCCCGAACATGCGGTAGAATAAACACTTGCATCCAGCCCTGACAGTACCAGCGCACGAAACCAACACTTATCAATGGAACACCTACACGAAGCGAATGACGCCAACAAAACTGACTGAGATTGCTAGCCCGTACTTCACCAATACCACAACAATGCTGAGACAGCAGGAAGCACTACTCAGCAATACTAAACTAGTACTACACCAATACTAAACGCCCAGTTTTGCCTGAAGTCAGGTATTTGTTCGTGCCTCATCCTCCCAAATTGTTTGGGGGGCCCTTTGCCACTCACAACCCAGCATAGGACCAAATCCAATTCGCCCACGAGAACGGGACGTGAATCTGACATCGCAGTTTGCAATTCGGCAGTCGCAGGCTATCCCATGCCCTCGTTGCCTCCGGCTACGAGCCCTGCCCAATCTGCAGGCCAGGAGGGTCGGCGCCTTAAGCGGCCTGAGATCCCAGAGCTGTATGCGTCATCTGCGTCTTCACAAGACAAAGGCTCTTATGTTTTTTTTTTTTTTTTTTCAGCGAAGATTGTTTGATCCTTTGATCTTTCCCACTATAGACCTGTTTTTTTTTGGTGGGCATTTTTTGTTTTATTTCTCCGACCCGGCAGGTTGGCTGCATGAGATTGGGCCTTTCAAGCGCCGAGGCCAGCCCAAGAAGTTCACCTGCAAGCTCGAAGTGGGGATTGCGCCTCTGGAAGCATAGGGAAATTGGGCCGGGGATGGAGCCCTGAGGGCCAGACCTCGCCGGAAAAACCAACGGCTGAAATCTGGAGAAGAAAAAAACCGCAGCATCCCCTCCATGGACTTGAGCGAAGCTCTGTTGTGCGTGGCTCGCTTGATGTCATGACTGCGCCGAGGAGAATGAAGGTGAGTTCCGCGTGGGCAGCCGGGTCATTCAAATTGCAAGGGCGATTTGGCAGGAGCGCGCCGTTGGTCCGGTGGAGTGCTTGGATTGTTTCAATTTTTGGGGGACCCTTGGCACTTGGTGTTTTCTTTTGGTCGAACAGAAAGCAGAGTCCAAGGATCAGCCAGTCATTTGAGAGGTCCCATAGGTCGTTGTGACCCCCAATGGGCTTGGGAATGAACATTTTGAGCCGGCAGGACCCCAACTTTCAAGAGCACGGCGGCAAAACTCGGCTCCGTGGCAAGGGCATTGGCGGCCCCCACGAGGGAGACGAGCCTTGGCATCTCTAAGCCAGGCATGGATGGTCGAGCGTGCTCGGCGCCACGTGCCGAGGAGCCTCTTGCATTATGTATCTCCTGCAGGGATCAGGCAGCATTTGATAAGGCGCTGAGCGGAATGAATGCCGATCTGCCTTTATCGCCTGGTCGTTTGCAGATTTCGGGCTTTGCGTGACAGCAACGTATTGTGCACGGCAAGGCATCAGGCCCTTGGCTGCGCTCAAAACGCAACGGGAGCTTTAGGAAGCCGTGTTGATGTTTCAGGGGGGCCTGGTTTTGCAAGGGGGCCCTGGTTTTTGCAACCTCGCATTTTTTTTCCACTCTCTACCTACCTCTTATTTATGGCTATTTGGTTGGATCTTTGCACCTTGCCTTATTGGGAAAGAGTGGAATTTCCAATTCACCCACGAACAGTGTCGAAAGTCAATCTGTTTGGCAGAGGGGTCACCAGCAGGCAAGTGGTTTTTTGAAGCCAAAGAACAGGTTGGGGTTGAGGAAACAGCCTACGCGGGGTCCATGACCCAGGCTTCAGCCGCCCCACTGGCCTGCCAGGCCGTGCAATACGCAGAGTCACAGCTGCAGAAAGTGCACGCAGATTACAAGGCGCGGGCACTTGGGACGCCCGGAAAAGCCCAAGCCACCGACCGTACCGTACCTCGCGTCCAAGCTCGGCCCATGGGAAGACGCGGTGGAAGAACCGAGGGCGATTCCTGGTTTACCTGGTGGTTCAATCAATCAACTATAGATGGGAAACCCATCTATTTTCCAAAACAAGACGACACCTATGAGTGAGCTGGTGTCTCGGGGTTGTCGCAAACAGTTCCACACGGCAAGTCGTCAGGGAAGCCTTTTGTGAGCCTGCGCCTTTGGCACGCTCGCAGGGCTTTTGTCAGCAGCATGGCAAGCCAATTCCTGAGCTGGAAGTGAAGATCTCCAAGAAAGGCCGGGCCCCCAGGACGTGTTGCAAACCAACCCCGTTTGTGTCGCACAAAAAGCCCTGGTCAAACGACCTCTCAGGCACCTTTGGGCCAGAAGTCGCAAAGTCATCTGCGCAGCCCATGCGCGGGGCCTCGGAACCCGATGCGTCCATCTGGGTGGAGCCCCGCCCCTCCTGCTCATACATGGTTGTTGTTGGGAAACATTTTGCATTTTTTGCTTATTGTTGGTCTGAAATCCCAACTTAACTGCTAAAAAATAAACTTTTGCTCCCCTCCAACGTCAACCAAGCAAGGAACAAGGATGGCTCGTTGCAGTGGCAGGAACCGCGGCGAGCGCCCTGCCGGAGCTCCAACAGATGACGAGATTGAGCGGATGATCGAAGAGCGTCCGGGGCTCAAAGGTCGAAAGGCTTGAAAGGTTCTTGGCTCCTTTTGTTTTCTCCTTTTTCCTTTCTTTCTTTTTTGTTGTTCTTTTTGTTTTTTCTTATTTTTCTTTCTTTTTTCTTCTTCTATTTTTTCCTCTTTTTTTTCCGAATGGGTGTGGCTCAAAATTAAGCAGGAGGGGCCAACGGTTTTGGTCCATGTTTCCACTTCCCAGGGCAGCCCATTTTGGTACGGGTTTTTGAGCCACCGCCAAATCGAGCTGTGATTTGAGGTTCGGTCAGCATGACCACCGACATTTGATGGCACTTGCACAAATATCAGGGGTCCCGCCGGATGATGTGCCAACCGCCTTTGCCCCCCAAAAATGGAATCCTCAAGAAATCGGAATCGCAGCCGTGGATGCAGTTGGTCCAGGTAATGATGCAAGGAAGGCCGCGAACTTCAAGAAGGCCGACGAAGTCCGGGAGCACCTGAAGCAGCGAGGCCGGAGAAATGCGCCAATGGACCCAAACCACCTCCCTGTGGATGGACGAAATCCTACACCTAAGAAGCCCCGGAACGATGATTCTCCAGTAAATGCCAATAAACAATGGCTGCCCATGGTTTCCAAGTGGTGCGAAATGGATTTCGCAACCATCCACAGTCTGTTTCCCCATGGGAAAACGCACCCCAATGCCCCAAGCTGATGCTTTTGCGCGCTTCGGGCTGGCCAGGAGTTGTGCTCATGGACGAGAAGGGCGCGAAGGGAACCTTCAAAGGCCTGTGCCGGTGCCAGGAGGTCAGCCGTGACACCTCACCTTGCTCAGGCAGCGAGGTGACGAAATGGCGCTTCTGGCGACCCTGAGGGCCAGTGGTCAGATGCAGGGTGCAGCCGTTTTTTTTGAGCTGTGGCAGTGAACCAAAGTCAAGGTTTCGAGCTGTTTGGCATTGTTGTGATTTCACGAACTGCCAGAGGGATGGGATATGCCGCAATGCCTGGCAACCAACTTGGAAAGGTCCTTGGCTGCCGGACGGGGGGCAGTATATTGTCCGGGCGAGGATGAATGCTGCGCGCATAGGTCGCTCTGAAGCAAGCGCACCCACAACAACTATTCCACCTTGCCCGGCAGAATGCGTCGGCAGTCTTGACGCAGTTGAAAGCATGCCCAGTTTTGCTGATGTCATTCTTTTTGTGGCTAGTGGCATCCACGGTGCTCTGTTGAGGTGGACGGCTGGCAAGCTAGAAGCAAGTTGGGACACAGGAGCATGTATATTTCTGACAGTGAGGAAACGCCTGTGTTGCTACCAGGCATCATTGCATTTTGAAGCATTTGCCTTTGCCCACTTCCAGTTGTGCATGGTGCAAGTGAATGAAGAAGTCACTTCGTGCAAGACACGAATCGTGTGAGAGGTGCAACGTGCGCAGGCGCAATTCGGCTTGATTCAGCTGTAGCCTTGGTGGCCTTGGTGTTTTGGTTGGCATTTGCGTCGCGTACCGCGCTGGTGTACAGTGCATGTGCAAGATCGAGTGCATGCGCATGGCCGTTGCCGAATGACGGCATGTAAGCTTCAGGCATGAATCATGAATCGAGGGTCCAAGTGCTCCTCGAGCACATGGGAACGGAACACGCAAGGGGTTGGAAGCAGCTTCTGTGAGACTCCTTGCAGCTTCCGTTTTGCAAGGAACTTGCCGCCAAGACCAAGACTCCCGTCTTGGTAGGATGTCTATTTTAAGTCGCCCCAAGAGCGGGGCGCTCGTTGGTTGATAGCATGGCGAAGAGAGGAACTTTGCACCAGACAGAGCGCATGAGCTACGCTCTCATAAGGTAGACAGGCATGGAAACTGGAGCAGTGGGCTTTTGCGAGATCAAAAGCTGCATGCCTGCGCTGTGCCCTTAATGGGAAATCTCTGAGGCACTTTGGGGAAGGTGGGTGGTGTGAGGTGTACCTTGCCTCGAGCTTGCGAGGAGAAGATGCTTGGCAGCCCTGCTCCTTGCGCACTTCGTTGTGCTTGCCTGAGTTTCCACGTGGCAAGTTGCTTTGAGCGCTGGGGAGGGGCGGTTAGCTTTTCGCTCGCCGAATTTCGACACTGGGAGTCCGATCAGGGCGCCCAACGTCTGTCTAGCAGGAACGCTGCCGCGAGGTTGTGCGAAGCTTCGAAGTGTTTTCAGAGCAGCAGCTTCTCGTGCTGGACGACCCCACTCGTGCACTGCCTGCTTGTTTTACTTGACCTCGCTTGATTGAGTCTTTCGTGCCTGAAGGTCAGAATGAAGCAAAACACAATGAACCATCCCCCCTTTGTTCGTTTTTTATCCCAGAGGACCATACAAATCAGGGGTAGTTCCCCCTGAGGGTGGTTCTCCAAATGTAAAGTTCACATTTCCCATGGCTCCCCACATCCAGTTAGCCAGGTCGTAGACTTCAACAATACCGAGTATGGCTCCACACATGTGGACGATTACTGGGCTGGCGCCCCAAGGATTTTTTTCTCGGGTTTGGCGCAGGCTCTTTTGGTTGGAGGTAGGGTCGGAGCCATGGTTTGGGGAGGACGGCCAGACATTGGGAGTCATCACTATTGATTAGTATGGGGTCAACATCACTGAGTATATTGCACTTGGACGCAGTTGAGGCCAAAATAGACCTCACCTACAGCCCATTGGAAGGCATCCTGGCAGAGACGCAGTTTTGACAATGGCATATTGATCTGCTTGGGGCAGGCTGGAGCCTATCCAGACATGTCCGCATCGGCTGCTTCTTAGTGCAGTGGGCTCCTTTCTCAGACTGTTTTAGCTTGACCTGTGGAATGCTTCGTGTTTCTCCCCCCAGTGATCAACCAGGGGTCTCCCTAAAGCGCAAGGAGAGCCCGCTGGCCTACGCAGAGAAGGTTAGCGGAACGATCACGCCGACCGAGTGCGTGCAGTTCTGCAACAGAACGCAGGCGTGCAGTGAAGTGAGTGTTGCTTCTGCGTGCGCTTGAGCCGAGATTTTTCGTTTGCAGGCATACCTTCGTGTGCCCTATTGCCGCTGTGGCTTGGACGAAACGCTGCTCCCGATGACGGAGGCGGACATTGTTGGGGCTGCTGGGCTGGGGAAGACGCCCATGGCCGCGAGGTGCAGGGCGAATGCATTGCGACCGCCTGGCAGGCAGGATTGCACGCGGATCGCGTCGTATCGTCGCATTGTGGCTCGGTTGGTCGCGTCTTGTTCACGCAGGTGTTCAGGGAATATGACTATAGGTCTTCCATGTCGCAGGGGTCCTGGCTTGCGGGGCCTGTGCTCGAATGCTTGCGAGTCGTTTTCGTTTTCCGTGCGACGGGTCAGACACGAGGCCTTCCACGTACGACACAGTACGGCGGCTGCTATATTCGATTGTGACAGCCCGGGCCTTTGACGCAGTGCACCCCCCAACTTGTTCGCAGCGTTTCGGCCCGTTTCAGCGAGGCCTTTGCTTAAGTTACTTGGTTTTTGTTCCATTGGGACCTGCCTTGAGGTGGTTGGGGTTTAGGTCAGGGTTTAAGCGGGGAGCGAAGCCACACAAGAGGGGAAGTGGAGATCGCAGGTCCGCCTGCCAGCACCAGCCGATCCCTCTATCAGGCGAGGCATTGCGCGCGGCTGGGGCTTCTTCCGTTTGAAAGCCTAGGAACTACATCCACGCTGTGAACGCGCTTGAGGTGAGGATTGCCGTTGGGTCAACTCATGCTGGTGCTTGGGCAAGCGGTGAGAGCAATTGGCTCAGGGACGGCCGGAATTCGATTATGATGTCCGCCTGGAGCAGTTGCCCTAGCTAGGCCCTAGCACATGTCGATTCCGAGTGTGCCGCACGGCAGTTCGGGCCCTCGGTGTTTGCAACAAACTGGCCTCTGAGTCGCATGCTCTTCAACTCGGTGTGGGACTTCGGGAAGAGCCGCATGGTCCGACCCTCTGCGAGAAGAGAGATGCGTTGGATGGGCCGACTCTGAGGTGGCGTTGTCGCTCTCGGACTGGGGCGGAACCTTGGACTTCAGTGTTGTGTCTTGGCGGCACCAGAGAGGCGCCAGGAGGTTGGCCGCATGTGCATGGAGAGCGCTCAGAGATTGGATGTCATTCGCACCAACATGCTTTGCAGGAAGCTTGCCAGATCACTCAAAATGTTTGGGCTAAGGTCAGCTTCAACTCCAGTCGTAGACCCAGAACACTTTCAATAGCGCCATGCACAGCTGGGTGGGTCATAGGTTCGGTCAAAATATCCGGTCTATGACGCATTCGGGACATACGCGGGCTTACAGGCTCTGCCGGTCTGGAAGTGAAGCAGACCCATTTCCCCATCGAGGACGATTGACGATTTGTCTTGCAGGCGAAGCCATTTTCTTTTGGAGCTCGAAAAGAGGTTTTTTTCCAGCCACTGGTTTGCTGAGAGGGCGATGGTTCATCCCAGGATGCATCAAAGTGAAAATGGCCGATCGATTCTCGAAAAACTTACGTGGGGTTGGGACATTTTCTCAGAAAGAATACACCTGACCCCAGATCAATCTTGCAAATCTTTACTAGAAGCTAGAAGCCCTATAGCTTTCAGCTATTTGGGGAACAACCACCTTCCAAGTTTCCTGGGCTTGGGTCAAAATTAAACCACCAGACCGCAGGTTTTGGTCCATGTTTCTACTTGCCAGGGTTCCATTTTGGGGTACCTTTTTTTTTGACCCACCGCTTGGGCTTGGACTTTGTTTCCATCACCTGGTCCGAATGCGGACGGTCCCGGCGAGGACCAGATCGTGGCCACCGGCCAGCTGGTGCCTGACGGCATGGCCGGGGGCCCCTTTTCTCGGGGCCGCCGATTTCTCGCGACCGGGGTCGCCCATAGTTTTTCCCTTAAAGAAAAACAAATCAGACGTCACCATTTTTGGGGTCATTTTTCAGGTGAGTTGCCCCCTAGGGCCCAGGGTTGGGGCAAAAGAAGCTTGACCAGGTGGGAGACAACACCGTCACCTGTTTCGAAGGTGAGTCTCTAGGGGTGATGTTTCGGGACAAGAACCAACGCAGCACACCGCCACCGCTGTTGCCAACCTTTTGGCCTTCCGGCTTTTGGACCGCCGTCTTTTTTTGGGCAAAGTTTCGGCGGGAACGAGCTACGGTCTCTACGAAGTCCGTGAAGGTAACATCTCTTCAAGCGGGCGGGCCTTTTTGAGTGTACCCCATTCGTATGGTTTTTAAAGAGAACCGGAAGGAACAAACACTGTTTTGGGTGGTCCGAATCTTAAAAGCAGACTCACCCATACATGGCTGTGGGTCAAAAATCGGTACGGACCAAAACTTGCGGTCTGGTGGTTTAATTTTGACCCATACCATCCCATACCCACATACCAACATTCGACCCGCGGTTTTGAGTCGGGCGTGCCGCTGCCCAGGCATCCGCCGAAGGCCTGGGCACGGTGGACGTTCTCTTCGGCACTTACTACACGGCGCGGGGCTCGGCGTTGGTGTCGTCCGGCCCGTCGTCATACATATACACACATCTGAAACCAGCCTCAGTCCCACGATGGGCCATCCTTGAAAATCACACACACCCACACACACACACCCACCCACCCACCCACCCACCCACCCACCCACCCACCCACCCACCCACCCACCCACCCACCCACCCACCCACCCACCCACCCACCCACCCACCCACCCACCCACCCACCCACCCACCCACCCACCCACCCACCCACCCACCCACCCACCCACCCACCCACCCACCCACCCACCACCCACCACAACCTCCCACAACCCACCCACCCACCCTCAACAACACACACACACACACACGCACACACACACCACACACACACACACCACACACACACACACACACACACACACACACACACACACACACACACACACACACACACACACACACACACACACACACACACACACACACACACACACACACACACACACACACACACACACACACACACACACACACACACACACACACACACACACACACACACACACACACACACACACACACACACACACACACACACACACACACACACACACACACACCCAAAAGCCGGGGTCATCTTCGGGGTCATCTTCCTGCATGCCTATGAGCTCCACTCCTCTCGAGCCAGCTGGTTGGTGCGAGGTTGTCCCCGCAATGCTGCCTGGGTCTACGCAAGCCGGGAGGCTTAGCATGTTCGGGAGGTCCGGGCGGAGGCCAAGCAGTGAGTGAGCAGCTCGTAGCCGCTCGTGTCGTGAGGTAGTTCATGTTATCGTGGCCATCGACATTGACATGAAGCGCGTGCTCACCAGCTGGCGGCTAAAAGCATGCATTGCTCGATCCGAGTGGCCCGTGACAATCGCATTTTGGTCCGCGATGCTGGCGGCGCTCAGGTCAGACTCTGCCTGTCACGTTGATGAACCTGCAGAGCAACTCACTCAATCACGAGCTTTATGGGGCAGGCCTGGAGACATTTGTGCACACTCGCGCACTTTGTGTTTAGGCAGCTTTATTGGCCTGTGATCCTGCAAAGATTTTGAAGTGGACAGGAGCAGACCTAACTGGACAATATGCATACTACCACCTCTGCCTGGGCCTTGTGCCAAGATCTCTGTCACTTAGAGACTGCCTCTGAGGCACCTCCGAGAATCTGACGCAGACTGTGGGCGGTGTCACGACCATTCAAGTCTCAGTTGGCGCCGGCCTTAGCATGGCGAATGGCCTTGGGGAGGCGCGGCAAGGGGGCAATCGACACAATGGAAGACCTCTTTGGACGCTGGAAAAGGTCCGGGGGAGGCTTGTTCACGCTTTGCGGCACCAGAGCAATTGAGTATTGGCGTGTCGAAACGCGGTTCCCGAGCTGCAAGACTCTGGTTTGCATGCATAACGCCCAGTGACTGCAAGAAGTAAACGCCCAGTGACTGCAAGAAGTGACATTGCGCAACCTCTTGAGGTCTGGTCATGTGTGCAGTTTATTCGCCTGCTCTTGGCAGACTTGCAGGCTGTCAGCTGACCGAGCTGGGCGGACTCCCATCAGAGGCACCGCGCGCATCGCGCCGCGCGCTTTGAGGCCCAATGAACGTGAGCCGGCTTGAGCGAAGGTGAACTACATGACGCTTCAGTCGGCCGCGATTGATCACCAGTACAATTATGTAGATGCCTCGGTATGCGTCTTCGGATGTGATTGCGCATATACACCATATACACCCGTACATATACATAGGCATATCCAAATAGATGTACAAACACATGTGTGTTCACTCGCAATTGCAGATCGCACTGCAAAATGCATCAGCGAAATACATTGAGGCATGGTTCACCTACAAGGAGGAGCCTACAGGGCGGCCACGGATTTTGGAGTACCACCAAGACAGTCGGGACCTGAGTGCCAGCACATGTGCTAGCGGTGCCGTTGTGCCACCGCGCAAGGCAAAGACTACGTGGTGTGGCCACAGGACGCAAGTCCGGTCCTTTCCGCCTCATCGTCTTGAGTCTTACGCAAATTGCGCGGGTTTGTGTAGCTGTGGCTGCTTCCTCCCAGTGATCTTGTTGCCCCAGATTGTCTTTTGGGGGTGGCTTAAAAAGATGTGCCCAAAATGGCCAAGTAAAATGGAAACGAATAACACCTGCGGTTTGGCCCAGCGACATTTCGAGCCACGCTCATTGGATTCGGCGCAGGACGCCCTTCCTGAAAACGCCGTCTACTCGTCGCTGGTGCAAACAGCTCCAAGGACCCCCGGGTAGTCTTCGGTCATAGGCTTGCACTAAGGAGCCGTAGGAGGTGTCGTCCTTGATACGAAAGCATATAACCCCACAGTTCAGATTCGCTCAACGAGTTTCCGCCTTCCAGCAGGTTTTTTCTATGTGGTGTGATCTGACTGGGTTGCAGCATCTTGGTGCGCCTTGACTTGATGTCCCAAGGATCTTCTTCGCCCTGTACCCGCCCAGCCTGCGGTACGCGAGGCCGGCGAAGACATTTATTTCCCGCGGAGCGTCTGACGGCAATGGCAATGGCAGTGTCGAGGTTCAACGAAGCCGGCACCAAGATCTTCGTGTCCTTCGATGCCGCGACCTTGCGCTGCGACCTGAGCATGCGGCGTTTTGCCGCGTGTTTTTTTTTTTTTTTTTTAATTGAGGTGCTTTTTCCTTCAGTCTTCAGGTATCCCTACATTGGTGATTTTTGGATTTAGATTTTGAGCCCGGGTTCTGGTTGTAGTTGGGAAACTGCTCCTTCAGCACACCACCAATTCAAAAACCACCAATCCAAACCGCCAGCCTCCCGGCTGCAAGGTGGTGCCATCCCCGTTGACACCAATGGGGACGATGTCCTGGATTTCTATAACGAGGCAGACAAGGCCGGGTGACAGCGTACCGCATCGCAGCTCTTACTTTCCGCCCTCTCCCAGGCTTCGAGGGCGGCATGCGACAACTTCATCGATCAGTTCACCATGGACTTGATCCCCGGAACCATGTACAACTGGCTGGCTTTAGCGGTCAACCAGGTCATGGCTGCTGATGGCTTGCGGGTGTATGCTGTGACTCCCTGCCACCAGCCCGCTTCAGAACTGCCAGGTGCCAGTGGACCTCGGATGCTGACTTCTACATTGAGATTCAGCAGCAGCCTGCGGCTGAGTTAAACTTTTGGCCACATACGCACCGGACGTAAAGTACGCCAGTGCGCCTCACAGTTCAATTTTGGCATGGGTGAAAATTGCACCACCGGACCGCAGTTGTAGTCCATGTTTGTATTTACAAGGGTTAGGGGGATAGAAAGATCATAATTACCTAGACCAAAGCCATTTAGGTTATGTTCCCTTTGGCCCTGATTCAGTCTAAAGATGTTTGGGCCAAAACCATTTTGGGGTTAAACAAACACATTTTTGCCCACCACCGCCATTTCAACCGGTCGATACGTTTGATCCTTAGTGCTTCAACTCTGAGTCCCGATCCCGCCTGGCGCCTCGTTGAAGCCTCAGGTCCACCATCGCCCCCGGTGATCTGGCCCGCATCAAGCCCGGCACGGCCGCGCGCCCGGCTGTTCAAGAATCCGCATGGGGGGCCAATGGAAGAGGCGTTATTGATGCGACGCAGAGTCTTATTGCTTGGCTTCCTTGGGGTCAACCCGCAATTTTTCAACCCTTCAACCCTTCATTGCCACAATGGCCACTTCCGCATCCATTCTTCAACACCTGAGTCATAATCCAAACCCGGGTAGATGAAGGTTAGTAAGGGACGATCCTAACCACAAATAGCTGCGGCCGCCTTCTTAATCCTTGGTTCTGGGTTCACCATATTTGTACCGGGTTTGGACCATGACTCAGTACTCACCTTTCCTGCAAGTCTGGTTCGGTCTTTGGGTTTAAACTGCCCCGGTGAGACGTGTGTGGCCGAGGTGTACCGTGGCCAGGAGGTGAGTCCGGGAGATGTGGCCTCAGACGGACGTCCAAGCTGCTAGCATCTGGTAGGGCCACTCATGTCCTTTGCTTCATGGCTATCACTTGGACTTTCACTTTAGGGAATTCAGTGGGCTTTCCTTTGGACCCGCACTTGTCTCTTTGGACTTTCACTTTATGGGAATTCAGTGGGCTTTCCTTTGGACCCGCACTTGTCTCTTTGGACTTTCACTTTATGGGAATTCAGTGGGCTTTCCTTTGGACCCGCACTTGTCTCTTTGGACTTTCACTTTATGGGAATTCAGTGGGCTTTCCTTTGGACCCGCACTTGTCTCTTTGGACTTTCACTTTATGGGAATTCAGTGGGCTTTCCTTTGGACCCGCACTTGTCTCTTTGGACTTTCACTTTATGGGAATTCAGTGGGCTTTCCTTTGGACCCACACTTGTCTCTTTGGACTTTCACTTTATGGGAAACACTGTTTTCCTTTGGGCCCACAAAGGGTGACACTTGTTGCAGAGGGGACCAAATATTGCTCTACATTAAGCTATCGCAAGTTCAGCCAAGGAAGGATTTTCTCCTGAAGTCTATTACTACAGTTTTTGTCGAATCAAACTACTCCGAGCTTAGATAAAAATCAATAAATGAATGAACACCTGAACAAAGAAACGGCAGAACACAATCTAAACAAAAAAAAACAACACATCATACGTGTTGCTTTTTGTTTCAGCTATGCATATATATATATATTTACATATGTATATATGTGTATATATATATATGTGCTTATATATATATATGTATACATACATACATTTGCTTGCATAATTCTGCACATTTGCATGTGCACATGCATACATCTACATATACATAGAAACATACACATGTATCTATACAAATATATATATATATTTATCTATCCCGATTAACCCATATTTATCCCTAATACCCATCCCGAATACCAATACCAATACCTTTACCAAATCTTTTCCAATACCTATGCCTATACGTATACCTATACCTGGCCTATATCTGTACCTATACATACACTCATGCCTACACATACACATGCACACTTACATGCAAATGCGCATGCACACAAACACACCTACGCACACACTCAAACACCTACGCGTGCAGGTGCACGACGTACACGTACACAGACGCAGGCACAGACACATACTCGTACACATGCGAATGCATTATGCAAATGCATTTTCATACGCATACACATACGCACGCATACACATACGCGCACACATATGCACCGACACATACACATCTTTACATACCCATATATACATATACATAGGTTATATATATATATATATATACATGTATGTATATGTATATACACACATGCATGTGCATATACATATGCATGTGCATCATCCATCCATCCATCCATCCATCCATCCATCCATCCATCCATCCATCCATCCATCCATCCATCCATCCATCCATCCATCCATCCATCCATCCATCCATCCATCCATCCATCCATCCATCCATCCATCCATCCATGCATGAAAATATATGCTTCCCCCCCCCGCACGCCTGTCAGTCACCGTGATTTGAAAGGCCAGTCTCTTGGCTACAAAGCTCCGCCAATCCTTCGTGAGCTGCCCTGGGTTCGCATCAGTGGCATGTCAGGGAGCCCCCACAATATCTCCGACTTTTCGAGGGATCAGCCTCTTGCGAGGCCCCCTTTCACCTCCCCCATTCCTTCCAGCTACACATGACGATGCCAGGATGGCTTAGGACAGTTCAAGCCCCTTTCACCCCCTTTTGGTCTTGCTCGTAAAACTAGGCCCACCACGCGATGGCCAAGAAAACACCCGACCATGTCACAAGGCATTTTGGTTTTCAGGCTGGGCCGAAGCCGTGGATCCCGAGGTGTGGCAGTTCTCACAGCCCTCCTCAGACTTCGCGGTGGCCGCGCGCCCGGCCGAAACGCCCCGCGGTTTCCGCGTGGTGGGGGGAGAGGAGAGGCATGGGAGAGGCGCCTGAAGATGGAGCGCCCAGCCCCCCCTCCAAAGAAGAAGTGGCTTGGGCCTTTTCTTTTTTTTTTTTGGGGGGGGGGCTTCTAGTTTAAGCCAACCTGAAAAGGTGGAGCTTCACAAAACACGCATGTTTTGTGGCCGGCCGGGCTAGGGTCTAATTAGTTTGATTGAAGGAGGTTCTGGTTGCTGGAGGCGGTTTGTTCGTTTTTCGAAGCTGGATTTGCGGTTTAGCAACTGAGGTTGAAGCGCCTGCGGAGATCCTGCCTCCCAAGGCAGTCGCACAGGGCCCGATGTTCTTTTTGGTGGATGTGGCGGTGGGTCAAAACCAATGGTACCATTTTGGTTGGTAGGTGATTTCACCACCCATTTAGAACCTATTTTAGTGGGGATTTGGATGCTCACGGGGGATACGGGATGTTGACCCATGGCCATGTGTCGGTGGCGCAAAAAGACATGTACCAAGAATGGGACCTTGGTAAGTGGAACCAAAGACACAAACCTGCGGCTTGCAGTTTGCCCTTGTCTTTTTTTGCCCACAGCCATTTGACTTGCTGGTGCGATGGGGTACCACCTGGCGGGTGGGAATGAACTGGTTTTTTCCCTTCAAGGAGCCCATAAAGGGTATCATCCTGCTGAGAAACAGCAAGTTGATTTACAGGCAATCCAAAAACGAACAAGTTTGTGGGCATGGACCAAGCAGGGGGCTCCGCTCTTGTCGGCGTGGGCTTGCTTCTGCCAGGCTGAAATCGGGGGCATGAGCTACATTGATGTGTGGCCTTCTCAGCAACCGCAGATTTTCCGTGATTCTAGGGGTTGATTCCCTTTCCTTCTTTTCAACCATCGTTCTTTTCAAACACCAGCTGTTTCCCCACAGTTTTGGGTGCTTTTTTTAGAAAGAAGGATGCCAGGAAGGAATGGAGTTGGAAGGTACCCCTAGGATGATGACCGAAAGGAAAGGCGGCTCGTCGCTCGCCACTGAGGTGCACAGAGCTGATCCTGGACGGCACGCAGTCGAAGAACCATGGTGCTGGTCTGAGCAGATCAAAGGATGGAGAGGCTGTGGGTCAAAACCAAGGGATTCCATTTTGGTAGCTGAATTCACCACCCGTTTTAGGTTACCTATTTTAGTGGTTGGATTGGTTGATGTTCACTGGGGGCTAGCCGGGATTTTGACCGATCAGGTTGCAGGTCGCAGGTTGCTGTGAGGCTTTCGTGGGGCCTTCGCCTGGGGGCTCCATTCGACGACCCCGGAGATGTGAGGAGCTCATGTGCCTTTGGGCGAGAGCAGCAGGCGGCCATGGACAAGTCCGGCGGATTTTTTTGGCGCAGCGGCGGAAAAGATTTTGCGCAAGGGTTTGCGGGACAAGGCCAGAGCCCCACATCCGCCAGCTGCAGAATCTGATAGAAGAAGAGATGGCCAACGCTTATCCTGCAGCAGCCTCAGCTGTTTGCAAAAACCTGGCACTTGACTCCCCTGTGTGCGTGTGGTGTGGGCCGGGGCTGGGGAGTGGCTCGTGATTTGGATATTGAGCAGTGGCACAACCCAGCTATACGGCTAAGACTTTTGCGTGGAAAATTAGAAATTGGCCCTAGGGGCAATTGTCACACACGGTTCGCATCTGGAGCAGGCAACTGGCTCGCCGGCCGCCATGCGGCCGCCGTATGTTCGGAAGGATCTTGGGTGCAGGTCTTCCCAACACGTGTCGGTGGCACCAACAACCTGCCCTGCTTGCCTAAGGTCTTGATTGCTCCCGACCTTGGGCCTTTGCGAGGGCACCACAACATCACTTGGCTTAGCAATGCGTGCCTGTTGCTTCCTACATGCGGCAATCGGCTGGCGGTTCTCGTGCCAGTGGCCCCTCACGGCAAGATGGTGCTGCATTGCAACCACTCACCCGCGAAACTGCTCCATCTAACCAGCCATTGTGCATGTGCCCACGTGTCCTCTGCGCCTGTTTGACAAGCTTCTTTGCGTGGCTCCGAATCTAGGGCCTTGACCTCACGACCAGGAAGCTGCACTCGTTTCCGAATGCTCTTTCTGTTTCTGCGAAACCTCCAGATTTGGCGCTCAAGCATTGCGTCAAAGCAAGACATGGCAGGTTTCGTTCTGTGAAGTTCTTTTTGCACTGCTCTGCGTTTTGTCAGTGCCAGCATGTCCAGCCTGGTCCAGATTGCACCTGGCTGTCGGCTCATCACCCTACTTTGATTTGCGTGCGAACCCTGCCGCGCGTGGCTCGTTCACTTGCCGCCTGAAGTTCACCAGAGCTCGCAGGCACGGCTGACCGTCCAGCAACTCCAAATCGCCCAGCTGCGGTTTTCCCCAGGCAGCCGTCAGCCCAATCCAGCGCCTCAGTTGGGCTGGCTTTACCCTTCACCACGACTCCCCTTGCTTGTCTGCATCGAGGGCAACCTCAGGTGTGTTGTCCCGCTGGTCTTGAGGTTGATCATGATCATATTGTTTCAAACATGTTGAGGGCACACTGATTGTTTGCCACTTAGGAGGCTGGACAATTTGCCCCCATCCATTTCTGCATGCTCCGGGTTTATGTTGCAAACATGTCTGGCTTGCAGACGTGCCCCGGGGCCCTGGGGCAATTTCCACTGCTTGAAGGGGTTTGCACTACTAAAGGGAC